ATTTGAAAATTGTGTATTCCAATAATATATTTTATCTCGTCCTCCGCGCGTTTTCCCAAGAATGTTTCTCAAATGCTTACGTGATATTACACTGAAGGAATATGAATATATTTTTTGATACGAATATATCAAGAATTAAGAAAATCCAAGCAGGATTGATAAGATTCAAAATATAGTACGAAAAAAGCCTATCCGTATTTGAGTGATTTGTGAATTGTTGGGCAAAAGTCAGAGCAAAAAGAAATACTTTTTTTCGCACCCACGTGTACTACAGGATTTCGCGTGTTGAATAATTGATACTTCTTTCTACGCGAAGTTTTCGAACTTGCAAATATTCTTTTTTTCTTCTGTTTGGGTCGTCCTAAACACACTCTCCAAAACGAGAAAACGTGAATACGAGAGGTGTTGAAATTATGAATTAATAACGGACTACATTGAAGATTCTTGAAAGGGATTCTTCATAAACCTTAGGGACAAAACCAAACAAAAGGGGACTGAAAACATATGACAAGATGAACCGAGAAATGTTCCTTTCGCTTCTTTTGACTTCAATTTAGTGAAACTTCACAATAAATATTTTTATGATCAATTACGTATTGGTTTTGGTGTAGTGTTTTACTAAAATTAATTTATTTTTATTGCGATTCAATTTTCAAATTACAATGTTAACCCATTTTTCAAAGGGTATTTGGTCATCTTTTGTCTATCAAATTTATTGATAATTTTTGGAAAATTTCGCTTTTGAGATATAGAAATTGTACCAAAATTGCAAAAATAAAATAATAGATCACGTGGCAATTTGATAGATACAAATATAATTTGGAATTTGACAAGTGAAACAAAAAGCAGTTGATATGATATGTCATATTTAAAAAAACAAGAGCCTGAGAATTTAGCGAACGGTGCAAATTTGTTTAAGTTACTGTTAGAATAAACTATGAATATAAAAATACTTAGAAATAAAAAGAACAATTATATTTATTCCAACGTTGCACCTTTAAAGGCTTAATCACTAATAAACTATAAACTAATGCAAAGTTACAAATAATTCATAAGTATGGAATGAAAAGCAACAGACGAGAAAAAAATTGTCGTTCAAAATCTCTTAAATATAAATTAAAATTGAAAAACCAACATTACAATGATTTTAACGAAGCAAAATAATTAGCAATTGAGTTGGTCGTGAGAAATATACGTTAATTATTTGTTTCACACAAATGTGATGTGTCGTTTGGGTCTATATGAAGAATAAAGAATACGCATAAAATTAAAGAGAATAAGGGAAGAAATTCACGCATGACTTCTGAACAGAAAATATACGTTGCTCACCGGCATCATCCGACAACAAGACGGCATGAGGCGATTATTCAAATTTCGATTGCGATTTCACTTATTTGAAAACGATGACATCTCCACGCAGGAAATGGCTGAGTGAGCCTGCAGCAGTGGGCCCAAAATTGGAAATTAAATTGCTCGAAATGATCTGCTTGTGGCGAAATTAAGGCAATATTGCGAGGGCGCGCATTAATGAATTTCATTTGGTAGTACACATGAGATGGGCGAATATGGGCAATGCATTTTTCCTCAATGAAATAGCTCTTAGTCAAAAATCAAAGAGTAATTCAACTATTAAATACATACTTAAAAACGAAGAGCTGCGATAAGAAAAATACATTTTTATGAACATAGTACAAATATTACTTTACAGTGAAGCTATTCTAATTCGTCTTCCAAAATAAATATTCTAGGCTCTAATTTTTCATAATAAATAATTAATTTTAAAAAATTTTTTTAGCTCACACACACAGGTTGCGGACAATCTATTTATAATCAGTTTTCTTTGAATTTTTATTTTTCAAAATCTGCAAAGCAGCATAATGTTCTGAATGAATAAATTAAATTTTAAAAATTTTTATTCGTAATTCTCATTATATTTTCCATGAAATTCGAAAATAATTTAGAAATTGGATGAAAACAGGAAATTTGAAATTCATCACCAGTTTCATGCGGTTTGTAACTAATCGTGTTAAGAAAACTTCCCACACTCGACCAACGCGCACAAAATCTCACGAAGTTTCTGTAACAAACCGCACAAAATGACGTCTTTAAAACCTGTCTAAAGCGGACAGAATTTTTTGTGGGAAAGTTTCAAATGAGCGACCAAATAATTAAATCAATGTGCTCAGTGAGAGACCGAAGAAAATGAATGAAACTTGGGGATGAAATATAATAAAAACGGGTTTAATTGCAGTTGACATGTGTTAAGATCAAAGGATTTTTTGTGGGACCATTAAAAACACTCATTAATGGGCTATAAGAACAAGGAAATGGGTTTGAGCTCAAATGTGAACTCAATGGATAATACTACCCTATTTTTTGGTGCCACTGCAAGGCCGCCTAATTATCTTCAATAATTTTCTCATACATTACTTTTTGAACTTGTTTCGAATATTTGTTTTCAATGAGAACATTCCTATTTGCACAAGTAGTTCGAGACCATCAAAAGTGAATTACTATAACGTATCGTTATTTTATACGAAATTGAGAACGAAACTGAACAGATTGTCTAGGCACTCGATACATTAGAGAATCCGGACTGATCCTCTTCAGTTCTATTTGTTTTTACCAGCTCGCCGTATCATTTCGCATCGTCACTAAATTAGTCACACTGATCAGATATCCCACGCAATTTGTGGCCAACATGTTTACAAGCGATATTTATAGATTTATAGACTCTGGCTAAGTATAAGAGGACTTCGTTTGGTGATGATTGAGACTTGCAATAGGTTTTGATTGATGTCGCGAATACTATTCATTGATAGAAATTAAGAGACTTAGGCTTCGTCTTCTTCCAATTTGTTTAGAAATACAGCATAACGCGAATGTAATTTATTTTTCACGAATATGGCTTGGTGAAATTGTATTTATGTTATCGTATTTTTCCGGGAATGAAGAGTAATTAAAAAAAAAAACATTGTAATCGAGTAAAATAAGCGAACTTAAATAATATATCGTATACTATATAATTGCCGTCTGAACGATTTTGTTCGTCTGCGTTTCGCAATTTTTCTGAAATTTTTTCTCATTTCGATATGAGGATGCGAATTTGATCACATTCTTCTATATACAGTACTGGCCATAATGATGTTCGCCTAGTGTTTTTTGAGCATAACTTGGCTCAAACGCGGCCGATCGAGCTGAAATTTTTACCATATCTTTAAAACGCGTTGAAAATGCGTTTGAATGATATCGCATACCACAGGAATGTTTTTTTTTTCGAAAAATCACAAATTTCATAAAAATGCAGAAAATGGAAAAAATGACACAATGTGATTTGAAAGTCTCAGAAACCCGAAAACGTTACAAATGTGTAGAAAACCGGTTTTTAAATCATCAATACTTTGTTGCGTATCCCTTGGCATCCATAACCGCGTGGCATCTGCGAGGAATCGAGTCCAAGAGGGTGCGGATCACTGCATCGGAATGGCACTCCATGTGGCTTCGAGTTGAGCGAACTTCTCGTCGGCGATTGATGCTCGGATCCCTCTAACCATGCGTAGAAGTTCTTCTCAGAGATGTTCAATAGGATTATGGGCAGGAATCTGTGATGGCCATGCAAGAACATCAACTCGGTGACGTTGGAACCAATTCTTTACATGTACAGACGTGTGCTCATACTCGTTGTCTTGCTGGAGAACGAATGCACGTCCGACGTTTGCCAATGCCCAAGGCCTCATTGTGGTTTCCAGGACATCCTTGTACTGGTACCGATTCATAATTCCATTTACACGTCGGAGCGGTCCCATGGCGGTGTCGGAGAAGCAGCTCCAGACCCTGCAAGATGCATCACCGTTCGGAGGTGGTACTTTGGCATGAATCTGGCTCCGATAGGTCGACGAATCCTCTTGATTTCATCAGTTCCGAACAAATTGAACTTCGATTCATCGCTCTAGATGTGTTTGGCCCGTTCACATCGTCCCAGTTCAGATGATCCTTGCACCATGCCACCCTCGTCTTTTGATTCTTCTCACTGATCAATGGTTTCTTCACCAGGCGTCTTCCATGAAGTCCATTCTCCCTCAAACGACGTCTAATTGTTCTTCTGGATGGTGTTGAAGCATTTGGCGTTGCCATAAGCATCTGGATATCTGCTGAAGTCCGTCTAGGATCTTCTCTTGAAGCCCGACAGATGTTCCGATCTTGGAGCCTAGTAGTTTTGCAATGTCTACCATGTGATTTCTTAACAAAAATGCAGCCCAAGAGATTAGAAACAGTCCAGAATGATTAAAAAATTGTACATTTTGTCTTAATCGTTGCAAAACTTTTTGGATTCCTCTTCCGAAGCACAGGAATTGCTGAGCCAGAGAGCTTCTGGAAGACCCAGTCTTATGACCGTTGACGATCGCTTTTTGGACGTCCGCCGTGAAATTTTTCTTTCCAGAAGGTTGAAAAATTACAAAAAACATGTTTCAAATTCAAATTTCAAATAAAAAAATTTTTATGGACAAAGTTTGAAAAAAATGAAAAATTGGTAAAATCGAAAAAAAACAAAAAAATTGAAAAAAAAAAATTAATTTTTCAAGATGATGCAATTTTGTCGTTTCCAAGGTTGCGAAACTGTGTTTAGCGTTTACAGTAAAAATTTCAGCCCGATCGGCTGCGTTTGAGCCAAGTTATGCTCAAAAAACACTAGGCGAACATCATTATGGCCAGTACTGTACATATACTTATATAATCAATATATATCATCAATGACTTCCGTATCCGAAACAACAGAACCGTATTGACTTCAGCAAACGGCGGGATTACTCTTAATTTAAATTAGAAAATCTTAATTTAAATTGCCATCTTTATTTACTACATGAAACAATTTTAGTGAAAAACAATTGGTACAGTAATTAAATATCGAACAAAATAATTTCGTAAGAACCCGTAATAACCCGTAGGAATAATAATCGTGTTTTTAACACTGAATTAATGACATTCCAGTACGTATCGGGTTATTTTTGGCCCTCTTGCTCCAAGTTGATAATGTTGAAGCACTTGTTCGGAATAGCATCGCGGACTTGCTCCAAAGCAATAACCTTGAATTTAATAAATTTTCTCATGTTAAATTATAATATTTACTTCTTTCTGGAGTTGGGTGATTTCATTCTTAAGAAGAACGATCTTTCCTTCTTCTTCATCCTTTGAAGATTTGTAGTTTTCCACATCGTTATAGATTGCTTCCTTAGCAAGGAACTCATCGATCTCATCAAGTTCTTTCTCTAATTCGTCAAGATCAAGAGTACTGCTGTCTTGGAGAGAAACTGAAAACAAAATATATTCGTTTGCTTATTATTTCTCTACTGTCATACTCAAATCATCAATGATTTTCTTAATAGTTTCCTCCTCGACAAGAACTGTTCCATTGGCTTCCGACGCCGCATTCTTAGCAAGTGATGCTTTTCTAACAGCCTCTGTTGCGATTTGTTGATCCTCGTCAGCTTGTTTCTTATAGTATTTCATATTTTCTTTGGTCTCTACCAATTCTTCCATAAGCTGCTCAACCTCATCTGAAATAATCAAGCAATAGCTTTAGTTCGGGTTTTTCGAAAATGCATACCATTCATAGAAATCGCCGAGCTCTTCGTAACCGCAGCTCCTTGTTTGATCTTCGCAATCTCCGCAATAGTGGCATTCAATTCAATTTGAGATTCTTCGGCAAGTTGTTTTGATCTATTCGCATCCTTTGAAGCGTCTCCAATTATTTTTTCCGTTTCCGATGCTTTATCATTAGCCTTTTTGATTATAAGCTCAGTTTGTTGCAGAAGTGTGAGCTCGTCAACAGCAGCATTTCGCGAAGCGTCTACTTTGTCGTTAAATTCCGTAAGAATTTCCAAAGTGCTTTCAGCATCCTTGAGCGTCTTCTCAGCTAGCTCAACAGCTTGTTCCGCTTTTCCTCTGGCTTTGTCAATTTCAACCATCAGCTCATCAGCCGTCTTCTGTTGATCTTGAGAGCTTTGCAATTCATTGGTAGCCTCAGCCACGGTTCTTTCAACTTCTTCAAACAAATTATTGTTCTCTTCATTCTCCTTGTTCGCATTCTCAGTGGCCTTTGCCGATTCCTCGTTTATCGTATCAATTTCTTTGCGGATATCAGCAGTATTAACACTTGGAAGCTTGACGCCTTCAACATTCGTCAGCGAAACCGCAGCAATTGTGTTCATCTCTTCAGCAGCCTTGTTCTGCTCCTCAGCAAGAGTCATTGTACGTGCCAAAGATTCGTTCAATTGAGCCTGACGATTCTTGAGCTCGGCAATTTGTTGAGAAACTTGCTCGCCGCCGTAAATCGCATCACTAGCTTCCTTATTCGCTTTTTTCGCAGCAACAACCGTCTCATCAACAAGTTGTTCAATTTCCTTCGCCTTTTCCAAATGCTTTTCAGCTTCTTCTCGTGTCTTGTGAGCAATTTCAGACATTTTCACACTTTGTTCTCCATATTTCTTGCTAGCTTCCGCAGCAATATTTGCGCGTTCCTCTCCTTCGGTCAACAAATATTCAATAGTTTTTTCAATCTCGTTGTGGGTATTTTCTAAATTTTTCAATTTTCAGTTAAATATCAAATAACAATAAATTTTACCGTTGATAATAGCCCATCGTTTAATGCTAATTTCTGCTTCATCAGCTCCAGCTCGAACTTTTTCAAACTCACTATCCATGGATTTCAATTTTTCCATGGCTTCCAAGATCTCTTTCTTGATCATCTTCGCCTTAGTCTGAATCGTTCCACCACCTTCTTCTGTAAATTGTGAATTACGCATATTAATAGAAATAATATTTCTTACTGGTAGTAGTCATTACAAGATCCCACAACTCGTGAGCAGCCTTTGCGGTATCCTTGACTTTGTTGTCAAAGTCAGAATCATCAACTGGTGCTGGGTTCTCAATAATCTCCTGGAGAGTATTGTCAAGGTTTTTAATTTTTCCGCGGAACACATTGACACGACTCTGAAATAAAATGCAATGAAAACACGAAATATGCCGAGGTATTCAGCATTTCAACTTATTGATTATTTTAACACTGACCTGAATAAGCGTATAGCAGTCATCACAAGGCAAGCATCCACTGGTCATTCCATAACGATTCTCCGCGCACTGATCGCAGCGTCTTCCTTCGACATTTTCACGACACAAGCATTGTCCTAAACGATAAAAAAATAAATGCGAAGAGTTAAATATATGCATACCAGTCTGAACGTCGCATTGAGCACTCTCGCTACCAATCGGCTCACAATCGCAAGGTTTGCAGCCTTCGGCAGAGAATCCAAAATGGTAAGGCATACACTGATCGCAGCGTTTTCCAGTAACACCTGGTTTACATTGACATTGTCCAGTTATGACATCGCAAGTGTTCGATTCCGAGCCGGATGGATCGCAATTACATTCCTGGCATCCAGCACCAGACGTGATATTGTAAAAGCCATGCTAGAAAGAAGAACATTGGAAACAAAAAAATGGAATTATTGGATTTTGTACAGCGCATTGGTCACACTGAATTCCAACAACATTTGGAAGACATTCGCATTGGCCGTCTTCTTGTCGACATTCGAGAAGGGTATAATCGTTATTTGGTCGCTTAGTGCCTGCTGCGAAGCATCCACAAGCTTGGCAATTTCCTTTTGGCTCGATGAGAGCATCTCCCCAGTATCCTGGTTTGCACTTTTCACAGTTAAAACCGAATGTGTTGAAAACACATTTTTTGCACTCTCCAGTGATTCTAAATGAAGAAGTACAGATCGTGATGAAATGTTATAACATACTTGTCGCAATTACCAATAGAATTTGGATCGGTATTACCATTGCATTGGCATTCTTTGCATTCAGTGTCCTCTTTTGGATTTCCGAAAAATCCGTCAGAACATTCGTCGCAACGACGCCCGGTATATCCAGGTGGGCATTCTGTACAAAGAACGTCTCCGTCGGAATGAAGAATGCATGGTCCATCATTGGGACATGGGCATTTCTCGCAATCTTCAGTGGTTCCTTGAAGGGCATCACCGTAATATCCCCGAGCACATCGTTCGCAAGTCTCGCCGGCAGTGTTGTGTTCGCAAATGCACGAGCCACTTTCGGCTTCGCAACTCTCTGAGTGATTGTGGCAGTCGCATTTAATACATCGTTTGAATGGCCCTCCGAATTTGATTTCTCTCCGGTATCCAGGCTCGCACGACTCGCAAAATTGTCCGACAAATCTGAAATGTCTCTGATCAGCAAAATATGTTGTATTTCAAAGCCAACCCTGGAAGACATTCGCAGTGCTCTATCCAGGTAGCAGCTTTTGGATTCGTCGATGATGGAGCAATTCCGGCAGTTCCAAGGTGAACGTTTGAAAGGTATCCAATATCTTTGTACGAGTATGTTCCTCGTATTTTGATTGAAGTGATGTTTGATAGAATTCCAATAAATTCAAGCTCGTTCGTACGCGGATACCATCCATAGTATGGATCAGCGTGAATACGGAATCTATACGTCTGTTTTTCAGTGGTAGGGAACGGATTGTTTTGCGATGTGATAGAAGTACTGATTTCACGTCCTGCTCCTTCAATCACAATATCTCTGAAAATCATTTAACTATATTATATATGAAAACATTTTTTGCTTACCGGACATCTTGATTAGTAACATGTTTCGCAACTTTCAAGTCAAACACAAGATCCTGATTATAACTGCCTCTCTGATCTCCCATGAATTGCTCAGGAGCAACAAAGTACACCGGCGAGTTATCGTAATCCGAAACAGCAACAGCTTTGTCGAGTTCGGCCCACTGCGTATCTTGAAGGCCAATACGATTTAAAGCAGCCCATTTTTGCTTGTCATAGTCGAAGGTACTCGACACATTCATAGCAAAATATCCATCCGAAGTTGAGCAGATCGAAGAATGACCATAGCAGAAGCACGGAGTGCAACCGAATTGATTCTCACTGGACAAATCAAAGTATCCAGGTTTACATTTGTCGCATTGTCTTCCTTCAACGTTGATCTTGCAAGTGCAGGATCCTGTCTTTGGATCGCATCTTGGTTGATTATTGAGAGATCCAGAAGCTTCACATCCACAATTTCTAAAATAAACGAAATTAAAAATTATAATTTCGTACGATTTTTAAAATTCCAATAAATATTTGATTGAAAAGCCTCACTTGCAGCCATTTGGTCCAAAGTCATAATAACCATCCATACATTGATCACAATATTTTCCAGTGACTCCCGGCTTACATTGACATTGCCCTTCAGCGTTGCATTGAGTAGACATTGAACCAATCTGAATATCATAATCCCTTTTTATCAATATTTACTTTTTTTATGTACTTCATCACAACCACACGGGACGCAGTAATTCTCTCCAGGTCTACGCCAATGGTTAGCAATACATTGCTCGCAATGAACTCCCTGAAAATATCATATTTAATATTACACTAATAGGTTGAAATATAATCTTGCCTGAGTATTTCCTTCGCAATCAATACAATGACCACCGTGTCCGGTTTCTTCAAACAGCTTTTGATCGAAATAGCATCGGTTTGATAGCTGAGAGCAATTGCAGGCAACACATTCATTCGCCTCATTCGAGGTACCCGCTCTCCACGGGCGGTCATTATAAAACGGCAAACATTCATTGCAGTCGGCTCCATGGGTATTATGCTCACAACGGCAGACGAGACGGTTCTCTCCGTCAACGGATGACGAACCAACGCATTCGGATGCGTGCCCATTACATTTGCAGCGACCTCCAACGGCGAAATCCGAGATGGCGTAGTAATAACTGCGAAGCACTTGCGGATCCTTGAACACTTCATCTCCGAATGTGTTCATGCGGTTAAGCGAAATTCGAATAGCTGATGCCGTTACCCAATCCTAAGAATGTAGTTTTTGCGAACATTATCAACATTATGTTTGCGGTCATACTTGCAATATTTGCGAATCTTCGAAGGCATGCGCTGATGGACGGCCTTCCAAGGTCGAGAACGCAATGTTTCCTCCAGTGATTGGAGAAATATCCGAGAATTCCTTGGTACATTGCGGGCGATTCTCATTTCCCGGAAGAATTGGCGCTCGATCCGCCATGCCATATGTTGCGCGACACGATCCTCTAAAAATCCACATTTCAAATTGATATGTATCAAAATTGATTAAACGCACGAATAGTATTGCCATGGGACCCAATCATCATCCAAAGTGGTCTTCTTATAAATTGCAAACGATTCCGGACGTGGACTGATGAATTTAAGACGAACATAGGTGATATCGAATGTTTTGCCTAAAATTGCACATTTCCATAGGAGGTGACGAAAAATGACACCAACCCAGATTGAGGGTGAGATTGACACTTGTTGGGAACTGCATTCCTTCAAGCATTGTTTCCGATTGCCACCAAGTCTCATTATTCGCATTGTTGAAATCGGTTAGATACTTCGGTGGGTGGGAAAATGCCTAAACATGTATTAACATTTCTAGAAATGTCAATTTATGCTAATTACCGGATGTCTTGCATCGCATGTATCGCAAACGTTGCGTTGCCCAGTATGTCCTGATTGCACGCAATATACTGTTGGACTCTTTTCACCGCATGTGTTCGTTACTTCTACTTCTAAATTGAACGCCGCATTGATAAAATCTGGTACGCAACGCTGCGGCGCTTGTGTCTCTCGATCGTAACAGGGATTGCCATCTGGATAGTTTTTAATATTTCTGTTTTATTATGCTTTTCTTATTACCTGCTCCAAAATGATTCGGGTCAACACTGGGATAGAGTTGAGCTGGTTGTGAGTGGACAACACTCACCAAAAGGGCGATAATAATCACCCGACGCATTTTTTGACACTGGCAATTTCCTGCAAAATAATATAGTCTAAGCTATTCTAATGTACAATAGGTAAATCAAATGACCGATATGGTCGTGGCAAATAGTCACTTGTAGTGTAAATAGTAACTTGTGTAAATAATCGAAGGCAAATGTAAGAACAGAAGAGCTCGGAGCGGACGAGCGGAATGTGCAAAGTGGAGGGCCGACGTGACCCCAAACGTTTTGCCCCACCTCCTAGCAAAGACAAAAACGGCACTAAACCTAGCGGTATGGATCAGACAAGGACCATTGCATTTTTTCGAGAGTAAGATAAAATTAAAAGAATTGACTCAAGAAATTGAACATTCGGAAATGAGATCCATTTATTTGATATTGTATTCCGATATTAATTAATATTCATATAGTGTACATATGTTAAAAAAAAAATACAATGTGAATTAAAAAAAAAGCTTCAAAACGAAGTAAATTGCTATTTATGAATGAAGAAAAAAGTTCAAATTTTTTGCGAATATTTTTTTCTGCTTAAAGTTGCTGAGAAGGTGAACAAACGACCTAATGCGTCTGATGAGATGAAACATCTGGCGATCTGGTGATGCCAGGATTTTAATATTGCGTAATTCTGCGACGTGTGAGCTCAATTTACACGACACATTTGGTTTTGTTAATGCCGAACTGGTTAAATGCATACAACAAGAAAAATGAGCGCCAAGAAAAACCAAAAGTATACCAAATGATGTGATCAATTATTGGATTGATGATGATGACCTCTTGGACCTCTTGTCCCGCAATATGCGTTCGTGTTTTCTCTCTGTGTCTCTTCGAATGTAAAACTCAAAGTCAGATAAGTATTTGCGCAAATATCGATAACGCGCGAACGGTTGACCTCGGCGTCGCAGCAGACTTGATAACGTTACATATTAATAAAAATGTTGACGAGATGAAAGTGATTTGCGCTGATCGTACTCAAGTGTTGAAGGGCCTACGATTATTCATTTGATAATGTAAAACAATATTTAAAGTCTAATCGAAATGTTTAATAGAAAATTTAAAGTTTTTGTAATATCTAAAAAAAAAATGGAGTGAAATTCGGTTGATGAAATTGAACATTTTTTCGCATTCATAATGAACTTTTTGCTTTATCATCCACTATACAAGAAAATTATGGATGTTTGTGAGAATTGGGAAACGGACGAACGGTTGACCTCGAAACAACGATATTAATAAAACTGTTGGCGACCCAAATATCAAAATGAATTTGATTTGTAGGGCTTATTCAGGTGTTGATGATTATTTGAACAAAAAAAATCAACTGCTAAAGATAAGTTTCGATAGGGCCCGCACCGAGACTTTACGCTCTTATTCAGGGTATCTCTAGCGGAAGCGATTTACAGAATAGAATATTGTTATGCAAAATGATATGCTTCTTTTTATTTCATTCAGATAATGATAAATTTCAAAAATTGAAACAATAATTTCTGTTTTTTTTTCTAGCAACTAACTGTTCAATTAAAAAATTAAAAACAAATAGTTATTCCAAAAATGTGTTGAATACAACCGAAGATTTATTTATCAATAAAGAATAAAGCTTAATATGCCAATGATTGATTAGAATGAACAATAATAACCCGTAAGATACAGAGAACTAACGCAGTTGACAACAATTATCGCTATTTTAAAGCACAAGCTTATTACAAATCATATACTAAATATTATTAACTTTTCGTCGCAGGACTACCACTATTGCTAATATGAAGGGCAGTTGAGACTTTGGTGAGAAGTTTATTTATTGGCTTCTTTTCTGGACTCTTTGGCGTTTTTTCCATTGCTCTTTCAAGTCGGCTGACATCGGATGGACACCGATTCCCGGATTGGGTCTCTTGAAACTGCAATTTATTGATTGATGGACACATAGTCAGCTTTTACTCAAAATTTATTTTTATTTTTATTGAGAATAGGCAGATATTCCATGTTGCTCAACACATTTTCTTGATAATGATATTAAAATTTACCCTTAACTTGATCCATTCGTCGAACATAATAGTTTCTATGAGATATTTCAGATAGGCCCCATGATGTTTAGTTACAGCGGTAGAGATTAATCTTCTAAAAAGATTTTCGATTCATATGCATTTATAATTTGAATAAACTTCTTCGTTCTTTCCGACCATTCCCTGTCACAATTAACTACTCGAAAATGACCAAATAATGCTGACAGCCATTCATACATCGCCTAAATCCCAACAATTAAGAGATTTTCATTTTGGATTGGTGTACCGCTTCTATTTTTAAGTCAGCAGACAACGAGTCGTGATCTTCCAAAGCAGCTCGGAATAGATTGATTAGATGAACGCTAACCTTTTTTGGCATTCCAACTCTCATGCAATAGCAAACTGCTACCTGAACAATGGGTGAAAATATAAAAAAAAACAAGAATAGAATTTCATACCGCTGTTCTCCAGTTCTCCAAGCTGACTTTATCAGGGTAACTAACAGGTGGTGGAATCATCAACCCGTTATCGATATCTAATAAAACGAAGTTATCCTAAATTAGTTTAATTTTACTTCATATCGCATGTAATAATAATCACCTTGAGATCTTCTAAAGACAAATTGTCCGCAATAAGCTCCTTGATATTGGTCAGATTTGACCTAGAAATTCCAATTTTTAAATCGTATAAAATGTTTCTTTACCTCAAAATACCCATAATAAATGGAGTTGGGTTATGACACAAATCCGTCAAATTGTCCGGGATAATGCTCACTTGCGTATGCGGCCATATCAATGGTCGAAGCAGATATTCGAAAGCGTTGACGGCTTGTGAGACGGTGTACACCTGCAAAAAACCTTTTTCCTGAAAATGACAACGACTTTATATTTATTTTCTAATATTTTGCTTGCAAAGTGTCCATTTAATTCATTTCAGTTAACTTGAATGCATTAATATAGACAAGAATGCATTAATATTATTTAATTGTTTTTTTATATATAGTAATTTACCGTGTCGCCAGCAATGAGCACTCGTTGTTCAGCTAATAATGCTGCAATTGCACATACGGATATTTCAGCACCAATTCTAAAAAACATGATAGAATGTTAATTTTATTTAAATGATTAAACACCTTCGAATAACCTGAGATGTGTTTAGTTCAGGATTTGAACCCAAATTCTGCAATTCGTATTTCCGCTCATATCCATTTGCGCTTCTCTTGATAAAAATTAAACTCGATCCTAAAATTTTACATCTTCTTTTTTTTAGGGTAATACGCCACCTGCACTAGGATACGGATTCGAATGAATTGACTGCAGAAATCTCATCAAAACCGGTGTTCCCGTTTTGGCGAAATTAACAGCATGCAATGCCAATTCGTGATAGAAACCATAATTTCGATTGGCGGTGACAACAGCGAGTACCCAAGGAAGATTTGACGAACTTTCTGCAAAGAAATGAAGAAAATGAAAACGATGAAATTGAAACTCTTACGCTTTTCCGCATCAATTGCCGGAAGATATCGTATACAATAGGCAAATCTTCTGGAAAAAACATCGTTTATCGCTAAATCTTGGAGGCATTAATGGATTATTTTCCGTCCAATAGGCAAGTTAATGAAATATTTTGTGGATGATAACTGATGTAAGTTCATTGAAACTCTTGTGTACAGCGTTTGCAGCCATGTAACTATTCCATATCGTTTAATTAGAGCATTTATTCAAACTTTCTCAAACCGTTATTCAACGTTTTTTGTTCTTTTCTACAGTTTCAACAATTTTGGTATTTAAAGGCTTACCTCACACCTTGATTATCAGTAAGTGAAACCATATAACCCTCTTCATCCGACCATTCTCCTGATTCAATTTCAGCTAATCTCGTGAAATCTGGTAAAACAAGTTCAGGTCGAATGGTTTCTCCTATAAATTGAAAGTTGGTTTTGAAGAAAATTTCCTCGATGGTAGAGCATTACCTCTTTCCTCCGGAAAACTGAACTCGATGGCTGGAGATCGCGAATTGGATCCATCAGGATTTCTGTGATTCTCTTTTTTTTTTCAACAGAAAATATTAGAACTCACTCTTCCTTGACTTTTACAAGGACGACACAATCAAATAATCCTCCATCTCTTGATCTCATTTCCGATTTTCCGATTTCCGTGGTCACCCTTCGAAGTTCCTTTGCTCTCGATACTCTTCTTTCAAAAGAAACCTCTACTTCCTGAAACGAGAACGAGTTGTCTGATAAATATCAATTGGCAAAATAAAATGTTTATTGTCGCCCCATTTCCCATATGTGCGTTTTATTCAAAATTTCGATAGACCGACGAGCGAAATAGATAAATAAAACAGAGAAACCGCGAATCAATAAAGCAAACCATTCAAAAAGCGAGTGAACGTTAAAATCTGACCCGGTATTACATAGAGATGCGCGGACGCATATAGTTCACGTGTAATGGTCTCATTGTAGAGGCGCAGAGATAACAGCGTATTCAATAAGACAGTCCCGCAATGCGAGAAGTTCAAAAAGGGGTTGTGCTGTTTATCATTTTCGATATGCATACGATGATTCAATGAAAATACTGATATGAATAATGTAGATTCTCCCTAATTTGGCGATTATTTTAATTAGTCTTCTTGGTTCATTTTTATATGTCTGAGTTGAAGGGGTTATTATAAATTATTACCCAAATGATATTATCATTTTTCAGTATTTTTCAATTTTATATATTTCTGCATAAACAAATTGTAAATATGAGACCCTATTAGCAATTTCGAGTACACTTCCCATTCTGGAGACTAAATGGCATTAAAATTTTCATTTTTTTTTATTTCTTCATGTGGAGCCATTAAAATTTCTAATAAAAAACAATGCTCCACCAAAATAAAATATTTCGAAATTTTGAGAGAATTCTTCAAGATGAAATCAAAATTGAATAATTGTTTTTTTTTGGGTTGACTTGAATGTTCCGTGAACATAATTATGTTGAAATCATATATGTTCAAAAAATTTGATGTTAGATAAAAAACTTTTTCTGATTTGTGATTGGCAGAGTGTAAAGTATATATCTCAAGGAATGATTAATTTCTCAGGAGCGAAAGAAAGAGAGAAAAATTAATCTTCATTACATCCATATTTCATTCAATTCCGCCAAAAACCCCTTTTTTTCCGGGATAGGGAAATTGAACTAACCCAGTCTTCCTCTTCACTTGATGGATCCGTTGATGTTCCAATTTCCTCGCCCTCAACGTCTTCTTCTTCCTTTTGTTGAACAACCATCGGTGCTGCTCGCACGCGCTTGTAAGCCAATCTTCTTTAAAAAAAATATGGACGTGATTTGCAAGAATTAATGAGAATGATTCGAAAGTGCCATTACATTGTATCAAATTTGAGACTTTCGCTGACAGCTGAGCTAATGTCGGATCCTAGTAACATTACCCTCTAAAATGAAAACACACTATTTTCAATATATCGAATAATATACAATATGGATAGATATGAAGTAAACAATAAAAATAAAACAAACAAAGTTTTGAAGGTTAACCAACCGCATAACTGAAGCGTTCGGACCACCATTATTATGTTTTGTAAATTTTCATATACTAATTTTTCATTGCGAATGCACCTGCTGAGGCAATATACAAATATTTTAAATATGTGCATAATAAATAAAAAAAGAAGGAAATGTATATAAATTGGAACATTATAGCGCCGGGCCATTTATTGGAATTGGTGTTCAATAGAGAAAGAAAAGCTCGTAAACGAGCCGAATGCAATTAAATTGCTCTGTAGAAGACTTCTAGCTTCATTTTTAAATTAATTATGTTTTTATAGAGTTTTTTATGTCAAATACCGGACAGTTATAGAAATATATATTTTTGTGGAATCTCAAAAAAAATGATTGGTGGTTAGTTGAGACAAAATCGATTTGGTTTATAAAAATAATCATTGTTGAGACGAATGATAGAAACATAACAAAGAGCACAATTGGTTGGAATCCTTAGAATTGCCCATTTTTGATGAGAGGTTGCATTAATAATTATAGGGAACGAATAATGGCTTTCTTTTTTGAGGAATATGCGAAAAATTGTGAATAAATGGGGATACTATGAACATTTTATGAAAAATATCTATCTGTTTTTTCTAATAATTCAAGGCGAATCACATGAAGAATTAATGGCAGTTTTTCCGATCACAGTTTAAAGTGAAAATTGAAATAGGAAAAGCTTAATACACAATCTTTCTCTTTGCTGAACACGCAATAATTGAGAAACATGGAAAACTTGTAAATTCTATGGTTTTATATGATTTAACAATGGAATATTCTATTTCAAATAATTTTCGGTTCAAATGCTTTCAATACCCGACAGCGGCATAATTTCTAGCTTCAATGTCCTTTTCTTTTTGCTTTGTTAGTGCGTTGCAATCTCTACATATATAATTTTCCCAGAAAGAATGATAATTATAATATAAAAGTTAGGGAAAATAGAAGAACAACGTTCGCAAAGTGCAAATACAAAAAAAATGAGCATGCCGCATTAAATTATTTTGCTGTGTTTTTAGCTTATTGCTCTCAAAATAACATCAAAATTTTGAAGCCGGAATCGAAGTATTGATGAAAGAATTATAAACAATATGAAAGGTATATGAGCATATAGCAACCTCCTATTTTTATCAATTTTCATTCTGGTTTCAGTTTTCTAGATAATTTTTATGAAAAATCAGATTATTAAAAATGTGTTTGAAATCAAAAAAACAACCTATAAAAGCTGTAACCATGATCACAAATCAATTGGTTATATATGACACAAACCTCAGTTTTTGGTGGTCTTTGTGAAACTTGTACCGCATATTTACTCAACAATCAATATTAGGTACAGTCACACAAAACATTCGTTTGATCTAAACGACGAACAACGTAGAATGCATGTATTCAGCACATTTGATTCGAATGAATCATAAAATGCTGAAATGGGGATTTTTTTCGGTTTGAACATAAAAAATGGAAATTGTGTTGTGAAATTGATATATCCGATGGAAGATGAAAGAAAAATGTTAGCCTTCCGTATTTACACATAAACCTGATTAAAATGATTGACTTTGGGTAATGGATTCTTTAATTGGGTTAAGGGAAGGAGGAAAAATTGAAAGAGATGTGACAAGTTAAGTTTCAATAGGTTGCGTTGCAAAGAAATAACCTAAAAGAAAAATCAACTAACCCATCGTATAAATAAGACGTATTTCTAAAAAATCTATAATTTCTTGAAATCACGCGGTTTTGTTATTAGGATCTTTCAATAAAATTTGCTTAAAGGTTTTTCTTTATTTTATTCTATGATTCTTGATGCCTACTGTAATGAATACTCACATGTTCTAGTAGATTTCTTTTTTCATTTTTTGAAATTTTTCATTTTTTTCTACGTTACCCATTAGGCATTACTACCCTTTTAAAACATGCAATTTGTTTTACGATGGAAATTAAGTGAATAAGATGATGCAAAAGGCTTTCCAGGAAGTCGCTTGCTTATGGGAATCAGGAATCTGTAGGTGTTCAGGTATTCTGTGCAGACAAATAGATTTCGGAGAATGTTTTGTTCATTGCGGCGCGTTGCGGATTACAAAAGTGTGTGCGAAGTGAAGAGAAATCATACGTATAAATGGTTTGGAGGAATTATTTGTTCAGTTCGCCTCAAAGGCTGGTTCTTTTTATGGGAGTGAAGCGATCAATTCGAACATTGCCGTGAAAGGAAAAGCACTTGATGGCTCAAATGTGGCGGCTGTTTAGACAAAATTTGTATTGAAAACAAATGAAAATCATGACAAACGTAGTATTCCGAAAAAAAAACAGTAGTCTGAGAAATACTTAGAGCGTTGAATTTCATACTGACATCACTGAAACATATGAATCCATTATAAAATAAATGGCCGTACTATCCAATAAGATCATAGCGAAATACCGGAAATTGGAAATATTTTATTTCAAAAAGTAGATTTCCATATATTAAAAAGCAATAAATAAGAAATAGAAACTATTTGATAGATCAAATTGATATGAAATGTTTGCTCGACCATTTTTTTCATTTTGCGGAGATTTGTTCATCTTTTCAAGGAGTCTACTTAAATATAAGAGCGTTATCGATAAATGTTGGGTATGGTTCTCAAATCCATGAGAATTACTATTAAGGTATTAATGCCGAAAAATAAAAATAAAAAAGACGAGGCTTAATAGAAGCTCATTTGATGATCGGTTAAAGTTTTGAATGTTTTAAAATAATTTATGGCTTATATCTATTTAGATAAAAGATGACAACCAATTTTTTAAAATCAAATATTTAGAGTATTTTCGATTGAATGTAAGTAGAATTTTTCATTTGCTTAAGAATAAGTAGAATTACAAGCAACGCTCTCATTAGCTTATTCAATCATATCCCACGAATATATACATGTATAATCGAAAGACTATTATTGTTTATTTCATATTGCGCAAAAATTGGATTGAATTCGAATATACATAAAAATTGTAGGAAGTTTAAAATTTTAAAAAATGAAATCATATTATGAACATTTTGAGCATTGTAGGGAAAATTCGATTGGGAAATGTTTGTAACTATGATAACAATTGCTCTGTTTTTTGTAAATCTAATCAGAAATTAACAATGACTTTGACACGAAATACTATTTGATCTTTATTGTAATAGTTATTTTTCGTTTGTTGCCCAATTAAGACATATAATCGTTTCATATTAAATTATATTATAGTGAAAACTGCTAACAAGTCACATACCAACATTAAAAAAAACGTTTTGATTTAATTTAATTATGTTTCTTAAAGTGAAATGTGTAAACTACATTGACGAATGTCAAGAGGAAAAACAAATATGGATTTTCTAAGCATGAAGTATATTGAAAAATTATTATATTAAAATACTGTTATTTTCTAGTCAATCTTTCTAATTCTATTTCATCCTTGATTAAAAATTATTAAATTCAGAATATCTTATTGTCATAGTTTTTAGAAAATTTACTCGAGACTCAGAAACATCTAAAATTAACTAACCGGATAGCATTTTTTCGACAGAGTGGCATCAATTCTTCGCACTCATCGGAATCTTCACACTGTAAATAATTGAATTAAATAAAAATTTTCCAGTAAGAAAATCAATTACTGAAAGGCAAAACGTGCTTAAAAAACTACAACCTATAACGAAAAAAGAGTGTGCGCATTTGACAGTTAGAGAGCAGAGGAACGCGCCGCAATATTTGACAGTGATGATACAAAAGACTGCACGCTCTGCCGCTTGTTGTAATTGTTTTGGTTGGCATGGTGAATTTATGAATGTATTCTTTAGAAAATGCAAAAATAAAGTTCACACTATAAAAACCGCCTGCTGTCGTTATTGTTTGCATTATATCAATTCATGTACAAATGTCCGATACATAAAACTCACATCGAAAAACTTTCGAATTTGTTCCATATTCAGCGGAATGTCGTGAACTAGATGATAATACACCATATTATTCTAAAAAAATAGTTTTTGTATTTAATTCAAGCGAAATGTATACTAACCGCGTCCATGATTTGAAAAATATGAATTGTCAACGATCGAAATCGAACAATTCGCTATGTTGTGCCAGCTGCCGACAATGGACGGTGAATAGCATCGATTACTATAAACATGTATGTATTAATTTATGCGTGGTTTCGAATATTGACACAATTGATTTGAAGCCTGCCCGAAATCTTTATTTAAATAATTCCTGACTCCCAGTTATTTGGTAAAGTTGTTGCAAAAACGAGAACCCTGTGATTTACTCTGAGTTTCTTTTTTCTATTAGGTTATCCTTCGTATAGAATTCAAATTTTGAATGATTTCAAAAAAAAAATAAATATGAGGCCAATTTTTTACTACTATGAATTTAAGAGTTTTCTCGAATTAGGAAATCTGAAATCAAGAAATAATTTAATTGTTTCGCAAAATTTCATGTTTTAACTTTAATCAGTTTCTATAATTTTGGAAAAAAACTCAATTTATTATTTGTGATGTTTGTTCCCTAAAATTTCCAATTCATTTTTTATTGCTAAATAATGCTAGAAGGAAGTTCTCTTCTGTCCTTGAACGTTTGCTGGAGATAAACCAAAAACACTTTATGGAAATTGGTATCATTTCTTTTCATTTAATAAATACTTCATAGGAAATGACTTCCAGCTATTGTATATTTGTGGGTACGCTGTTCTCGAAAACCGAAAATATAGAAATTTTTATGTCTTTGAACAGTTGAACTAAGCGGTGTTATTCGATCGCTATAAGTTTGTCAATTGATACGGAATGTTCTCGTCGGAATTACCAGGAAACGATTCAATATGCATCATCAATCTCACTCCTCTACTATCAATTTTAGACTGATAGCAAAATTCAAACCGGATATCATGAAGAAAAATAATGTGCGTTTCTTCTTATACATTTTTTTGGAAATATACCTTTTTATGACCAAATTCTTTTAAACGTTTGCATCAGAAAACACTCATATGTATATCATGCGAAGTGATTCTCGGAAAAATCAGGTCATTTCTGATTTTTCATTTAGTTCCCTTTTCATCGGATACTTGAATCTTATCTAAATGGTCATTTCTATCAAAATGTCTATTGGGTTCATCGACACAGATCACATTTTCTGAAGCAAAGGTTAGAAGCATTTCTCTTGAATTGGTATCATTTGTGAAATTTGCGATCGTAAACTTCGAGAGGTCGGAAATGTGTAAAGATGATGATTAAAGTAACACTGCATCGGAGATCTTTTAAAAATGGCGCTGAGATGAAGAAACATTTTAAAGGGTTTGATGACATTGAATGAAGTTTGAACAGAATTTCACTGACTACGAAAAACTATTCGAAGTTGATCAGAAACAAGAATTGAAGTTAAAGATTGAAAAAGTAATATAAAGTGAGAGAAATGTCACTTAAAAATAAATTTTGTGAAGATTTAAATATGAAAATTCATAATGTGGTGGCATCATCTTAATTATCTACGTACTTGAAAGTAATAATACTAATACAGTAATTTGATTTCGGAAATGTATGATTTTTTCTAATATTATGCGGTTTTGAAAAAAAAATGCACTTGGTGAATATTATCAATGAATTATTTTTTAGTGTCGTTTATTCATAATGTTTCTTCTATTACAATACAAAAATTTTCAATCACTCAAATTCTAGGGAGAAAAGTTGACAATTGTGTTTATGACCCAAAAGAATGTAATAAAATTGAGCGAAACGAAGAGGATACACCGATTTCTTGAATATTCTTTGTGTCACACTACAGAAATTCACATTGAAGTCACAAAGTTCTACGATTGCAAAGATCTTTACCAAAATTAAAAGATCACAACGATGACCTCGTAAAGATAATGATGAGGGTTCTATAAAAGGCCTCATGCTGAGTTGTTTCTCATATTCATCATGAATACTCTCTCGGTTGTCCTTCTCGCCGTCTTGGCTGTTTTTGCCCTGTAAGACTCATTTTAATAAATGTTTTACGTCTTCTGTTTAGCGCTGCACCACAGCGAGTCATTGAGAAGACCACCATTATCAAGACTGGAGGAGGTCCATCTTTCGGAAGAGGACCAGTTGGCCCACCACCGAGAGGTTTCGGACCAGGACCAGCACCAGGATTCGGGCGAGGACCAGTCGGACCATTCGGAAGAGGGCCAGTTGGACCTATCGGTAGAGGACCAGTTGGCCCAATCGGACGCGGACCAGTTGGACCAATCTCTAAGACAACCATCATTAAGACCACCGTTGTTGGTTAAGTATATTGTGCAATTTACAATTAACAATAAATATTCAATTCTAAACGTGTTTAAAGATAATTAAAAATGAACATCTAATAAAGATGTTGCTCAAAATCGTTCCTACAGCCTTATCATATTATTGGAGACATATGAACTTAATCGATTTGAATCAGTTTTACTCTGACATTCCATTCACTTAAGCAATTACACCATTTTTAAGATTTCTACTGACGTATTTACGCTTACTGTTAAAAAGAAAAATTGGCATGAGCTTACATGCTTACGCTTACTCGCAAGAAAATGTTGACTTACGCGCAACACTGATTTAAGTTACCAAGATATTCAGTGCACACATTTACAAACGATTATTCGACTTTCTTGAGTCTTTGGCGTATTTTAAGCTAGATACTAATATGTCTTTATTGAATATTTTCAAATTTGGCATTTCTAATCCTTCTGTGATATTGTATATCAATCCTTTGTTTTGTTCACACGTGTTCTGTTTTTTCTTCTATAACTCATTTTATTTTTATCAATTCAAGTTAAAGAGTTTCTTTTAATAGTTCTACAATATTCGCGAAAGCGTTGCCAAAGGGCCACCCGCCAAAAGGTCAAATGCTAAATTCAACGTCGTGTTGATATGGCCTTTTGGAAGTATCAAGGTCAAGATAACCATCTGGGTGTATCAAAATAACGAACAATCTTGCACAAAAACTAATTAGATATTGGAAAGTGTGGCTTGATCTTGCCCAGAATGACATCATTGAACATGATGATTCAACCCGTTTCATTATTTTATTTAGCCAGATTTTTGAAACTTTCTCGCTAAATTAGTCATCACAGATCACCCAAACTCGTCGAACAAAAGTCATAGTTCGACCCTATGCCTTACACCCTCTTATCGTCGTTTCCATCTTCCCGCAACCTTTAAAAGGCTGTGATTTTCCATTAAGTCTCAGTTCACACCTGACTTCTGATATGAATTTCCTTTCGTTCGTCCTCCTTCTTATTGCGGCTGTTTCCACATTGTAAGCTAAAAATGTTTTTTTTTTATTTTAAATCACTGAAAACCGACCTGAAATTCAGTGCCGCCCCTCAATTCATTCAAAAAACTACTGTCATTCACGGTGGACCTGGATTCGGACGCCCTGGATTCGGAGGTCCAGGTTTCGGCCGTCCTGGATTCGGTGGACCAGGATTTGGAAGACCAGGATTTGGTGGTCCAGCATTCGGACGCCCTGGATTTGGAGGACCAACCACCGTCATCAAGAAGACAATTATTCATGGTTGAATATGAAAATATGTAAAATAAATGCATTAATATTCCAACACGTATAATATTTTAATTCTTGTCTATGTTAAGAAGAGGAATTGAAAACCTTCAGTTAATGCTTTTTTGTTTTCGCGCAAGGCATTCGCATGGTATTTGTCGATTTTCTTTTTCATATATACTGCTTCGAATAATTCAAATTTGTCAAAAACATCAGTCAAAATGAAATTTAAATTGTCAAGTATCGTACGTCATAATTAAATAAATATCGTACGTCATAATTAAATAAATCACTAGAATAGATACTGTTCGTGAATATGGAAAAACTTTGAATATTTTAGTTCAACAGTGGAAAGAGTTTATGAAATCTTTTTAAATCATGGTTCGCCTTTTGACTGCAATTTGAAATAGAATTTACATCTTAGAACTATAAATGACTGAGAAGTTGCTTAATGTTGCGCTGGGCAATCTATGAAGTATACAAAATAAAAATTATGAATAAAAATTCTTATTCATATTAATTAAACATTCGTTGACTTCAAGCACCAATTTCACCGTATAGGTACATTTTAATGCACATAGAAATAGTTATCAGTACTTCTTCTATTTTGAACTATTTTGTAAAACCATCAATCAACTATTCAAAATATCGAGGAAGACACATTCTCGAATGTTAAATTTCTTTCGAAAATTATTGTTAGTGGATATATCGTTAAAAACCATCGCATTCCTTCGGTGCGAATAATATCGAAAAACCTAAGTGTATGTCACTAAGAATTTACTTCCTTGTTTTTAAAAGCATAACACAAAGAGTATTGTATAAATTGTTTTGATCCAGAGATTTGTGAATAATTTTTCAAGGATTGAGATCATTTTAAGTTGGTTTTCCATAAACCTATCATTTCAAAAATGGATGCATAAAACGTAGAAAATTTTTCTCTTCATGTCTTTTTTATCAATTTATTTTCATCGATGACCTCCGATGATCATCATTCAGTATTCGGTACAAGTTTCGACATTCTATCGACAATCTCTCCGCCCCTCAATGATAATGAACTCGAAGATAATGGTATATAAGGAAAATTTTTGCAGTGTGACCTAGGTTCATACAATGAATTTCTACACTGTCTGCGTTCTTGCCATCCTCGCCGTCGCCGTCATGTGAGCGATTATTTTATATTCAGAAATGTATTTTAATGTTTCTAGGGCCGCTCCACAGCACATCATTGAGAAAACCACCATCATCCGTGGTGGAGGTGGCTTTGGCGGTCGTGGTGGATTCGGTGGAGGACCAGGACAGTTCGGACCTAGAGGAGGTGGTCCAGGATTTGGAGGACGTGGTGGTAAAAATTTAACAGTAGTAGATTAAATTTTTAAACGATTTGCTCTAGGATTCGGCGGACCAGGATATGGACCAGGTGGTCCAGGAGGATTTTGACGTGGTGGTAACAAAATAAAAAAAGAGTAAATTTTAATTCTAATCAAATTGCTTTAGGATTCGGTGGACCAAGATACGGACCAGGAGGATTTGGACGTGGACCGACAACTATCATCAAGGAGACCGTTGTCCGAGGATAATTGTTGAACCCAAACCATTACCATATTCATATCCAATCATTTATTGCAAACCATATGTAGACAATATTACTTTTTTTAAATAATGAAAAATTGAACTCTAAATGAAAGATTATTATCGAGTGATTTTGAAGAATAGACTTCCTGCTGTGGGATGCGTTGCCGATCAAAAATTGTTTTATATGAAGAAGAGATAGAGTGCGAATTTAGCTGTAGTACATATTTAGAATAAATAGATGGGATATGTTATGATACTAAAAACAAAAATTTTAACGAATAATTTTAATATTTATTAAATTTCCTTAGAAATAAATAATAAGAAAAGGAAAAGAAACAAACGCAATTTTAACACATTTTTAGAGCTTCAATTTGAAAAAATAATGTGAATATTCTAACATTATTAATATAAACATTATTGTGAATTATTATCCTCAGGATACAATAAAACAAAAAAAATTTTAACAAAATTTTTTAAGACACCCTTTATTAACGGAAATGCACATAGCCTAAATGTTTTTCAGTGCGCATTTGTCTGCAAAATGATATTCGTCATGATGAAACTCAAGCTCTTCTCAAGATTTGCAGTAAATGTGGTCAGATTGGTCGTCTCATTTTTGAATGTCGTTAGTGTGAAAATCAATCTAAAATGTTTTTTTCTTCGAACATTATTTTGTTTAACAGTTATGCAACCTATCGCTAGCAATTTTGTAGAAAGCACCATATCCGTTGTTACACATAGCAGTCACATATCCAAAGCATCCTTCTTCATCGTAGCCAAGGAAGCTTAAATCAGCTTTTTTTTTAATAGCCATGCTTTTGGACTAACCTTGTAGATAGCTTGAAATTTCCATTTCCTCCACTCATTTCAAAAGAAGGGTGCTCAAATAATGGAATAGATGACGTTTGGAGTAACTCTCTGGCTTTTTGAATTCCAAGGAAATGTCTATCAATGCCCTGACCTCTCCGTGCCGAATCCATTAATGCGTTATGTGAATTGTACGCTTCATAAAAAAATGTGCAAAGTGCTTCTGGCTGAAAAGCAATATGATTACTAGTAGGATTGTATGTTTGAAATTAACTGTTGCTGCATTGTCACACGCTTTCAGAAACTTTGCAAGAGTTGGTGTCAAGCTTCTAACAGTCTCCGTTCTTCCGTGAAAGAACATTCGAGTGGAAGCAGTTTCATACGTCGGCGCGCACCTGGAAACCAAACACTTTCAATTATTCATTTATCACGTTTTTCGGTTAGAATGTTGACTGCCTTTATTTTGAATTTTATCAAACGACCTTGGCGATTTCAAATCGACAAAAATGGTCTGAAAACTGACCTGCCATGCGTGTTGTAATACGCCATTTGAAGGGCAATCTGAACTACTGTGTCTGTGTACAAGTTGAATTTCCTACAAAGCTTGTGACCATAACCATAGTAGGTGAAAACATTTAATTCAATATGAGATGCCTGAAATATAGTGGGGTACACATTATACGAGTATGATGTAAACCGTTTGTTTAAAACATTCTTCAGCTCGCACAATTTGTTCTTCAACATTTTTGGTCAAATCAAACACCAATTCTGTTGGTGGATACGAGATTTCCATCAATTCAGGGGTCCAATTGTAATCCAATTTTTTCGCGGCGTGATCGCACGGTGCAAACAAGGAAATTGCGTCGACATTGCAGTGCTGCAAACAATTGATCGACTGTGTATCGCAATTGTAAACTCACATCGGCCTGCTGACAGATCTGTCCATTTTTCATCACAATAACATTCAAATTTTTATCTGCATATGCATTATTTGGTAGACCGAATAGAGCATATTTCATTAGCTAAAATTCTTCTATTTCTTTTTTTTTTCGAGATATCCTTTACTTCTGACTCGTCTTCCACGATATCTTCTCCAATCGTCAAGCAAAACACCGCTTTCTCGATAGAATCAAAATTTTTCATATTTTGCTCACTGTCTTGGTAGAGAAATTCACGAATCTGGTGATTGATGAAATGTTGAATATTTCAAAGCTATTCGTTCTTACGTCGGCCCAGCTATTTCTGTCCAATGTGGTCAATGGCAAAATCGAATTCTCACACCGTTTTGCTGATTTCGATTCGATGAAAGTCAAAACTTGAAAAATTTCATCAGCACTTTTAATTTGCCCTTTCGACATCGTATCAAATTCCCATACATGTCCTTTACAGAATATAATTACGTGCGTCGGGCATGGTCCCTCTTTTTCTACAAATAAGAGGCATCAATGCTCACAACATTCTCTTTTTAATAACCGGTTCGAAAATGACGTTTCAAAACATCGCAAGGAACTTGCGGTTGGCGGCAGGCATTGAACAAATTGTAGACTTGAGACATATCCCATTTGACCCCTCTGCTTTGCATTATCTCAATCTTCTCCCTATAAACGCAAAAACAGCCTAGTTTCAGTTAAAAAGAGACTTTACTTTCGAATAAGTTGCCAGTAATTCATCATTTCGTGGATAAACTGGGCAGCAACATGAAGCTGCTGTTTTTTGTGAGGAGTTGCCCTTGGGTTGATTGCTCCCATATTTTGAAAAAGCAATGGGCAACGAGTTGAGTTGTACGCCTGATACCACCAAGATTCAAGCTAAACATTTTTTCATTGTGTTATTTTGCAATTTTTCATACGCGTTACCCAATTTCTTCGATTTTTTGCTCGCTTCTCCAAAAACGATTGAATTTTTTTGGCATCATCCGACTCAATGAAATTTTTTGAAAGATTCGTAACATCGGTGAGTTCGTCCGATTTCACTACGGGAATCACTGAAATAATTAAAAGTTTTTTTTATAGTTAGTGAACTTTCATTTTTTTTGTTGGATTTCATTTGAGAATTCAGCAAAAAACGTTTCTCCCCGGCCGGGAATTGAACCCGGGTCTCGCATGTGACAGACGCGGATACTCACCACTACACAGGTAAAACGGCACATACGAAAAATAGACGAAAAATAGATAATCATCAAAAATTGACTGTTTATAGACAATTTATTGTCTATAATCCGTGTGTGAAAAAACTAGACGGAATATAGATGGCCAATAGATGGAATTGTGCATGTTTGCGTCATATGTAGTGCATGCATACAATGCACTTTACCTCACGATTTTGGAATTTTTGCATTCATCCTAAAAATTTTTATATTTTTTAAATCTTATAAGTGAAATTCTGTTATTATATATGTACATATATGATGATGATATAAGTCTCATTTATATCTAACGTTTCAGCGTTTGCAGAAAAGAAAGTTGCTATTGAAATGGAAAAGAGAAAAAGAAAAGCAGTTTGCCTATTTTATAACAAAAAACAAGCAATACAACGCTTTTCCAGATAATTAACGATGTTACCACCGAAATTTTGTTGAAAAAAAGGTAGTTTTATAGTTATCGGAATAAATTACTTTTAAAAATTTAGCAAATTTTCCAAAAAAGTGTTGAGAAAAACGGGAATGAGAAATGAAATCAATGCTGCGATGGTAGCTGAAAGTTCAAAAGAGGGAAGTTATTTTGTTTGATACATAATTGTCTATCTCCACTTTTCAGGATTCTCAGATTGATGATACAGTTGCGATTGACGAATGATATATGTATGCTGATGCTGATCATAGGGTTTGTTGTCACAAAATATTGACTTGTTATTTATGCTAACTTTTTAGGCATTCTGTTCATATCGAAATACTTGGAACGTGCCGAACCTCATGAGAAAAGCATGCATAAACCCTAAAGCAAATCAATTGTATACCGAAGCCGATTGTGTGGTAAATCTTGAAAAAGTATTAAAATGTTGAAATAGTAAATTCAGAAAAACCTCGGAAATATGATGAAATCTAAGAAGCGTTTAAATTTTTATGAATTTATGCGCACAAATTTGAATGGAAAGAGAACGACGCAAGATGATTTGATGTGGATTTTTAATGTCGCAGTTCGAGAGGTTAAGAAGCTCCCACCGGCTGTGAAACGAAACCATTTGTGAAAAAAAAGAAATGTATGCTGTTCCTGTCGTATTTTGAATAAAATTATACTTCTAGGCAAAGTTATTGGCAAGAACACTCAGAAAATGGATGTTCCAGTCCCAAATATTCCAGCGAGTTACCCGAATAAGAATGAAAAATTCTACGAGTTTGAGCGTGGCGACATTTATCGTGATGAAGAATTCGACGTCGTGAATTATGAGGAATACGCAGAGAAAAACAATGAATTGAGATCGGCCGACAGAAAAATTAAATTATGAATTTTCTTTAATAATAAAATTGATGAAAATAACTGAAGTATACACCAACGGCGAGAATGATTTTCAAATCATATATATTTCTGAGCAACTATTCATCTATTTTTTCTTGAAAAAAAGACAGAAAATAGACCATAAATCGACCGCGCAAATATCTACTCATTGTTCCTCTCCGGTGTGACGCCGGTCTGCAAACGGCCCGTTTTTCGTATGTGCCGTTTTACCTGTGTATACTACCGAGGACACGGTTGCCGTTTTGCGAAACGCGATGATAAGCAAGCGCGACAATCGAGGAAATAAAATAACATGATAATACTTACATGAGTGCAAATACTTGCCAATCGTGTCTTCAAGCTTTGGCAACGGTAAAGATGGGAGATGGGATTGGTGGGAAAAGGTCCCTTGTTCCATATCTAAAATGCCAAAAATTGTGCATAATTCCTTATATAGAAATGATGATTGCCGTTATTTGTCGTTTTTGTTTAATGACCTTATTTTTTTTCGAAATGACAGCTAATAACACGAATTTGTTCAATATGCTAAGAGTCTGGCAGAAAAACAATGAAAATGATGGAAAAAAAGGAATTGCGTTGAATATACATTAAATTCGACGAGTTAGTTTGGGCATTGGAGTGCTACATTTCAGAAAGATGATTTTCGTGTTCAAAAAACAATGTTCAACAAACAGACTGAATTTGTCAGCGAAAATTGTACATTCCGGGAATTTTACAAGTCCCAATGAAAAAATGATGAATAGAAAAAATCAATTTAAACAAGAAAAAAAGCTCGCAAATTATTAGAAAATAAATAGAAAATATATAAAAATATATAGCACTGCTGTTGGGGTCTCATTTCACGTAAAACAGTTTATGAATGCCGTTTTCAAAGCAATTGACTACTAGAAATAACGATATAAAATAAAAATAATAATAGATGTATGTTCGAATATTTGTTAGTCGCAAACAATTTAATAGTAGTAAAGGCTAGAAAAAGATACCGTGTACACAAGTTATGAAAAAATCGTTAAAAAACATACAGAATGGTTGGCAAAATAAGAAATCTAACGGCAACAGATTTGCTTACCAAAATGAGTCATTGCTTCGAGTGCCTAACGGATCATTATCGATTTTCGTCGGTGTAGAATTGAAAATATCAAGACACGAATGTTTAAAACATGTTAACGTTTTAAAATCAAATCGGCAAATTTCAGCATATTTTTTCGCTCTTTGTTAAGCGGAATGACTATAAAACCTTCTTCAAACTTTAGCTTCATTGTAGAGACAGACACTTGAAAGTGTAATTCTATTTATGTAATCAATTTAAACTACAAAAAATACCAAATGTTTTCTCTTTAATTTCTCACATAGCTTCCACAGCTTATCCCCCAAAAAATAGTTTCTCCCCGGCCGGGAATTGAACCCGGGTCTCGCATGTGACAGACGCGGATACTCACCACTATACTACCGAGGACACATTCGATGATTTGTGTGTTGAAATGGTAAGACCACAAAAAATTCATGATAATAATTGGTTGATAATATCACTAGTCAATTTTCTGATAAGACTTAAAAAAAAACAATCGTCAAATTAAAACTCACGCACGAAACATGCGCACATTCTATTATTCTTAAAGAATTTTCTGTTAGAAATTAATTTTTTCTAGATTTTCAAAAAATGAAATAATTTAAAACTTTTCTACATAACGTTTTATTTGAAAAATAATTGCGCGCAATTCAAAGAATTAAATGCCAAAAACTTTTTTTTCACACATATTTTCCATAGCTTTTTCAGAAAAAACTTTCTCCCCGGCCGGGAATTGAACCCGGGTCTCGCATGTGACAGACGCGGATACTCACCACTATACTACCGAGGACACACCAGACAGCAAGCGATGTGGGATGAAATGCTCGCTGCAAGCGATGAGAGATCGCGTATGAGGAGATACGAGGACGCATAGAGAAATCGTTGTTTCTAAACGAAAATAAATTTTAAATTGATTTTCGGTCAGCAAAAATGAATCGACTTGAGACTGAATAACAATAAATCGAAGAAATTGGCATTAAAGGGCTTAGATATACGAATGCAATTGTGCTAATTTCACTGATTCTTATGAGAAAACTTTTTTCCTCCTCTCATGAATAACTTCTTTATGCATTCACATTTTTCAACCAATTTTTTTCAACTACTCGAATTATGAAGGCTCCAATAATTTAAAAGGTTCTACACAAGGAAAACAAGAAAACATTTTGAAAAACTTTTTTCCCGTTTGTTTTCCCACTTGGTAATTAAACCTCTACAGTTCTCCTTCCTCCGCGCTCCAAAGGAATCAAGAAATTTTTCTCTAATATAAATTTTATTTTCTTTTTCATATTCTTATGTTTAATTATAAAAATATTATTGAGCTCTGGTTTTGTTTATATTCATCTCATTGAAGAACCAAAACTTCAATTTTCCGCTTCTTCATCCGTTTAAATAATTTTTAGTCATTCATTCACTAATTATGTGTTTTAAATTCATTTTCATTTGTCATCTGATGACACAAATTTGTTAATTTATCGAATGTCACATCGACGTTTTTGAACATACTCTTTCTTTTACAGCAGCCTCTAGAAGTTCAAGAAAAGCCAATAAGTTACTTACAACCAATTTAGTGTCTTCAGTTTTTTGTTGCGTCCGCTATTGGCCTCCTAAAAGCTTCAAGACATTAATGCTCGAGCAAGTGTGGCAAACTCCAACGAGCGTTAAGAGAAATCAAGAAATGGGGCGTGGTTTCGACGATTGCTCGAAAGGGCGCGTCCTCTTATTTCAGCCGTCATTCGCGCATTCATCTCCATTACTTCGCGTTGGCCCTTCCAATATTCTCCAATTTCCAGAATGCAAGTCTACGCGTTTGCTCTTCTCGTGTTCTTGGCCTTCATCGCAATGGCATCGGCATTCCGCGGTGGGCATGGACGTCCATTATACGGTAGATTTGTCGAGAATTCAGGATTTAACGACGATTACAGTGCGAGCAGCGCGATTAAACTCGAATTTGGCGCTAGTAGATCAACCTAGGCCTCCAGAAAGGTGGTTCACGTTAAAACAACAATCCCTTTCCTATCCGCTATCATTCTGTTAACTGTTCAATCTATTTTATTTAATTGCTGATTTTGAAATGAAAATCAAATTATTTTAATCAGTTTCGTTTAATTCAGTTAATGTGCGCGTGAGAAGGTAATGAAAGAAATTTTAATGACCTTCATTGAAGGCATTTCTCGGAGCATCTGCTGTGCGAACAGCTGAATTCCATTTGCATGACTTATCTATCAAAATTGATGAGGTGGCATTCATTGAAATTTCGTTTATTGAAGGAGTAATCGGGGACGTGCAATCGGTGGAGGGCTCTCTCCCGCTTCGCGGCTTCGCCAGCTATGGAGGACGGGGCCCAGCTCGCACCTACGATCAATGGTAGTCGTCGCCCCGCCGCACATGCTTTTTTGATGAACAAATCTGTCATGAATGCAATAAATGTTTATTAATGTTACACAGTTGTTGAGTGAAAGCACTACAATAGAAGAGACGCGGAATTGAAAACAAGCAACAATTAGCAATTGGAATTAAGAAAGCAAATTTTATGCGCTGATTGTGAATGCTGTTGGTTTCTTTGGTGCTGAACGTTCACTGCAAAAAAATCGGATTTTTTTGGATAAACTATCGACCTTATTAGCCTGTCTCATTTTATTCATTATTTTTCCTTGAGACTCTTTCATGTCAACTTTAAATTTGACATTTAATGTTGAGTGACCGAGAAGAAACGTGACTTGAGGAAAACTTCTGACCAAACTAACAAACATAGGAGTTCATGAGTCGCCTATTTCGTGAGCAATATGAATTATATAAACTCACCTGTTTGATGGAGGAGATTCGAGCTCTTGCTGAAGGCTGGTGTCAAATGGAGTTGAAGATCTTGACGTTGAGCGCGAAGCTGCCCGACTTTGATGATCCTGCACACTAGCTGATGGATCATATCCTCTTCTGATAACAGTTTTCTATTTTAGAAGCTTTTTGATTTTTCTCTACCGAGAGCCAGAGCTCGACGGCGCTGCTGGCGGTTTTCCTCGCAATGTCGGAATAACTGCACTTCTTCGAGACTCTGTCTAAAATATTCAAGAATTTGACTTTAATTAGTGGAGAATTTTCCAACTCTTTCCTGCCAACTTGGCTTCTTTTCCCACCATTCGACAGCCCTTGGCTGAGACGAATCTGGCCTTTCAGAACGATCACTACGAATTACTTGGGTTTCCACGCTGTCCTGACGTCTTCTCGCAGGTTTTGAATATCGTTCATTCCGGGACGGAGGACGGTTTTCATAATCGTACGAATATTCTGAAAGAATTTTTTTTTGACAATCATTGAAAGATTTTTTATTCTACCCCGGTATGATTCGTGATGTGGTGGCGATGGTTCTCGACGCGAAATTTCGCGAGAAGGTTCTTTTGTCCGATATGAATTTCTTGGTTGTTGATGTTGTTTTGCATATCTTTGCTGCTCCTAAACTTTTTTTTAATGATAAATTTAATCTTTGTTTTGCGTGATTTCGAACCAGTTGTTCTTCATAAATTTTCTGACTTCTTCGCTCAGCAGCTCTCGCTTTTTCTCGAAGTTTTTCCTTTTCAAGTTCTTCTTCGCGCCGCAAACGCGCTTGGTATTCCTCCCACCTAAACAGAATTTTTTCAAATATTTTTGACTTTGAAAAAATGATTCAATTTGTAGTTTTACATAACAAAATTTTGCGCCGACCAATTTCAAAAGAACTTCCTGATGCATTCATGAAAAAATGGAAAGGGAAAAAGATTTCAAAAGGCGCTTAAAATTGATGTAAATATTAAAAATAAACGCAAACAACACTGAATTGAAAAAGCTACTTGAATTGTTGTTTAAACTTTTTTCTCAATTTCAGCAACAATTTTCAGATATTCGATGGCAACTGAAGAATGATTTGGATGCCCTTTTTCGCTTGAGCTCTCATCACACAGTAATTTTGATTTTCTTCGCATCATGTATGCAGCGTCTATGCGAGATTCTTGAACATCGAAAAACGCTGTTGATTGTTAATGCCTCCATGAACATGGTGTTTCTACTCCATTAAGCCAACTGCTTTTTTTGCTTTTTGTTTTAAACACGATTAAAAAAAACAATTACTTTCGAATTTCGCGCTGCTCCAATTCTAATTCCTTCTGACGTTCAAGCTCCTTTCTTCGTTTATTCTCTTCAATTTGCATTTGAAGTTCTAATTTGTGTTGTTCTTGAGTGGAAAGCGGTCTAAATTATTAAGTAGAGTAAAGAAAATTGAAAATATTTTTTCCCATACTGTCTTTGTGCCAAATTTGGCATACTTCCGTAGGGTTTCATTGGAGCCGGTGAGTAGTTCTGTAGAAAAAAATTGAATTCACAACGTTTCGAAAATCATTTCAACCATGTTATTTCCCTGTTTCAGCGTTGTGTAGTCGCTGTTCCTTCTATCCACAGTATTCTGCACATTGCTACTCATATTCACAGTGTTGTAATTTGAAATATTCTTTAAAAATTAACATAAATTTTCCGACTAATCTGAGCATACTTTTTGCGGAACAGATTGCGGGCTCAACGTATTATTATTGTTAATTTTGCTCAAATTCTCACGTGAATAAAATATGTCCGTATGATTAAGCGGTGGTCTTCCCTAAAATTCATTCATTTGTGTTAATCTCGCCGAAAGCTAATCCATCTCACCAACAAAGGGCCGAATTGTTGGTTTATCATCATATTGATTTGCGGCTCAACAGGAACATAAGCCAATTTCCCATCAATATAAAGCAGGCGTAAGCCAACAATTGAGCCAACCGGGTCGATATATGGGCTATGAAATGGTGAAAATTGAAGATCCGAGACTGGCAATGGAGCCATTGGTTGGTTTGATCCCGACATTTCCTGGACTGGCTCGGAATTCACCGAATTCGAATGTTGGTATGGAGGTCTAAAAACTCCATGTGTTTCAAGTCTTCGTCCTCTCTTGTACTTTTCAGGTTTATACGATTCTTGTGGAGGATCGCTCGGACCATAATTGTGTGAAATTTGCGATCTGAACGCATTGAACGCATTCCTTTGAATCTCCCTCTGGAAAACGTGTGGTTAACATTCATAGTATTATAAAATGGCAGACCTGCTCAGACTGCATTGACGCATTAAACGCATAAGTTCGCACCATTCCTAAATTCGGTTAATAATATCATAATTAACAAGTAATAACAGGTGACAAAATGAGAGTCAATAAAACGTGAGTGAGTTTCCTCTGGGACGCATTGATACCTCAACATTCAATTAGCCATTCGTTGTTGACAAAATTAGCAACATCTGGCTATCATTAAACGACACGTGTACAAGTTATAACGAAATAAAAAAAATGAACAACTGGGATGAAAATAAGGCGGACACAATGAAAATATGAGCGCATTCAGGAAACAAGCGATTTGGTCAAATGCTGGACGTGGATGACCAACTACACACAAGCATCCTTATAATAGGCGAGTGGACATGTCATGTAGTAGTTGAAGACTTGCACAAAAAAAAGAGCGCGAAAAATAAAGAGCCGACGCTTTGAATTCCTATTGTTTGCGGGAGTTGGGGCGGCCAAATTCGAATTGTTGTCGTGGTAACAGCATTTCGACTTATGCGCTAATATCGAAGAAATATTACGCGAAAAAATACGAATGCATAATGGAAATTTGTGAATGCATAGTAGTAGGAAAATGCAAACGAATATAAATTCTACGTTTTTACTTTGTTGAAAATTTGTTGCCAATGTTTCGGCAAGTTAAACACCAGTTTGTTTCATGAAATGTATTTCTCAAAAAAAAAATGTAAAAACACAATTAAAAAAGCATTTTTCACAATTAATAAGCATTTTAATAACATGAATAGTTCCTTAAAATAATGTATTTTGGTAGATTTACAACTGGTAAAAAAAGTAGATCAAAGATAAATATTTATCCTCTGATGCAAAAAAAACCTAGAAACACTTTTTTCTAGAATAAATATTGGTTGTGACTTCTGAAAAACATAATTATATGTTTCTAGAAAAATCACGAATGTTTTTTATTTCGACCAATGTTCAAATAGGGGTTTCCACGCGAAAAAAAATTGATAGCGTTCACCATGACGTCAATAGATTTACAGGAAAGTAAAAAAAAAGTGATGTAGTCATTTAATTCAACTCAACTTGAACTATCGGACATTGATAAAAATTTTTAAACAAATGTATTTCTTTTTTATAAACGAATAATTTTCCCGTAATCTTTTTTTTATTCCAACATCGAATATAGTATTACATAATTTTGCAGATGTTAATTGCCAGTTGCGACCATCAGATACCACCCACCAATAATGATGATTTCGATCGCAATGCGCGTGCCGTGCGTTTGTGGCCAGCCACCGGTTGACATGTTTATTGTAGGTGTGATAATACCGACCAAAGGGTGAGAAGATAAGGCGCCAATGACTCAATATCCCTCAGTTGATCCTGAAATCTCGCACCACCCAATTTCATGATTAATGAGATCTTCTCGACGACTACCAATAATAAGGACGCATTGAGTGTTATATTCCTTTCGATCTTTCCTCGATAAATTCCTATGAAAATGTGTGTGCATGTAACTGCTCAAATTTCAGTTAATTATAGTAATAGTTCAATAAAAGTTTTCGTATAATCGTAGTCATTTTTTCCCATTTTTACCATCCGCGATCGTTTATTATTCAGTGAATATTTGGCAAAAAACATAAAAAATAAAGAAACGGTTTTTTGTATAAATTATTTTATTTCAGTGGAATTGAAAAAAAAAAAATATTTTGAATAATTTCATTAATAGTTTTTTCTTTTCAATATTTAATCCTGTAAATTTTTCAATTATATTACTTTAATCATCATATTTGCATATTTTCCTTCTCCGGATAAAAATTACATTGGTCTTGTCAGGTTTAATAACAAAAATTTATTTATTTTTTTCAATCAAAAAATCAGATATAAATCAAGTTGTTAAGTCATCGAAACATTTGATCCAAATGTACAGGGTGTCATTTAAGTTCCCGCACAAAAGTTTGACGCCATGAAGAGATTGACTGTCGCACTTTTTGTGCACCAATACAATTTATTTTTGTTAAATAAGGTGTATTTTACTTATTTCCCAAGTTTCACATCATTCGGATGTGTTTCCGAGAAATGGCGAAGGCTAACATCCATCGCGCTTCCATTATCGAACTTCATAAGCAAAATGTGAGCCCGAGAGACATCATTCAACGGGTCGGTGTGCTTCGTAGAACGGTTTGCGACACCATCAAACGATTCAAGTAGCTAAATACGACCAGTGTCCGTCCCAGACAAGGAAGACTCGTCTCAGTAACCACTCCTCAGAAGATCAACGCCGTTAAATCGAGGATCAGGCGAAACCCACACAGGAGCATGAGAAAGATGGCGTCAGACATGGGAATGAGCATCTTTGCTATGGAACAAATCGTCAAAACAAAGCTTGTACTGACCCAATATCGTGTCCAAAAAGCGGCAATTCTATCGGCCGTCAACAAGCAGAGACGCTTCGAAAAAGCAAAACGACTTCTTGCTCGCACGCGGTCTGGAGAACACCTCGTCACTGTCTTCTCCGACGAGAAGCTGTTCAGTGTGGAGGCGGCATTCAACTCACAAAACCATTGAGTACTTGGCCAAACATCCCAGCAAGCTTCTGAGAAAGGAAGAACATATCATCCAGCCTCACATCCTGCCAGTGTGATGGCTTTCGGTGCCATCTGCTCAACCGGGAAGTGCTACGTGGTTTTCGTGGATCAGATGGTGAAAATGAACAAAGAAGTCTACGTTCGGGACATTTTGGAGAAGCATGTGATGCCCTGGACCCAAACGCATTTCGGTGGGCAGAAATGGGTCTTTCAACAGGACGGAGCACCCGCATACACTGCCAAAACTACTCAGGAGTGGTGCCAGACCCATTTTCCCGACTTTATCAAGTCATCCGAATGGCCTGATTGCTCCCCAGACCTGAACCCGCTTGACTTTTCCGTGATGGGGTCTTGCAGGAGAAGGTCATCGCAAAACCCCACTCAAGTGTAGAGGCTCTGAAGAAGACATTACTGGCGGAATGGGACAATCTTTCCATCGAATACCTGCGTACCACAGTCACATCCTACCCGAAGCGTCTCCGTGAAGTCATAGCTGCGAAAAGAGGCCGAATCAAAAAGAGTTAATAGATAAATATTTGTTATACTATAGATAAAAAATATTTCGAGTCTCGTTTGATTTGGACTTTTAGTTTCAGAAATGTACGTCTACAAAGTTGTGCGGGAACTTAAATGACACCCTGTATGAAGCAAACATATTATCCGGTGCTCTTTTATTCATTGAATCGGCCCATAAGCAAAATTTGCTTTTGAATTGTTGACGAAATTGTTTTTGACGGTCATATTGAGTAGGCAGATTATAGAAAAGTATGAAAACTACAGTATATCTGCTGGTCAACACATTTGTGTTAGGTGACAGCTTGAGAAAGCATAACTCTAACAACTATGTGTGATTAACTGTTAAAAGAGAAAGACCAACAAACCAACTTTTTTATTGTGAGAACTGCCTGTAATTGAATTTTTAGACATTTTGTCGGATATGAGAAAACATTTTCAGAATAGGAATTTTGTATAAGTTTTTTTTTATGAATAATTTAAACTCACATGAAGAAATTGTCTTCGAATCTATATTTCAGGAGCAACTTTTTTTGACTAGTTGCAGCCAATTGACATGAATCAAGAGGCCAGCTGTTCTGAACAGGACGCCTTTTTCGTAAGTTATTTTGAAATATCCAGTATTTCTTCATGAAAGTTTTTTAAAAAATAATTTTGGCATTTTTTGTGTAAACACTGTCCAAAGTTCGCAGAAGAACGGGAGGTCTGATATAACAAAATTGATATTGGCAAAGTTTTCAACTTTTCAATGTTTGAACCATCTTATTTATTCTATCAAATTGGGGCCTAGAATACAAGAAAAGCTTTTCATATATATTATGAAAAAGATTCATGATCATTCATTTTGCAAAACGCAACATTTTACTTGACTAGCTCCGCCCATCAATCCGAATCGGCCAATCGTGTCGCGCGATTGGCTGCAGTGGGTGGGGGCAAGCCATCTATGGTGATGTTGTATTCACTCATTCTTCTACACCCCACTGTGCGTGAGCTAATACGTGTTCAACTCAGCTGGAAGTCTCATGAACATAACACCATTTTTTTGTTTTTTAATACGTGAAACCAATTGCCCCATTATTCCAATTACTCGTTTCAGATAATGATCGGAGAACTCTATTATACACAACGGGATCAGGCGCCTTGGGTAGCAGCGCCAAACCCGTATCAAGGTAATAATCCGATAGTTTTTGTCAAATATTCCCAACTAATTCTGACATTTTCAGACCAAGTGTCGTTTTCTCCAAATTTCTACAACGAGCAGCATCACAATGCTCAACAACAACAATCATCGCAACAACGATATTTTGCTCAACCGGATGTATTTTCTTATTCAAGGTTAGTCATTGATAGTTGTAATGTCACAAAATGATTTTGAAATTCCCCAACTACCGTATGCCATCGGCGGATTTCTCTCAATTTCCCTTTTGCGGTTAAACACACATTAAACAACTTGATTGATTAGGCAATATTGTCAATGAAAGCGTTTACAGAAGAAACCTGCCATTCTACAGTACCATTCCGCCTTGCAAGTCGAGCTGTTCTTTGACGTTTTGTAAATGGGTTGAGGTAAAAAAGAGAGGCGAGAATATGAAAATCTCGTGGCCAACAATTGCAACAATTCGAGAAATATAAACGATTTGCAGAATGGCGAAGAATGCGGAATGGTATTCGATTCACCGCAATCAATCTCCACGCATTTGAGCGATTATCATATTCCGCGTGGCGATCAAAATAATCACGTGTGCCACTGGAAGGATTGTAGTCGAAATGGGAAGACATTTAAGGTTAGATAGTTTACAATGGTAATTCGATATTGCGTAACAATTGCTACCGTTTTTGTATTGAGCATCATAATTGTTGAATTCGAGCCAACTCGTGCAAAACAAGAGAGATGTGCAATTATGTTGATTGCGCGGTTTATTCGCACCATTGCGCTAATGATCGAATTTCTATAACTTTTCGGGTTCGCATTTGGGAGGGAGATGAATATTGTCATTTATTCTGATTTGATTAGTTTGATTTTCAGGCAAAATACAAACTGGTGAATCATGCTAGAGTACATACAGGAGAAAGGCCGTTCACATGTCCCATTGAGCACTGTCGCAAAGAATTCGCGAGATCCGAAAACTTGAAAATCCACGTCAGAACACACACAGGTTTGAAATTTGACTAGCTTTTAATACTCACGAAATAATTGCTATATATGAGCATATATGTGCGCGAACGACGTCTGTTACGGTGTGAATTTCTACACCATGAAGATTATGACACTTTAGCGTTATTATGCGAATGTCAAGTACACGGCAGGTGAAATGTTATATTAGCACTTGAATTGTTGTTATTTCTCGTCTAGGATCTGATCCAAATTCAAATTCAATTCTTCGCTCTTGATTTATTCGTGGATCACGATGGAGAGATGAGTTATTCTGCATAGTGTGTGTGTGTGTCTCAAACAACCGTGCGAGATTTACGATGTCGCCATTTAAGAATCCTATTATTGTCAGGCAAATCTTTAACGATCGCATTGTGACAGTTTTCTCGCGTTTCGTGCGCCTCTCCCTTCATTATTATGCACAACGCAAAAGACACAACGGCTACCGTAATCCGATTGCCGCCTTTCATTATTTTTTCTCGCCAAATGGTTTCATTTCAATCTCGGTCACTGCTTGTTGCAAGATTCAAAAGTCAGCGAAATCAAGAGGATTAAAATAGAATGAATGAATTAGCAGATCGCGAGAATTGAGGGATCGGCACACTTCTCAAGATTTTCTGAGATTGTTTCGGACTAACAAATATGAAATTTTCTTTACTAGTATGCAGACTACTACATCATATTCTTAAGGATAATTACGCCGTATGACAAGCGTAACCATGTTTACAAACAATAGTGTTGACTTTTTTACGTAATGAGATTATTCGTAGCTCTCCGCTTTTAACCATACACGGTGCCGCCTTAATGATGCTACCGCTGTTGCATAAGCGCGTGTGGATCATTCAAACACGCTGAAGGAAATATTTCACAGCGAAAATGATTTCCCATCTGCCAAATGTCAACGCTTAAAAATCTCATCTGCCCCGATTCGAATAAAAATCAGGCAAACCTCACGATGGTGATTAATGAGGCTACTATATAACATAGTTATGCATACACATTAGCGCACATTTGATCCTATTGTTGAGCCAAAGTGTTATTTACCAAAGGGAAACGGCTCGGCAAGTGAGAAGAGCACTCCGAGTTTCCCGTCGGCAAATAACGCCGAGCATGCACATCATACGTTTTGACAACGAGAACAATAACCAAAAAGGCCACCTGTCCGAATTTTTGATGATATATTAGTTTTTTGATGTTGCAGGCGAGAAACCGTTTCAGTGTACGCATGAGGGATGCACCAAACTCTTCGCCAACTCATCGGACCGAAAGAAGCATATGCATGTGCATTCAACGCAGAAACCATATAGGTGCAAGGTGAGCAACAATGACAAAGTAGGGTGAACACTAATATTAATTTTATTGCAGTATGCCAATTGCGATAAAACCTACACACATCCAAGTTCTCTGAGAAAACACCTAAAAGTAAGTTTTTTCTATTATCACATTTTCATGATCCTGAATAGTGTTTAACCGGATAATTAACTGGTTCCTAGGTGGCACAACACACACGATAATTAGATTTAATCATAATTTTCGCGGGGATTTAGCCCGCATTTTATCTTGTCCTTAGCTCGTCTTAACTCGCGTGACTTCTTATCTTGATGAGATGAACAATTAGAGTCTCACGTTGTCACGACTTAATCCGTAGCAGATTAAGGATCTCACCACCGTACTGTGCGATTGAAGACCGAGAACTCGTTTCGACGCCAATCTTGTTATTGTTATTCCTCAATTCGAAAAATGCCGTTTTTGTTTCCTTCAACTATTTTTATACCTCACGATCGATTTATCAAATAGTGGAGGGGGGAAGGGCGAGGCCGACAACAATGAAGTCAGCGAATATTAAACAATTTATTGACTTTCAGGCTCACGAGAAGGATGAAAATTGTAAAACTCCCGACCACGATGAGAGTAGTGATTCTGGACATGCATCCGTTGGATCTCCACCGGATGAAGCTGAGCCTGAATTCTTTGCAGAAACCACCATAAAGGCATTTGAGGTATTAAATATCTAAACGATAAAGTTGTAATTGTTTTTATTTCAGTTTGAACCAAAGCCAGCTAACCAAAATGCATTCATGCCATCGACATTCCAAAACATTCAACCAGTTGATATTGAATGTTTTCAAACGTATCCCTTAAATCCAGCTCCTCCTATGTACCCAATTAATAGTGGCGAATTTTTCTCACCGGACCAGACGCATTATTAAATATTGCATGTTTCCATCATTAACGCCGCCGTCGTCTTTTCATTCCTGTAGGATCTCGATTTTGCCTTCTTTGTCCACTCATTCATTATGTTTTCCGGGTAACACCAAACGTTTTCGCCGTCAAGCACTTTAACTTCCGCTCAACACCTTCCGATTGCCTTCTTTTGTCCCGTCTCACTACACCAACAATTTACAGCAGTCTTCTTGCTGCTCTCATTCTATTGCTTAATTGTCGTCGCCGGGGCAATTTTCAACTTTCTTTTAATGGAAATGCTCAAAAAAAAAAGTTTTTGTCGAAATGGATTTTTCCAACGGGGATTCTGTAATACAGATTGTTTATTCAACAAACATTTCATCGAATTGTTCGCGCTATACATATGTTAAATTATTGCGAGTATGTCATTAATAAATGCAATTTTTGTTGTTTCATTCGATGTCGAATTAACCTACATCAAGACGCTTAACGGAAAACCGCATTTGTTAGCCAATTGTCGGTGCGTTTTTTGATGTGGTCGCGTGCCGCCAATCGGTGATTAATTGTGAAAGTAACGATCGGCCTTTTTGTACAATCTTCGTGCCGAATTTTCAAAATCGTTCAGGTACCATCTCCATATATGCACAAACATACCAAGTAGCAAGTAGCAAGTTTCTTGTACAACATGCGTAACAATGCGCTACACAAATTGGTCGGCAAACATTCGTCAAGAGCCCCTTTGTGATGTAATAGGTGTGCTCCGTGCAGGAAGAGATAAAGTAATAATTATTGGGCGTGCTTGGTATTGGAAATATTCGAAATCAGTTCGATGTTATTCATTTAATCGCGGCGATTTTCTCACGATCATCAGATCGTATCCGTCATTATCGGTTTTGCGCGAGTCTGTCGTGCGAATCATTTGAAACTTGGAAAAATCGTTTTTCGTTCCTCTTTTGAAATTATTTAAAACAAAACGAAGTGACGAGTGAATTGGAGGTGAAAAGAATAAAGTATTCGATGCGGTAAAGGGATTTTAAAATGTATTTTTAACGAAATTAGTTACAATTTTTCATGTAATTAAATTGTATATTTCAAAACGTTTTGAACATAATTATGATTAATTCAAGTCAGAAATAATTTTGATAGAGGGACCCCAAAGAGATTTGCCACCACATAACCTCTGAAAAAAATTTAATTTATTTCGAATTTGGGATTAACTAAGAATTAATGATTTCGAATAAATCTACACGTTTAAATTTAATGTATTTATTTTAAATTGGATTTAAATGAATGAAAAAGAAACTTTTTCCAAATTTACATTTATCCAACTTGAGAATTCAAATCATTTTTTCTGCAAGTGAATTTGATCCATTCGTGCCATATTGACACATTGGCGATACAGGTGAAAAACACCTGCAAAAAGTTTATCTCGAGGAAGATATGCGTACAATTTGTAGCAGGTTTTTTTAACCCTAATTATTTGTTAATTGCATGTTACCAATTGTGTTATAATCGATCTCACACAACGGTGTTAAAACTGATGCACTTCAACTATGTGCCCTAAATATATGGGAAACGTTCTATTCACTTGTAATTTTGAATAATTCAAGAGCATTTTGCACTATTTGAAATGTTCCATTATAAAATGCAGTACATCCCAACAATTTCAAAATACATTCTCATTCCTAAATACAAGTCGCCAGTAATTTCCCGTTTACGATTTCAATAGAATTTTCTTCAACGCTAGCAGACACAATAACGGAAAGTTGTTGAATGGGTAAATTGCAGTTTGGGCCGGAATCCAACTTCATTAACCTTTTTCCATTTGAAATCAACAACAACAATTTTCATTCTTGGTTTTTACGTGAAACAACTGCAAAAAAAGTATCATTTATCCAATTTCCAAAAAGCTGGGGTGTGTGTTTATGGAACACTTTTGGGGAAATGCCACTTTTATGTTCTTGTGTTAGGTTGTTAAATTTATGTTTGAGCATTCAGCTCTTAATATTTACTCAGTTATATTTAAAGATATTTAATTTGTTTGATTAAAAAAGAAAGGAGTAAAAAATTATATTCATGGCAACTTAAAAGGTTTATTCATCCGTAATAAAGCAATGTTGTCTGTCTCTTTTTTTTGGGTTTCGTTTTTTTTGGTGTGTGCCAAAAGCTTCAAAATTGTTCTAAAATCAATTTTTTTAAGTTCCTCTAAGGTTTATTTAAAAATCTAGGGTAACGTCAGTCGGAAATATTTTTATCTTGACAATCGTGACGTGTCAATGTACTCATCCTGTCACATCTCATATCTATGCTTACTATCCGAGATCCAATCTAAGATTTGACACTAAGCCCTTATAATGGTTATCAGCAAAATTTTTATCATATTAATATACGTGAGATGATTAGATATTTCTTTTTTGATTGGAAGTGATTTTTTATATCGTAAAATTGAAATGTGAAGGGGTTATAGCCATTTTCAGCATGAAACTTGCTTTTCTATGAAACCCAAATTAAAAATTGACAAATATATATTGAATAAAATTTATTAAAACCTTTTTAAAAATAGTAAACAAGGAATTTTGAATTTTCATTCAAAATAATTTTGTGTTCCTTTCTTCCTTCTGAAAAACTTATTCCACCTCAATTCTTTCAAAAATTTCATTTTAGTCTTTCCATAAACGTATTAATAGTATTGTTTTTGAAAAACATTGATACTTTTTTGTGCTAGACTTAACGATGAGTACTAATTCGACTAATTGAATTTTGCTTCTTTGCAGTTGTTCGTCTGAAACCACTCATTCTTCTCGTTTAAAGACTTTTGACTTATGGGGGCGGACAACCCAGGCTCGGTTAGTTTTTTTGGTAAAAAAAAGAATAACCAATTAAAATAAAATATTGCAGATATCTGAAGCCATCAATCGATTCCTCAATAACACTACCGCGCATGGTTTACCGCGAATTTCAAATGCCAGGAATCATAATGGAAAATTGTTCTGGATTGTTATTTGGCTCACATTTTTTTCTATGTTCTTAGTCCAAGTATCTCCGATCATAATGTTGTCTATTAAAAAAAAAACACTTTTAGGCGGCTCTTTTGTATAACAAATATCAGCAAAAGCATCCGTCTACTAATGTTAAGGTTGGTCAGTTTTAGATTTGAAAATCTTTGGAATAACTGGTAAAGGAACATTTGGGAAATCAGTAATTGAAAAGAACTGAGTTCGATTTACTCAAGAAATGGAAACAAAGAATTTGTTCGAAAAAGTACTTTCGGTACGGCTTGCAATGACGTTTCCCAAGAGCCTAAATTTCTAACAAGGTTTTTTCGGCTACTCATCACTCCTTTACAAAATGACCTTTCTTCTTATTGCAGGGCACTAATTGTAGTTTCATTATCTTTTTTGTTTTCTTGGAATATTCTAGCCCATATGTGGGCAAAATATTCCAAATATGGCATAGAGGTTGTAACAAATGCTATGAAAGGATTAGTTAATCCAAAAATAAGGTATCATCACGGATGTTTTTTTTTTTTTTGAAAGTGAAGAGTAGTTGTTATTCGAAAGCGAGATGCCCCATTTAAAAGTCGTTTGTTCTCAAGCACTGAACATTTTTTTGCAAAAACGAAATGTAATGTTCAAATCATGAAAAAGTACGGGAAAATATTTGAACATCATCCTAGCATTTCAAAATTTTTTCCCAGAATTCAAATATATAGATTTGAGATTTGAGATAGCGATACCACATAGGTCAGAGAATTTTGGAGTTGCGGACTTTACTTTCAATTGTGAATCCTGGGACCTGATATTTCAAAGTTAGTTCAAACATCACAGAGGCAATGCTCTTTGAATTTTTTTTGTTACTATTGAAAAACGTAATTTCACTCTGAACTATTATTTTTTGCAAGACGCAACGTCAAAAATCGTCATATTTTGAGTTCGTGAACTTGTAAATATAAGACAAATTGAAGTTCCCAAACTTTGTAGACGTGTGTAGCTGTTTGTCATCGAAATGTTTTTGATTATTCTTGAAAGCATCTCAGACCAATTTTATGAGGCTTTCACTCTTATTGTTTCTTTTTTGGTTTAATTCGATTTTCTTACTTCTCGTTCATTTTTTCGTTTTTCGTCCAAATCGTAGTAAACGAGTTTCGGTGGCACGAAATGGATATTAGGCGGCTTGCAATAAATCAGCACCGGATTTTTGTGCAAAATTACAGGTTCGCGGCTTTCCCCCTTGAATTACTTCATTCAATTCTCGCACAAGCTCATTGAGCTATTCGGCTAGAATTCTATATGGATCTTTACTTTTTCCTTCCCAACTTGTGCTCGCTTTGATTTGCGTAGAAGTACTCAATCCTGCTAGAAAATGAATCACGGTGTTGACTAGTCGCCGAATAAGAAGTGTTACTAGGAAAAGTTGGAGTCTCCTGACACACTGGGAGCTAACGCGAAACGAAGCTTATTCCATATTAAAAGCCTCTGTTTTTCTTCATGTTTTTCGAAACTTACTGCTATGACCACAGATAATAATAATGACCGTTTATCTATTTTAAAAGTATTATTAAATTTTTAAAAAATATTCATGAACTCGCTCAGCGTTTTATTTAAAGATCGCCGTGTTCGTATGAACTATGAATTTCAAATTGGCGATGGTGATTTTTTATTCATTCGGTTGGCTCCAATCATGGACACAAAGTAGTAATAGAGACATTGTCAAAGTCACTTATTGCTAGATTCGTTCTATTTATTTTTTTTTGGTTTTTTGATATAATTTTTTTAATGTAAAACGATAAAACTACATATAGTTTCAAACTTCTGAAAAGACTCAGTGCATTGAAAATTACAGTTTTTACGATAACAAAAACTATAAATTACCATCGCAATAAAACTCATAGTAAAGGTGCTCGTGATTTTAAAATATTTTTCGATTACATTATTTAGAAAAATTTTTTCAAATTTGAAATGATACAATAGCATTTAAAATCTGCAGAAAAATAAAACTATTTTTTGTATTGAAAAAATATTATTGAAAGACACGTCATTAAAAAATTCTAAAAACAAATACCGTATTCTCTCGTTTTTCATTTTTCCATGTCATGAGTCATCCTGTTTTCTGCTCAAACGTCACAATGTTTCCAGGTCACTTGTCTCATGGTTTCCGGAGCATTCCTCTAAAAAAATTGCGTTCGTTTGTGACAATCTGAGCGGATTTCCGTTTCATTGATTCTCGAAGCAAAAGCCTGTCTGAGGAGGTGTTGCTGCATAGTTCTCGATTACCACAAGGAACGTCTAAAATTTCGAACGAAAGTGTAAAAAATTTTGTAACAACGTTCCTCGACCTACCAATATGAAAAAAAAATCCGCACGCACATATCACCGCATTATATTTCGAAGATGACAGTTGCTCTGGTCAAAGGGACGTACTGGCAATTGTGCTTTTTCTCAGGCACCCGCATATTTTTCGTAAATTATTGTTTATGTTCTCTTTTTTGTAATATCACTGTTATTTTGATCTACGTTTTGAAGTCGTCCTTGTCAGTTTCCAATTCTAAATGCATCGTTTTTCATCCCATCAATCCAGAATCACACGTGCATGTCTTGAATTCTAGATGTGCTGAATACATGCATTGAATTCCCATAAATAAATTCAGTTAATTTTTCTATTTTTCCAAACATTATTGTTTTGTAAAACCCGTCACAGAATATCAAAAATCAAATAGATTAGGACTGAGTTGGTCCGCGAAGCTTATGTCACGCTTTTTTAAAATGTAAAGAACGTCGATCATTTTTTTTTTGCAGTTTTTTTTCAACGTAGAGATTAAAATAAGAGCGCTATTTTTAAACTTTTTCTTTTGACTCGCTGAGTACCAAAAAATTCGAAGCAACTTATGCGAAAATTATCTGAAAAAAAATAAAAATTGTGTAATTTCCCAAAAAATGCCAAAAATAAAATTGTTAAACCGTTATTAAGCAAAAATTTCATATTTAAATATCCTTTCCAAACATTTCTCTTGATCATCATATTGCTCTAATCTCTCATGAAATTCACTTAATATCTTCCAATCACTAGAAATCAGCTGGCACATCAATTAATAATAGTTGTCAGAATTTACGGCATTTGTTTTCTACACATTACGTGTTTCTCCGATAATTTCTATTGATTCTTGATGATCAGCTCAATTACTCACGTTCCTCAACTTCAGCAATGAAAAATCGCAAACTGAATAACGAGAAACTCCCGCAGTTTGGCGACTTTGTCTATAGTCACGATATAACGCCACCCGAGAAGGAAAATGAATCAAACGAGCATGATGAAAATGTGAAAGAGATTTTTCGACAGTTTGCCGATAAAACCACAGCTCACGGGGTTAAACGTGTATTCATTGCGAGGAATCAAATATCCGCATTCATGTGGAGCATGATTATAACCCTATTTTTTATAATGTTTCTTTACCAAGCCGCCAAACTTATAATTAAGTATAATAACCATGAAAAAATAACTGATATTTCGGTGAGTTTCAGTTCGATTCTCAGAATAATTCGTTAATTTTTCAGCTGAAATTTGATAAAGTTGAATTCCCAGCGATCACATTTTGCAATTTAAATCCATACAAAAAGAGCTTGGTGATGATGGTTCCTTCGATTCGAGATACGGTAGGTGGCTGTTTCATAGTGATGTCATTTATGATTGACGATGTTTCTCCTTGCCACTTGACAAAATATTTTCAGATGGATGTCTACGACAATGCGAAATCCCATAGTAAAAGTGTAGAAGAGAAGCGTAAAAAGCCGAAGATTTCACGGAAACAACACTCGGATGCCGGACAAGAAATGGTTTGTAAACAACGATTCGCAAGAAAATTACAACACCCATATCGAATTTCAAAACCTGCATGATGATTAGTTTTTGAGGTTCGTAAATTATTTGCAAAAGAAATTGAAGAAGGGATGAAAGAGCTGAAGAAAGGCGCAGCCGCGTTGAACGAAACATTTGGTGGCACATTTATGAATAGGAGGCAAAAGAGATTAGCGGTATGTCTATCATGGCTACAATGGTATCATACAATTATAGGAGGACACAAGACGATATGAAGCTATTGAAGCGCATTGCAAATGCGTTGGAAGTTTGGATATGGAGTGTATTCGCTTTGAATCGCCGCCAAAGGATCCTGTAAGATTCAATCAAAAAATTATGACAATAGAATGATTGAGTTTCAGACTTCAAAGTGTGTTTGCACATACGATCGTGATATGCAAGTGGCATGGCCATGCTTTAATATGAGGTATTTTACTGTTTTTAAAACTATTTCAATTTTTTACTCAAAATTTTAATTTAGCCAAAATTGAGCTAAAGGTTTATTAATATTGAGCGTTTTATTTTGTGTTGCTACAACCTGCATGAAGCGTATTTAATGCCAAGAATTGATACTTTTGCTCTATTTAATTTTCGAAATGATTAGTTCGTCTTTAGTGGTTTAGAATCAGAAGCTCTGAAATTTACAATGTTTTCATTAAAGATTTTTTACATTGTGAAATTTTTATAAATCTAGTTTAGTTGATATCAATAACAATTATTAATTAACACCGAGGAACCACTGTCACTGTTATTTTTTGAAGGAATTTCGGAAAAGTTATTTTTCAGCATTTGGTATGATCACGATTGCCCTCTTTGTCACGATGATGGTTATTGCGAGTCAGCCCTTCCAGCAGGAATAACTTCATCTGATCACTGGCCATGCATGTGCCGAAGTCGCGCTGACACTTCTGAAGTCGATGACGTTTGTTTTTTATTCATTTTTTCAATACGAATCTTTATCTGCCTAATTCTCTTTCAGCTTCTAGTTGTAAAATATGGACTTCGAAAGGTATAAAAAATAGAACTTGAAATTATTTCGATGCACATTTATAGATTAGAGAGGCACCCTTTATGTTACCTTTTCAGGATTTTGGAACGTTATTTCAAATATTTAGAGAATAAGTTGTTGAGTTCGACCGAAAACATGACTTATTGCATTTAAAAATTTTTTACTATGAATCTACTGCAGAAGCCGTATTGCATTGCAAAACCTGGAATTGGACCAGTAGAAATTCGAAAGTTATGGCTTGATAATGTATCGACAACAACCACTACTACTACTACACCAATTCCAATAACAAGTAGGTGCACTTTTTTTTAATTATGTCAGCACTTTGCCTTTTTTATTAGCATGTTGCATGTTCAAGCTTTTTTTTAGCGACAACGACGACTGAAACGCCTACGACAACGGAATATATGAGTAAGGGCTTATTTATTTTGCAATATTTGTAGAACCCACTAATATAAATTCAATAAATATTAATTTTGTTATTGTGACCTAATTATGTTATTTACAATAATCAAAAATTTGTATTTTTTGATGTTAATATTTCTAAAATTATAACCCGAATTTGTAAGATAAGTTGTGACCTTTAAATAATGTTTTTTTGGAATGCACTTTTACTAATTCTTGAGCTTTTTACGCTTAATTTAAGCAACTACGACAACTTCTACAAGCACGTCTACAATAACATCAACAACTACGTCAACTACAACCAGCACTTATACGACTACAACTACCGAAGAACCTTCTACTACCAGTAATTTCGATTTAGCATGATTAAGCGTTCACCCAACACACTAATCTGATTGAAACAATTTCATTTTGCTGTTAAAGGTCTAATCGTTTCGATTTAGCAATTCCACCTGCGAAGCCAAATCAAAGGGCCATTGTCAGCAACCCAGAGACAATCAAAGCTATGGGTTTTCAGGTAAGACTAAAGCGCTGCTAAAGCGTACTAAGAACTGGTTTTAGGGAATGACTGATGGAGTTGCTATGCTCACAAGAGCCAAGGAAAATCTCATGTTCACCATGGCTGCTCTTTCTGATAAACAAAGAATTGCTCTTAGTCAGACGAAACATGAATTTATAGAAATGTGCTCGTTTAATGGAAAAGAGTGTAATATAGATGAGTAAGCATTGAAGATAAATCATTTCTACTGAATGAAAATGATTTGCAGAGATTTTCGACTTCATGTGGATCCAGAATTTGGAAACTGCTTCACGTTTAATTACGATGTCAATAACAATTATACTAGTAGTAGGGCTGGCCCTATGTATGGTAAGCGAATTACCAGGATTTTTAAAATTTTCGCGTCGCCTTTAGGAATTCGTGTGCTCTTATTTGTTAATACATCGGATTATATGTCGACATCCGAATCGTCCGGAGTTCGATTAGCAATCCATCCTCCAACGGAATGGCCGTTTCCTGACACTTTTGGCTATTCCGCTCCGGTTGGATTTGCAAGTAGTTTTGGAATTAAAAAGGTGCATCCACATTGTTTCATTTGTATGAAAAGTTTTATATTGTAGAAAGTGATGCAACGTTTGCCAGCGCCTTACGGCGAATGTGTGGAGTCGAAAAAAGTCACCGATAAGGACTATATTTACGCCGGATATGATTATCATCCAGAAGGATGCCATCGTAGTTGCTTCCAAACCGGTTTGATCAACGATTGTTCTTGCGGTGATCCGCGATTCCCTGTGCCGGAAGGGAAAAAGCATTGCTCAGCATTCAACGCAACAGCTCGTAATTAGAGAAATACTTGAAATTTGAAATAGAAACGTATTTAGGTGCTTGCCTGGAAAAGAATATCGGATCTGTTGGAGATTTCCATCATATAACCGAAAATAAATGTGTTTGTAAGCAAGCTTGTGAGGAAATAATGCACGAAGTTACTTTCTCCTGTTCAAAGTGGCCTTCGGGTGCTACCGATGTGAGTTTTAAAGAAGGATCAACAATCATTAATTAATTAATTGCTTTTGCTAATTCATATTTTTAATATTTTAGAGCGAAAGAGTAAGTTTGGATCGTATAGTGGTAAAATGTGTAAATGTCTTCTCCTAATTACCTACGTTTCTTAAATACCTTTAGTTTTGCACTAGTTTCGTAACAAATATCACAGTCCTGATTTCCACAATAACTATGTTGAGTAGACGTGAACGTAGTGTTTTTAAATTCTTCATATAATATTCCTGATTTTAGCTGGGCGATTGCGAAGGAATGACGGAGACTGAATGCGAACAGTATTATAGATTAAATGCTGCAATGATTGAAGTACTCACAATGTAATACAATTTATATTAGTTTTTGTTAATTTCAGGTTTTCTATGAGCAATTGAACTATGAGCTTCTTCAGGAGTCAGAAGCTTACGGTATTGTAAACTTACTTGCCGATTTTGGTGGTCACTTGGGTCTCTGGCTAGGCAAAATTTTCCTAATATTTCTAGATTAATTCCAAATTTTCCAGGGTTTTCTGTCATCACTGTCACAGAAGTTGTCGTCTTATTGGCTGACATGCTCACATTTGGCTTTAAAGGTCGCCAGGAGGAGAAACTGGAAAACACGCGGCGCGAAAAAGAAGCAAGAGTGCATTCGATCGTTGGTGTCAGCGAAAAAGGCGACGCCTTTGTTCAAATTTAATGTTCCAAATGTAATTAAACTTGTGTCTATATGCATGTATTTCGAAAAGTAGATCTCAATAAAATGTTTATCCCCCAAAAAGACAAATAGCAAGCAAAGTAGCAAAGAGAGCAGAATTGATAAATAAACCATAATCGATCGATAAACTAAAATGACAAGATGCTACTCTTGATCGAATGCTTCAGCGGCATCCTCATCAGCAGCAGCTTCTTGGTATTGCTGGTATTCAGAGACCAAGTCGTTCATGTTGCTTTCGGCTTCGGTGAACTCCATTTCATCCATACCTTCGCCAGTGTACCAATGGAGGAAAGCTTTACGGCGGAACATTGCTGTAGAGTACGCGTTTAATTGCTAATAATAGCTATATAGAATACCCGTGAATTGCTCAGAAATTCTCTTGAAGAGCTCCTGAATGGCTGTAGAGTTTCCGATGAAAGTTGCTGACATCTTAAGTCCTCTTGGCGGAATATCGCACACTGCGGTCTTGACGTTGTTTGGAATCCAATCGACGAAGTATGATGAGTTCTTGTTTTGGATGTTCAGCATTTGCTCATCAACTTCCTAAACCAATTAATTTAATATTGTCTCATGTATTCGCATAATGTATACCTTCATGCTCATCCTTCCTCTGAAAATAGCTGCAGCGGTGAGGTATCTTCCATGCCTTGGATCACAGGCCGCCATCATGTTTTTGGCATCGAAGCATTGCTGTGTGAGCTCTGGCACGGTGACAGCACGGTACTGAAACAAGAGATCAACAAATCACTTATAAGCATTAGTTAAACCTGTTGATTGCTACGGCTAGTCAATGGAGCAAATCCTGGCATGAAGAAATGCAAACGGGGGAATGGGACCATGTTAACCGCAAGTTTGCGAAGATCAGCATTGAGCTAAACATGAAACGACATTTCTTGTTTTTGAACAAACACGCAAACCTGTCCTGGGAATCTCAAACAAGTAGTAACTCCACTCATTGTTGCACTAACAAGATGATTCAAATCTCCGTAAGTTGGAGTCGTGAGCTTGAGTGTGCGGAAGCAAATGTCGTACAGGGCTTCATTATCGATACAGAATGTTTCATCGGTGTTCTCAACTAGCTGATGAACCGATAGTGTAGCATTGTAGGGCTCGACGACAGTGTCGGAAACTTTTGGGCTCGGAACAACAGAGAATGTGTTCATAATGCGATCGGGGTATTCTTCGCGGATTTTCGAGATCAACAGTGTACCCATTCCCGATCCGGTACCTCCACCGAGCGAATGAGTAAGTTGAAACCCTTGAAGACAATCGCATCCTTCCGCTTCTTTACGCACAACGTCCAAAACATTGTCAACAAGTTCGGCACCTTCCGTGTAATGCCCTTTGGCCCAATTGTTTCCCGCTCCGCTTTGTCCAAAAACAAAGTTGTCTGGTCGGAATAGTTGACCGAAGGGACCCGATCTCACAGAATCCATAGTTCCTGGTTCAAGATCCACCAGTACAGCTCTAAAACCTACATAGTGAATTGACAGTAACACATTCAAACCTTGGAACGTATTTGTTTTGCCCTGCCTCATTGTAATACACACTAATTCTCTCCAATTGTAGGTCAGAGTCGCCAACATATTGGCCATCCGGGTCGATTCCATGCTCATCAGAAATCACCTCCCAAAACTGTAATCAAAATATTAGCATGTCAAGAATAAATTGTCAATGAATCTTACCTTGGATCCAATTTGATTACCGCACTGTCCGGCCTGGATATGAACAATTTCTCTCATTTTCACTAGCTATCGAAAACCAGAAAGGCAATAAAAAACGAGTTGAGTCGCACGACGGCAGCAGCAGATGAGCGGCGAGAGCTCGACTGACCCAAGAAAGGCGGGCGATATGGCATCGAGACCGAACCACCCCAAATCCATGAATATTTTATGAGCACATGCCTCGTATTGAGGCGTCGTCGATACAAGAAATGCATTGCACACTGTCTCATTATAATTTCAAACAAATGCCATGCTGCGCTCAGAAAGGATAAATGTATGGATGAGCAAAAGGGACCATTGATATTACCATCTTCAATACATTTATGATGAACTTTTCATTCAAGAAGCTACATTTCAAATAGCACTTGCAAAAATACCAAAACACAAATCCCTGGTTGTATAAGGTGAACTGAAAGTGAAAACTATAGAGTCATTTCAATCATTTGTTAGTTGTTTCAACTCCAGTAGATATAAAAATTAAATTTATATTTTTTGTTATCTTTTTTATCCAAATAAGTTAAGGATTCAGATTACAATATTTTGTTTAAGATTAGTCACATGGGAATGATCCAAAATGTCTTGTCAACATTTTTGCTGCATGTTTTTTTTTTGAAAATAGTCCCAGAAGGGCAAAAAATTTCGCAGCTCAAAACCAAAATGTTCAATTTGGAGGAAAACATTTAAAAAAACTAGATTCGAAATGAAATTAGCATTTGAAAGAACAATAAGTCGGACAACTGGAACATTCCCTATTTGAATATTATCAGCAAATTGTTCCCGTGTTACAATTGAATCAAAATAATAAACAATTATTTCGAGAGAGATGGCGATACTTAAAAAATATTATATAATCACAATTTTGGTACATGTAAATGTTAACTTTGTGAATGTTTATAGAATGTCGATATGATGGGTTTGAGCTTTCCTTTCGCTCATCCTCCTCTCGTGCTCAATCTGCTGGTTTTTCTTTTGTTCTTCGCGATGCTGGAAATGTGCAATTCAAGTGGCCTATTCATTTTTTATAATGGGAAATTCAAGACATTTAATTTTAAATTTTAAGCTTCATCCAATCAATTTAATTCGCTTCAAAAATTTGACAATTTACGAAGAAAAACTTCATTAAAAGAGTTTTTGTTACACAAAAAATGTCGAAATGTTTTCAGTTTTTTTACCTGTTTGAGAGTGACGTCAAGATCATCTTCCCAGGCAACAAGGTCGTCAATTTCACCAAGTGTCGGTTCTCCCTGAAAAAAATGTATTGTTAATTATATTATAAATTATAAACATTGATAATAATAATAATAATAGTAATAGTTTGTAGAAAAAAAGCCCCCCCCTCATGAACATTTCGTCAGCTTTCACTTTCGCGTTATATTATATTAAATATTCGTATTCATTTGCGGATATCTTTTTCCTGAATTGCATTTCTCTTCTCACTTCCATCAAACAAAAGGTCGACCGGCGTATTGTCCCGTTAATGACTTCGAGATTAATCAACGTATAAAGCAGATTGAGCGAGTGAAGGCGCGATTCGTCGGAAAAAAAGCGCGATTGGCGAGATTCTGATATAGTTTAAAAAAAACTCTTCGGGCATGGATTTAAACTGGACTTGTCTTCATGTTTTTCTTTGTCCATCATTCAGATCGCTGCGGCTAATGAATTTCAAGGAACAAGAGACCATTGGATTATACATCCAACTTATGTAAACACACACTCACACAACTGTAATTAAACCAGCTTCTAATTCAATTAGTTTATTTACTCGTTTGGTTCCTTGTAACGTGAGTTATCATATCCAATTTGCTTCATTAAATCGAAATCATTCGCATTTGAAGCAAGCGAAAACTAGATAACGTGGGCTTTAAAATATTGTAAAGTTTGCCAACGATTACGATGCAAATTGAAAGAGATCTGGCCTTGGTCAAATTGTTTTCAATTCAAGCAAACTCGCTTCGATTTCGACTTTTGCAAACTTTAAACGCAAATTTGAGATTAAGACAATCCAGTTTCGGTGTTTCGTTAATTCCGCTAGTACGTAAAAGAATATGGCTAAAAATTTTGACATTCGTATATTTTCTCTATTGCGGAAAAATTGAAAATTGATAATGATTTGGGTCTTCGAGTGATAAAAATTTGGATTCGCTTGGAATATTTGAAGACCACTTGGAATATTTGAAGACTACGCTTACAAATTACAAGGTCCCTTGAAATTTGATAACCAATCTGCAGTCCAATATTGTTTATCTGAAATTGAGAAGAAATTCCTTTCCCCCCAAGCGGCCACACGTATTGTTAACATTTCCTCCCTTTTATTGCAATAACGGGAAGTTACAATATTGAAAAAATCTGAAGATGTGGGCGTTTTGGTGGTTCCGCATTACATCATTAAAACGTGATATTTTGCCGTCATACGCTTGATTCAACGGCTTGGAGTTCACAGTAATCGGTTTCTTCTCACTGAATTTCAGAGGGCGGACCGTTCGATTAGTGGGAAGAACCGGTTATAAGGTTAACCGCCACAAAGCGCACACATATCTCGTTGAATATCAAACCGATGAAGCATAGATTTCATTCTCATATGCGAATTATTTGCCATTCGCCTACTACGCTCTTCATTTTTGCATCCGTTATTTTCAATTTCGGTGACATGTTTTCGAGGCGATCATTGACATACTGGGAATCCCTCCGTTTGAGTCATAAAGCAGTTTCTATCTAGACAAAATTCGAATGATAAAAGCTAGTTCTTTTTTCTTTGCATGCATCCTTGTTTTATTGCAAATCGTCTCGAAGGCGTCATAAAAGGGCGCGAAAATTTCACTTACGTAAGAACAGGAACGCCCATTTTTCCATTCTCTTCATTCGGCAGAATAATCGTTCCGGTTCTTTTACCTCAATCTCAATTTTACTACAGGACCGCGTCGCCCACCATGCTCAAGCTTTTAGTTTTGCTCGCATTACCAACTATCGCTTACTCCGCAGTTCAATGTTACGTTGGACAGAAGCTTTTCTCTTACGAGTCAACAAATGTAAGTCAACAACATAATTTAATATTGAAAATGTGAAATCTTAAGGCAATCTGCGCCAAATTCGTTCCATACACGTGCGCTGTTCAATGCGAATGGAGAAGACAATGCAATGAGCATAGCGCTTTCTCAGCATTCCGTGGAAGAAGAACATTTGTCTCTGGACTTTTGCTCAACTCCAAATCACTTATGGTCCTATGCTGCGCTTCAATGGCAACTAGAGTTGAAACCGGTAGTTAAATTATTTCAATTCAAGCATGAGAAATAATTTCAGATAACAATGGTCGCGAAAAGTGCATTTGGCGAGACACTGAATCAATCTCAGTGTTGGGTCCATCCATCAGAACCAACCCAGTTCTTGCTCCAAACCACTACATTCGGTATTGAAATCTCCAAATTCAATTATAGCTTGAGCAAGTTTAGCGATATTAAAATGGAACGCGATGGAAGCTCGCGAGTTGATGTCACCGTGGAAGTTTGCCAATACACAACTGAACGCGAGCATTGCAAAATTGAGGCAAGCTATTTCTTTAACACTATTAAATTTTCCCTCAATTTCTAGGATATGAATGAAGTCGAGAAGAAACGATTCAGAGTAATTCAATCAAAACTTGATAAATCTTTGAAAGCCGCTGCCAACACGACGCCTTCGACAGTTGAGCAAAAGCCTGACAGCGAGTTCCTCAACAAGAACTGAGAAGAAGTCATTGCAAATATATTTATTGTACCTCGCGCTTTCACTTGTACTTAAAATTAATAATTGTTTCAATAAACGACGTACCACAGTATCCTCGGACATTTCAAAAAGATTTCGCTTCTGCACTTTCGCATGCTGACTGGTGCGTGGCTTGACAATTATCTGAAAAAAATGAAGTGCATAAAGCTACATAATTAGCAATGATGAACGTGTTGGTGAATTAGATTTCTCACTTAAAAAATTGGTTCAATTTGAAATATAAGAACATTTTTCAAAAAAAGTACATATATTATAAAACTCTTTGTCATTTTAAGTATTTTCGGATTCCCAAAACAAAAACCATTTCGCCATTTCTTCCAAAGACATATCAAAAACGATTTAAATCATTCTAATTTTATTTAGAAAAAAAAAAAAAGGAATTTTCGATTGAATAGCCAGTTCATATAGTGTTGACACATCGGCTACGAGTGCGAAAACTTTTTCATTGCTGATATAATAAAAATGATGGATTAGCTATCATTGTGTCTCCAGGAAGTTTTCACTATTCCTGTTTCTTGAAGAATTTTGCATACAAATGATGTCTTCATTGTTCCGAAAAAAAAATTTCGCGTTGTCGATGTTTTAGCGGAATCCTGATGAAAATTACCTTTCTTGCGCTTGTGATAGTTGGGGCCAGATTGCTGAAGAGATCATCGTCGGGTGGCTGCTGCTGAGGCTCCGGCTTCTAAAAGGCAAGTATCAGCGAAGCAGTTCTAGTGATTTACTACCTGTCTCCACTGTTCAATCTTCTCACTGATTTCCTCTTTTTTGTCCCAATCATCATTATCCCACGAGTCACCATTTGATTGGAGCAGCAATTCGCGCTCATCGGTTTTCTGTCCAGCTCCATCAACAACAACTAAACGTGTGTGTGTTGTCTTATAACAGTCATCGGTGCTAGTTTACCTTCGAACGGAACCTCGTCCATATCCATTCTTCGGTTTTTCTTGTTTCGATTACACAAATTTCGGAAAAAGACGACTATTGTTTGGATAACCCGCGCGAGAAACACGGGAATCGTTCGGATAATTGTCATATCTAAATGTACAACTATTCAGTTAATACAAATATAGACACGGACAAAGTAGTTGAAGGCTTTAGCAACCCTATTTTAAAAAGCGTCTTTAGTTTTACAGCAACTTCTTTATCAATACATGAAGCACAAGGTTATAATGTTGAAAATAATAAACAAATAAATGGTTAGAAGTACAAAAAATTAACAGGAAAGCGGTGTTGACAACGACTGATGTAAAAGCATGAGGCAACGGCAGTAAAAAACGGATTGGTGGTTTAACCCGTGTAGGTGACTTACTGGGGATCTGAAAAAAAAACAAATTCAAACCAATTTCAGAAATGTTTCTTACTTATTGGCTCGAAATCGAAGTGAATAATTTCCGTTGTATCATCCTGACTGTTCACGATTCCCTGCTCCACATATACATCCCTGTAGCTTCCGCGTGTTTTGATATCACACCATTGGACGTCTTCTTCCTCTTCGTCTTCCAATTCCTTGTTTGGTCCAATATCATTTAAGATGTCGTGAAGGGTCAAAGAACGTTTTTCAGACGATGACGATGACGATGACGGTTCATCATGATGGTTATCATGCTTCTGCACTGAACGAAGATCGACACTAAGTGTCGACCTTCGCGAAAATAGTCCGGACGCTGGAACACTGCCATTTGCGTTGATGTTGAGACAAACGTTATTCCAGTTCTGTTGATCAAAAACACTGGGCTCGATAATCTTGCGTATGGCACGAAACGTTTGACAGCCTTTGCGGAGGCATCTAGAAATTATATTTGTCACAGTACGAGAATGAGCTTATTTGTTATTTTACCGGTATGCTGGATACTCCCGAATTTCACCCTTGTATTTTGATTTTCTGATACAAATTCTCATATCGAAATTGCATAGATGACACTTGATTATTTCAGGAACTTCAGTTGGTATTCCGCTAAAGTTGACATGGACAGTTCGCATAGCTAAAAGACAAATGATTTCTTATGACGAAGGCTATTATACAACTAACGTCCACGAGGTTTGCTAGGCTCTTCAATATCCATAAAATCTTCTTCATCACTGATACTTGAAGGTGTATGGCATTCCTCTTGTTTTTGCTTGATGATAAGCTCTCTATTCTAAATACTTTGAAATTGTCATTTGTTGTTTTCTTATTTCTGTAATACTCACAAAAAGTTTCGCAAGTTTTTTGGCCAGCTCCGGTTGTTCTTCAGAAAAGCTTTGCTCGTAAGGATTCTTGTCTTCAAAAGATTTGAACAGACGCACTGAAAATATGTAATGACCATTGCATTTGAAATATTGAATTCTTACTTTCATGAAAAGGTCCTTTCCTATTTGGTGGGAGATCCAATTCTTTTTGTGGCATGCTACTCTGATTATTTAGACTAGTCTGCGAAGCGCCATTGTGAGTTGTACTAATGCTTGTATAAGAGTCGAGCTGAGACTCCGAATTCACTTGCGAGACTTCAAAGTACGAATCCATATCCAGAGTCTCTTGTTTGACTTCAGTATCATTTTTCGTTATTTTGGCAACGCCATTCTGACGAGATGAGTTGTTCTGTGGAACCATGTGCTTCTTCGGAGATGAACTGAGATGAGTGCTCAAGTTTGATTGCGGGACTTTGAAATAATGATCTGTATCATCAATTTCTTGCTTCACTTCAATTTCTTTTATCGACGCTTTAGTAGAATTATTCTGTGGAGGCAAATTGCTGTGCTGTGTTTGCTTGTGGTTCAAGTTGCTTTTCTGACCAAAATTGTTCATTGGTGGTGAGCTAAACTGCGACACCAAATTCGATGGGATGACTTCAACATAATCATTCACTTCCTGCTTGACTTCAACCTCCATTATTGAAGATTTTGTCTGATTTTTCCGTGATGCCATGTGGTGTTGCTCAACCGAATTTTTCTTCGCAAGTGGGTTGAATTGCGAAGCTTCTTTGACCGATGTTTCATGTGTGTGATTTGAGTCTACTTTTTTCTTGATTTCGACCTCCGTAATCGGCTGGCTTCTTCTTCTCAAAGTCATCGGTGCTGCCAAGTTTTTCTTTAGTGCATTGGTGTTTCGAGTAACAGGAAGTTGAGAGACCTCAGAGCAAGAAACTGAATCCATGGGTTCTTGCTTGACTTCCACTTCCATTTCTTGATTTTTTGTTGTTGCCGTCTGTTGAGCCTGCCGTTTCTGGGCAATCGTGCTATCATTATTCTGATTAGACGGGTAAACCCGCTTATTTTGCCGAATTGATGTGTCTTGTGGAACCGTGCGTCTGTTTAACACTGATATATTTCTCTGCGGAGCCAATTTCTTCTTGGGAGGTGAGTTGAGCTGTTCTCTAGAGGCACATTCGGAATTTGTATCTTCCTGCTTGACTTCATATTCTTTTTTCGGCTCAACGAGTTCCTTTGGATGCTGGCAGGAAGCGGGAGCGGACGAATTCTTGAGTGAGTACTTTTGAGCATCATCAACCGGCTCCAGTTTGATATTTTCCGCGCTAAGAGAATTCGTTTCCATGCTCAGCATTTTATTTTCCGCGCTAAGCGCAAATGCTTCCATTTCACCGCTGCGTCTATTTTGTTGCTTGATCTGGGGATAATACTCGTCTCTAGTCGCCAGAAAATCGCGCTTCTTGTTCTCAGGTATCTGAACTGCACGACGCACCTCGTTTCCAATCGTACAGATAGGACGTTTGAAATGTTGCAATGCGGCGTTCGGATTGAACAGCCTCGGCGACGGCGACGGCGCCGTGGCACTTGACGTGTGATAAGAAGTTGACGGAACCACGCGCGTCGCCACGGGCAGGAGATTGTCATTACGCGTGGACGCCCTAGTCTGGTATTTATGTTGCTTTCCATACACATATGCGGGATACGTCGGCATTGGGATCATCTTGTCGCAATTCAAATTTCGTGGTTCCTCTTTGACCAGCGTCACATTATATTCAGATGCCGCCTTTCCATCAGTTGTTTTGACTATTTTTCGAGCTGAATATTATTATTATAGTGGTAAGTTCACTGAAAATCCACTCACTAAGCATTTGCTTGTAGTTGGCCGGTAATGCAGTTCCGTTCGGCTTTATAACAACTTTTCTGTACATTGGCATCCTCCTCTGAGGTATCGGTTTTTCCTTTGTCAGCCTATGCATTGGATAGGGCGCTGGTAAGTAATTCTTTTTGAATCCAATGGATATTTGTGGGTGAGTAGTTGTAGTTATAGAAGTCGAATTATTCATTTTATTATTAGGCGCACCCTTTGGTGCAACTTGATTGCCACTCTCTTCATTTTGCTGAAAAAATGAGTTAAGACCAAAATCAAAATTGGCGGTTTACCTCAGTTTTAACTGTCTTATCCCATTTCTCACTGGTTGAAGCATTTGGCTCCATTGGTCTTTTTAATGAATTGCCTTCAGCACGCGTGCGAGATCTGGTTCCCTATAAATTAATAAAAATAATTGAAAAAAAGATTATTCTATTATAGTTGCATAATTTTAATATTTTTATAGAAAAAAACTGAATGTTTCCTCAAAATATTCTTTCAATAAAATTGTTACACGCATTTTTTTTTATTTTGAGAAATAATCCAACACATTGGTATATTTTTGACAATTTAAATTTACACGAATATTTCTCACTTTAGTTGCTCCCCAATACGATGTTGAGTTATAGTGATTCTTTTCAATCTGCTCAATAATTGGATCAACGAGATCGGCACACAACGGTATTTTTTGTTTCGGGGGTTGAGGCGTTTTTCGGCTGAACTTTTGCGGTTCCGAGAGAATTTCGGGCACCGATTTTCGTGTCATTATTGCCTGAAAACCAAATCCGAGTCAATGATTGAATTCGAAACATCGACAATGAAAAGATGTCGCATGAATAATGAGAAAGGAACGAAAGAAACTGGAAAACTGCTCTGTTTTTGCAGTCAGCTTTCAAAAAAATGCCGTTTGTACGCGCCTCACGAGTACGCGGCATTAGCAGCGGAGCGACTTTGCCATGCGACGCTCTGGACGACGCTCTCGTCGCCTGCCCATTTCACGGAAGAATTACATTGACACTAGGATGAGAGACGCATAGTTCTTTCGCTATCAAAGACTATTCCAAGGGGTTATTTTGAAGAAAGGAATTTATTTAATAAGATTTAGATATAAAGAAAAACGATTTTCAAAGACATCGCGTACAAATTTGAACAACTCAATCTTATCAGTTTTGTTATCGGTAAACTTGCGAAATTATTTAGAGAAACAAATGTCAAAATAACTATCTATCCTGCGTGGATTTTTACAAACAAACAAATTTTATTTTCAAAGTTGATTGAATTTCTTTAAAAATTGAATTATGTGCCCTGTTTTTTACTTTTGATTGCCTGAAAAAATATTTTTAGAATTTGAATATTTTTCCGAGGAATTGCGGAATCGCAACAAAACATTCAATAAGCAGTGAAACATGAACCTCGATTTTTTTGTGGGAGGAGGGTGGATGCATTTTATGTGAGGTCCATAGATTGATATGACGCAAATCAGAAGAAAATGATAACTGGTGATTGCAGTGATAAGCTTGGACGTTCAAGTGTGGTTTCTTGCTTTTCGAGATTTCTTGCTCTCAAAGTTTATTAATAAGGGTTCAACAAAAAATGCCCTGGATGGTTATCTGCAATACTAGCGAGAATATCAAATGGCCCCATTTTATCGTTCTGTTATTTTTTTTTCAAGTCGGAATAAAGTTGGAAGCTGTGAAAGAATCCGTTGATTATTATAAAAGCTGCATTCATTGGGACCCAGATCGGTTAACCGATTAACAATCCAATTCTTCGTTTTTTGTTTTCAATAATTTTACGTTATGGTATTGCAGTCTTCTCTCTTTTCCACGAAATTCATTATAACTGCACAAATGGATATACGTTTAATCATTCTTATGTATCTGTCTATCCGGGTTACTGTATTCACCAGACCTTTAACTATTCGGGATTGCACCATCGCACTTTTATGCCATTTGCCAAGTAGACATAATCATCAGTGCAATAAAAAAATGTTGTAATAATATTATGTGTCGAGCACAAGCAGCTGCCAAAGATATGAATTATTTCCTGATATTATAACTCAAACCTTCGAGGAAATTACAACAAGGCAAAAAAGTTCAAGAAATAACCCCTCTGGATAGCATTCAGTCATCGGAGGTACTTTAATCAGAAGGCAAAAAGTTCATATTGTTTTTATAGCACTCCAATAATTTCATAATGTTGCCGCAACTGCATATGCAGTTTTTCTAGCCAAACGAGATTGATGACATTTTTGTGTTTTTTTTTATTCAGAATTTGCACCTTTTTTTAATATCACCCATCAATTTATGCATGTTTTGTGTTCAAAAAATGTAAAAGTAACAAAATCTGCATTTTCAAATTAGAGAAATGTTGTGGAAAGTAAATTTCAGAAAAAAATCTGGTTGATACATGTTTACAGCCTAAATTTTGAACATGATTTATTTAAGGTTTGCAATACGGTTATTTATTCTTCATCTCCTTTACTTCGAGTCTATTTAATGGTACCGTAATATCTATCGGATGACACGCCCTTCGCATCCGCTCGTCGGTCTTCACCATCCCATTTTACTTCTTCACCCACTGCCTAGGAGTTTCGTCTGTTTTTACTGCATCAGGTGAAAGTTTACTTTTTTTGCTTAGATTTTTTTAAATTCATTTTATTGAGCGGTAGTAATCGATTTTATTTCAGAGAATATTTACTTGTAAAACAATATTTGCAAACAAAATCATTGCGAAATGAAGAGGGTAAAATTACAAGTCAACCAAGTTTTACTCAAAAATGTTTAGGAAAACACGCCGGAAACTAAAGAAAGCTCGCCAGCACAAAAATTTGTGAAACTCAACAAAAAAGAGGACAAATTGACAAATGAGGCAAAAACTGAAAAATCGACGTTTGCCAACAAATTGGAACAAGACGAATCGTGGAAATATACAGTGAGAAGCTTGACTAGCCCGATTTCGAACTATGAATAGCAATTAAATCAGATCCACAGTGGCAGTTCAGTTCTTGAGACTCCAAAAGGAACAACTCTCTCGATCGAAATGAAAAAGAAAAAACGATCTCGTGGAAACTTTCTGAAGTATTCTAGTGATGAGGATTCACCGTCGGCGCCTAATTTGAGAAAACGGCAATTAACACCTATAAAAGTAAAATTTTATTGTTTCCCATTTCTAGTAAAGCAATTCTCTTTTCAGAGACACGCAACGATAAAAAGACCGTCAAAAATATTATTCAGCAATTATTGGTCGAATTCGAACAGTGACAATTAATTCCACTAGAAAAAATCGAACATATCTCGTTTCAATTAATTAAATTCAATTAATTAAATCAAAAATCGCAAAAAATCATAGCATTATCATTATTATTATTATATTACATTTTTTCACTTATTTGGCTTACATTAATATTGGAAAAAGAAACGTATTAAGAAAATGTATCATTTCTAAAAAAAAAATTAATTCTCTATAATATTAACATATTACCTTAACATTTAGTGCTGGATCACTCAACGATTTTGGATTATGTCGAACTCGTTGAAAAACATACAGATGATTTGAAAGTTAAAATGAATTCTCAGGGTAACAAAAAATAGATTTCCGTTTATAATTACGGCTGGGATGACGATTTACTGAATTCTGACAGCTTGGGAAGTATCAAATTTCTAATTATAATGAGTCTTTGCTTCGTGACAAGGTGACGCAATCCCGAAATTTGGCGAGCTAACATATCTAGTTCGACCTGTCGATACTGTATTGAACGATTGTCATAAAAAATATCATATTTCGCTGAACAGGTAAAATATGCCTATATAGTTGAGAAGTGCATATATTATAAAGAATTCAACTTGATGTTGGTTTTCAGTTAGATTTACTGCGCGCATGGTAATGCGTTGAGGTGCCGACACACAGCGGTGCCGACACAAAGGCAAATTCAGAGAGCACTTCGGAGAATCATATAATTTCGCTAACATGAAGGACCACGCATTACATGTATAATAAAATAACTAAGAAGTCATTCTTCTCAGTGACGTAACGTTTCATTTTTTTAATCTCTCTCGGACGAATGTTTTGAATAAAATTCGCATGAAAAATAATGAAAGTCCCTAAACTTTCGATTAAAAATTTGAACAATTTTGACATAGTTTTGAGATGGTTGTTTGTCTTCAGAAATGTAAAATGGTTAACATTCCTACAATAGTTTTTTTTTAAATTACACTAATGAATATTTTTACTAGGCAAATGGCATGCAAGTGTGCAATGGCATAAACTACTCAATCATAATCAATATTCCGTGGCGTTCAAAAATAGTCCATAAGTGTTGTCGCACATAAGTGTGCCGACATATCGGCATTAAGTGTGCCGACATATCGGCACGAGTTTATAAAACATCAGCAGCATAAAGGAAGACGTTGTATATCATAAAAATTCTAATAACCTTATCGCCTACTTGGCTGAGGAAATCATATGTTAGTCTGTCTCAAACGTGTTTAATAATAGTAACAATTGCCAATTTTGCCAACCTTTACTTTAAATTTTTTTCACAACATTTTCAAAAGTCCTGATAATCGCTTAAAATTAAAATTTTTGGTACAATGCCAATTTCGTAAAAAAAAAACTCAAAAAAATGCAGATAGTAAAATAAAACTCCAATAACCTTTTTCGAAGCCTACAGTGCCACAGAATTTTTTTGCTGCTCCAAGAATCATAAAATTGCATTATATGCAAGCGTAATAGACAAAAACAGGAACCGTAATAAAAAAAAAACCTAGATTAAAAAATAAAATCGTTACGGCTAACGGTGACTTTTAGGTTTTAATTCGTATAGCAATTTAATAAAAACAATGGTACAGTAGGCTTCGATAAACCTGGAAGCGGTAGAGGTTTTTCGATTTTTTGCTGCAATCTGCATAGCAATTTTTTTCTTTTTTTTTTGCAAAAGCTGTGTAGTACCATTACGTAGTTTCAAAAAAAAAAAAACATAAAGACGCTACAGCGAATTCCAAAAAAGATTTGTTTGGTGAATACTTATATTCATTAAAAATCTATTTCACAAAATGATTATTTTTTATTTTGAGTCACAACAGTGTTTGGGATTGCCGGTAATCTACACATAACTTGAGACGTAACATTATTAGCAAAAGGTAAAACAATATTTCCGTATATATACTTCAATTCGACGAATTTTCATTGTTGGAAGTACTCGAATCAATACGTCGCTCAAAATTTTCAAATAATTTTTTGACTAGATCTTTGCCAACTGATTCCGACGTCGTGTTAACTGCAAGCAACATGAACAATGCATCATTTCCGAGAACCTCGTGGAATTTATAAGCCAACGGTTCCGGAATACTTCGGCCACTCGCCTGAAATATAGAATTGCTTAATATTAATATAAATTGCTGAATTTAAAATCACCTTTTCATAAATATGCTTCAGATGGTCATATGTACCAACTTTCCAAACGAAAGCCACAAGCCCGATGCTGGTAGTGATGAGAAGGACAGTCATCCAAATCGCGAGCATTGCGAACAATAATTCATTTAGCACATTAATCGGAAGAAAGCATTGGTAATGATTCATTTCCACCTCATTATCGGGTGAAGCCACAGATGTATTGCAGTAAGCAATATAAGGGAAATTCGCGATATTTTCGGATTTGATTCCTAAGAATCGATCCATCAGAAGCTGAAAATTGTCAATAGACATGGGACATCCAAATTATCACAACCCCAATTCCCCAGGTGGCGTTGAAATTCTGACCCATGATTGCAGTCATTGCATGCAATTGGAACACAATGCATACAATGTATAGAAATTTGACAACTAAATAAGCAGCTGAGAGTCTGTCAAAAACATGATATAATTGATTAATTCTGAGGTGTAGCATACACCGTTCGACTTCGGTTGTATGGCGCGGTTCCAAGTTCTTCTAAAACTTTTGCCATTTTCTCAATATTTTTTTGCCTCTCTTGACCCGATTGCGTTGAAATGACGGCCGTTGAGCGTTCCACAATTTTCATCGAAACGCCTGAAAATTGAGCAGACGATCCAATTGATTTGGTCATTTCTACTTACTAAGCTTTCTTTGGAAATACTTCCACACGTTGTCCGGTACATAGAACGACACTGCCAAAATAATCAGCAGAAGATTGGTGAACTTAAAAATTGGATTGAGTGCCACATGCACGCCGCTAGTCGGCATATGCTCCTTTGATAACGCATCAGTCTTTCCAAAGCAAACGGTTGCAACAAAGTGCTTCAATGTGTTAGAATAGCTTTCCGGGGAAATGCAAATGATCGGTGTTCCAAAGTATTGTTTCAATGTGAGAAGAGCAGCTGCCACGAACATGACAACTGGAGTGACTCCATTGCACAATGTGTCAAAATTATCTACGTTTTGGCGAAATCGCAACTTGTATTTTCGACTTGGCGTCGCCATTTTCTTAGATTTTATCTGAAAATCGCTTTGTAATTATTCAAGAGGAAATAGTGCACTCCAGTAAACGATGGAATTCTCAATGTTGAGAAGAGCTGTGAACAAATGAATGTGCGGCCTAGGATTCAAACGAAATCGCGCGCCAAATTTCGAAATTCGCTGGCCTAAAATGCGTGTCCCGTGGAGCGCGGCGACTATTCAAATTCTGTTTGTAACTGCGCGCAATCGAATGAGAAAAGTTTGAAATTCGAAAATCCTGAATTTTTTTCTGAGCATTAACAAGAACGCAAAATAAATAAAAATGGCATACATTATTTGAATTATAGGAACGAAGAAAAAACGTTTCGTTTAGAGGACGCGCTACTGATGCGTAACGAAGATACGATTAAAAATCACCGTTGAAAATGAAAAACACATTTTTTCAACGAGAAAACCAACATAAATAGAAACAAAACATTCGTGCAAAAATTAAGATTAATAAAACTCATTTACACAAAAGACAACTTGTTTATCATACAAATTGTTTCAAAGTCTATCAATATTGCAGTTCCACTGTGTATTAACCGCGTAAACTTATCTTTGTATCGTTATCAATACGTTTTTTTACAAACCGTTTTGAACATTTCGAAAAAACAAATTTCAATAAGACCCTAATTTTAAAAAGAACTAACAAATTGATAGATATAACGATATAACGCCATAAAACACTATAAATTTAAAATTATTTTTTCAAATTAATAGTTTATTTTTTCTTCTCAAATGTTCAAATTTTCCCTACCGCTATTTTCTGTGCTTGCTGCTTTTGCATTTTTCAGACGATTTTTTGGTCATTGCATATTTGCCAATAATGTGTAATCACAAATGAACGATCAATAATTCATATATTCTTAGCCATTGAAACCGGTTTCAACAAAGCCCATCATCACTCCAACTCAATAGATCAGAAGTATTTTAGAGGTGCGAGCAGGTTATCACTCATTTCATTCCCCATATCTTCTTATTTCCGTCCTTATAACAATTAATTTCTCATTCATCGCATTTTTCCCTTATTTGGTAACAACTAAACACTTTCACTTTTTAATGTCCCTTTATTGTTTCATTTCAGCTCTGCATATATATTTTGAAATTTATTACAGATTATTTTTTTAAAAAGCATTATTATTAATTCAGATAGTCAAAATGCTATACTGACGGTGCTCGAAATTTTTCCTGTGATTTATTTCTATAATTTCTGTAGCTAGAAAGTATAAACTATAGACTGACTGTTTCCATTCAGTTCTTACGTTGATCTGTATCGACATTTGTCTTCTTGACTCAGCCAATCGTTTTAACCTTCGGCCAACTTTCGTTTTCGCCAGCATATTCAAGTGGTTGCAAATCATTGACTTACACCCAATTTAATTGAACTTAAGCAATTGATAATTATTCAATATGAACTGAATGTGTAATTATTGGCTAGTCTTTCAGAAAAATGTTCAATTGTATATTTATTTTTGGGCAATTATTTTTTTAAATTTCAACATGTTCACTTTTTCCATATTATAACTGAATTTTCATAAGTTATATAATCAATATAAATAAAATATTGATTTTTTAAAATCTAAATAAATAAATAAATAAATATATATATATATACTTAAAATATGATAATTGAAAAGAGAAGCTGGCAGAAATGCTTCTAAATAAATTTGGTCAGTTACTTGTTTGTTGGAGCGCTTTTATACATTCAAATTCAATGCGCAATCCAAATGTGTAGTATTTATAATCACATAAATTACAAAAAATAAAATGAGAAATTATTTTTTTACTGACAATAGTAGAAAAAAATTTTATAACGTTATAACTTTATAGCAAGAATTTTTAATGATTATAACAATAGCAAAATTTGTATGAAAATATTAATACTAGCCTAGCCTAACGTAATTCAAAAACTTGCAAACTTCAGGTGAAGTGCAATAGTGCAATCTCGAGCAGTCTGGCGGTTTTGAATAACTAGTTCGAATAATCACATATCGGTAGGTGGTATGGAGATATTTCTGTCCATAATTATAGTTGAGGGACGCGGAATTTTTTGTAGCAGAATATTGATTCAAAGAGTTATTCCATACACGCAATAACTTGTCAGTCTGAAATATCACCAATTATGGTCCTCCTAAATCTCTTTTCTTGAATTTTACGTAAGTTATCATTTCAGTTGTTAGAATATTTAGAATTGATGTTGATTGACATCTATGAATATAGATATAATTAATTTTAATACTTATTTCATCTCAATGTATTTCTACATACTGGTCAATTTAGGGAACCTTTTCATAGTTTTTACTGTACAAAGTTTATTATTCGTTCGCTTATTTTGTGAATAGTTGAATGGAGATTTGGGAGAATGAATAGATTGAATAATATGGCACAATACCCGCAATGGGAAGCTTCAATCATTTTAAGAAAAATATTCTAGCGAAAGTGGAAAAGGTTGTGATCAAAATTGTACTGAGGATAGAGGCAATCAGTTATTTCAATTTGTTACCAGTAGAAAGCAGCAAAATTTCTAACAAGAAAAATGGAAGCAAAGAAATCTACGATGAAATGGAAAAATAGGTGTTAAACTTTAACCAATAATGGAGGAGCTGATGCATAAGCTCGTTGGTCTTGAGTTTCACGATGGTTGCGACCGGCTCGGCGAGCACGGTATCCTTTGTACATGAGCGCACAACAGCAGCACGGAGCAAAGAAGCAGGCTAATCCGCAACATGTCGTCACCAAAAGGACGAATACGACAGTGAGAATGACCATCCTGGAAATTATGAAAATTTTTAAAATTATTTAACAGTATATTATTCTGACTGTGAAATTACTTTTTACTTGATTTCTTTATTGAAAACCAAATTTTTTTTGAAAGAATCATTCTTGTATTTTTTTTTCAAGCTCATAATTATATTTGAATTACCATATATAGGATTTAATTTCGAATGGCAGGTGATCATAAACCCAAACCATGACCGCCCATACATCGAACATCAAAATTGACTCCCATATTGTTTGCTCGTCGGACATTTTCTATCCTGATTGTCAATTAATTAAACCGTAAATAGACAAAGAAAACGGATAAGAAGTCAAAACCAAAAAAAAAAACAAATGCGTAGAAACAAGTAGAGCACACTTGTTGGCAGTATCGATTTTGCTCGGCGGCAGACAAAATAAAAAAGAGCTGCTAGAGAAGGAGCGTCATTAAACCAATGGGAAGCAATGTTAAAATTTCTTGTATTCCGATTTCGCTTTTAATGTTTTAACTTATTGCAACTATTTAACCGAATACTTAATTGAATGATTGGTGATGGGCTTGTAAAAGATTTGGCTAGTGATAAATATCTCAAAATATGTAAATTTAAGTGGAAAGTTCGTTTTCAAAAACACCTAGATGTATCTTAAAATTTGAATGAAAACAAAATGAACTGGTATAGAAGGGGGTTGGCTCATTCATTCCGCTGAGCATGTATGACTCATCGTGTTGTGACATGCCTTACATGCAGACAACGAGAGTAATGGCCCAAAGGCCAAAAAACGAGCGGCTCGCCGAAAACTATTGCGAAACCGCTGCGAAATTTCGTCTGACTCACTCACATCCAATCCACATTTTCGCAGACGTCTTGATGATCCGACGACCATTCGTAGATTTTTCGAACGGTTCCAAAACGCTCAAGAAGGCAGTCAATTCCAGAATTCAGAATTTTATCTAGCACAGTGTTGATGGTTGGGTTCTCCATGGCGAATATCGCAAAAGTGAAAACGACACAAGGTGATCAAATAAAAGAGTGCATCGCCACTTATTTACCCAATGTTTTATTGGAAGAATACTCAAAGCTTATTTCGAAATGTTCAATTTTGTACTACTTATATACTTCGGATGTAATTGTTAGTTGATTCTCAAACTAACTAATTAACTTTAAAAATTGAGAAAATGAAAAGTAAACGAGCATGTCCTGTCCAAGATTTCGCAAAAATTGGAACACGATTCACACAATTATTTTCAATCGCTATTATAATTTGAAAGGTCACTTAGGCATTAAAAAATAATTGAACACAATAATTGACGTCTTTCATGTAAAGAACATTTCAATAATTATGTCGTTTCTGAATTTTTCTCTATATATCTCATATATTTATTTTTTTTTTGAATTCACCTATTCTTTTGCCCAGATAAAATTTAAGAATATGAGATATTCATTACATTCTTTGTTTATTTTTCAGAATAAAAAACTATTTTCAAATAAGTAACTCACTGAGTCAATCCTGGAGCACATGCAGTGAGATTCGGCATATCATTACAGAGATCTGTTATGTAGCAGCTCATATAGCAGGCTTCAAGGCAGTTTTCCAACGATGTATGACAAGTGACAAGCATGCCCAAAACAAAAATGATAATGAATATTTTCTGGAGATATTGCGAACCTGAAATAGACGACCCTCCGAGAGGTGTTGTTTCCATCGGCTGCATTGTCGTTGTATTCCTGTAAGCGCTGACCCCAGCAATCATCAAAACGATAACTGAAATAATTAAATTATTGTAAATTTTTAACTAAAAGTATAAAACTTGCCTAGAATATGGCCTTTCATGTTGATTTTGAGTGAACTTCAATGGGTGTGACCACGCCTCGGAATCGAAAAAAAGCTAAAAATCAATTTTAACGTCGAGGTTCTTGTTTTTTTTTTGTCTGCATCTCTCGAGCTCTCAAATTTTAGTACACTCCGTTTTGTCATAGAATTGCGAAATTAGAATCAAAGTTAAATTTTGTTAAACCATTTGGAAAATATTTGTCAATGGTGAGAAAAACCACTTGATCAAACAGTCAACGTTCTTTTAAGAAATTATTTGATTAAAAAACTTTTTAAATATGACATCAAAAAACAGCAAATGAAAGAAGTGACAATTTAAAGGGTGATTCATCCGGAAGGATATGTGAGCTTTCGTTTCAATAAAAACCCGTAGTGGTGATAAAACTCAAAACAAAGCGATTTGGTGAAAAATGAAATAAATACACAAAATAAATCAACAATTGAAATATTCTAATAGCCATGAATTGTTCGGACTACTTGGTTTTCTTCGTTTATCTTCACTTTCTTTTTATATTTATCCTGAACAATTAAACATTGATTATTGTTCAGCTAATGATGCAAATTACCCTTTGATATACTATTAATTGTGCGAACACCCATATAACTGTTATCACGAAAATGACAATGATCACAATATTTGATTTCAAATTACTCTCTGAAATAATTAAATTAATTATTTTCGAGAATTACAAACGTACTCAAATTTTCCGTATTTTCAAATGTAGTTCGAAAATAATTTTGAACTCGATCAATTGATTCACGTACGCATTCGTTCTGAAAACCATAATTTACGAACTATCGGAACACTTTGTTATTTTTGACAAATTGGTCATATTGAACATTGGGTACCTTTCTTTGCAGTTGTAATGGCAAAATAAATATACCTTTCTGCAAATTCCTAATCCACAACCTGTTCCGTCGGGTAGATTTCCGCCTCCCGGTTCAACTTTGCACGTTCCGTTCGTTTCTCGGCAACATCGTTGGCAAGCAAGTTTTGCTAAATTGGTAATAAGGAATTGTTATTTCATAAAATCAAAAACCATCTTCACACAGGCAGCTGTGCTTGCCGATTATCTCGCAAAATGAGAGGCAATCTCCATTTCGGCATTCACCATTATCAATGCAAGGTTGTTTATCGGCCACCGGCTCAGCTGGAGAGCATTCGTCCGACGTTCCGCTAAAATTTGGGTTCTAACAAAAATTAAAAACAAATGTTTATCTTACTTGCAGTATGCGTTTCCTCTGCACAACAGTGGATCTCCCGGAAGACAAATATGAGTGGAGGCATGATATTGGCAATCGTCAGTACAGCATGCTGAATTCCGAGGCGAGCATTTTGCGTTGGCAGCCAACGTGCAGTTTGCATGGCAACAAGTTGCGTCTGAAATTATAACATATGGATTTATTCTAGAATTAATGGCTTACGTGAACTTGTCGATTTGCCTACTCCATCGTCGCATTCTTCTCCATCTTCTATAATTCCGTTTCCACAATACGACTTCCTTTCTTCTTCAAGACAAGTTGAATATTTCAAATTGAGCACATCGCGTATCATTTTCTTTGAGCATGGGGAAAATTTCTGTCATTAAAAATACCCAATAATCGGTATTCGAATCAATACGGACCTCATTGTTGACTTCGTAACCCTTTTGAGCATATTCGGACATTATGTAAGCTCCTCCATCACTATGAGAAGGAGAACAGTTTTCCAATTCATTGTCTGTTGATGAAACCATAACATCATGACGAGAACCGAATGCATGACCGTATTCTGCAAGGAATTAGATTTAAAAATTTTTTTTTTATATTAACGAGATGAACCGTGTGCTACGACGATGTCAATTGCTTTGGTAACTAATCTTGTCATTCCAATCTCATTTACTGTAGTTAATAAAACGTTCATGTATGATTTTCTGCCTTGTATCTAAATGAATTATCTTGCAAATTGTACAAATAACTAGAGAGCCAACCGTCCCCATATTGGAGCATATTCCCCCAACAACATCCAGGTTATTGGTACCGAGGTATGCCAAACCTAACACTGCGCTATTAACGAAATTGCGAGCCGTCACCAGATGAACCAAGCAAAAATCTGGAGATGCCTCGTATCTTGCAAAGCTCTGAAATTCCAATATTAATTAGAGACGCACGTTTTGTGCAACCTCTAATAGTTGTTCTGCCGTCCATTCTTTTTCCATCGAATTGAAATATCCTGGCTGTCTAATCGTTGGTTTATCGATTATTTTGATCTCTTTTATTGTCAATCCGATGTTTTCAAACCTAGAAGCGTCATTTTTTCTAAAGAGTTTGCGAATCATTTACCTTCCGCGATTATGTACAAGATGTTCCATTCCTTGGTCGAAATTGACACGATTAAAGATTTCATTCACTCGGGCAATCATATTTATCTGAAAAGATAGAGTTAAAGAAAAAAAAGAAAACGCTCACCAATATTTTTTTTGCAATGCCAGTGTTGTTGTTAGCATATTGCGAAAAAAACGAGTAATCGGCAACAATTTTAACAGAACACCGGTTTTTCTTTTCATTTTCTAAATCAGCTCGACGTTCACTTGACATTTCAAACGTTTGTCTTTTCGATCTTCGATATTTTAGAAATGGATTGGAAGGTCTGACCGTAACCTAAATATACTTAATTAACTAAAAAAGATATTTCTAATACTGTTATATTGATTATTAAAAAATAATTTTTTCATAGCATCGTTTTCCCTTTCACGTAATAAGAAAAAATTTTGATTTTTCTTATGGGGCTTATTTTCGTTCTTGATAAAATTTTTCAATTTCCGAATAAACCAACCTGATTGATTGACGGTACATAACTGATTGGTATTGTGATATTTGTTTCGGACGAAAAGTATCCAACTATATAACTGAAATTTGGGGTTTATTAAAGTTTTCTGGAACATTCCCACAACTCATCAAAATCTTTATCATGAATAAAGCTTGGTTCCAAATGTAAAGTATCATTGTCGAAAAATAAAGCTCCAATATATTGATATTCATCTACTTTTGTGAGAATTCCTTTCCCAAACCGTGGTTCTAAACATAAACGTCAAAAATTGCTGTTTTACATTAAAACCTGCAAACCTCTAACGTGTCCGACATATTCGCTGTTTTTGTGGTTCTCAATTCCGTTTGTTGTAACCATTTTGAAATCTCTGTGATATGTGGAGTAATGCGGCAACAGATCGATAATATACTCTTCATCTAAATTCAATCTTCAAACTTTATACTGGCAAATATTGTTTCAAAAACCTTGAAAAACAAATTGGCTAACAATGGGTGATGAAAGCTTACTAAACAATACTCTTTCGTGTTTTAATACCCGGGAATTGAAATAATCTGCAAAATTTTTGTTGAAATGATCAGAAACGTGATGTTTTCTAACGAACCTGATTTAATACCATTGCAAGCAGATACTAGATAACATAAAAGACAAGTAAGAGCTTTCATGCGGTGTTAGCTGCAAAAATATGCCTTATTTAACAACACAATGCAAAAAATGTGACATTTTCGAGGTTATAGTGCTAAAATAAATAAGATAACAATAGACCGTTGGAGCGCAATTGCATCACTCTGGCATTAGCGAGTGTTACCAGAAACGAGACAGTAATAATATTTTTATTGTTATATTTGGCATGACAAATATTCATTAAAGGAATTATACCAATTTGTAAATTATAATCGAAGTCTTTATCGGTCAATATACTTTTAGTCCGTCATCTTTTAAATATGAGCATTACAAGAAAAATCTGAAAAGAAAATGACACGGAGTACATGAAATTTGTGCTATCATGTAATTCTACCGCTAAAAAAACGAACCTCTTCAATAAATTACATTAATATTTTGATTTGCAACCAAACATTGGTACAACATACAAATTCCAACCAATGTGTCTTCAATTTTTTTTGAAACAATACTCTGATTCGTAAAACTCTTAAACGTTTCGCTTTCAAATATGGTTGTACGGACTAAAGTGTTGCAAGAATCTGTACACAATTCACATTATTCTTTTTAATCATCACTAGATGTTGAAAGATCACCAAGTATTGCGAAAATAAGCCATCGAGAGAAAATAAAGCACAGGAACTACAAGAAAAAACCAAAAGTCCGACGTGAAATTGCAGGAAAATAATAGAGAGTGAGAATAGATCCATAATAATGAAGACTGGGTTGAGTAAGATTATGACAGCAAGCGAGGCTGTATGAAATGTGTTTGGTATATTTATAATGACCGTTAAGTTGCAAAATAAAAGAAACATTTAAAAGTCTACTGATGACATTGAAGAGGAGATCTCGGAGAGCAAAATAGTTTTCTGGCTACAACACTACTTTGCAGGCAATTTTTTCCGGGTCTGACTATCATGATGGGAGAGGAAGCTGAGAAATCGATTAGGAAAATAAGCGCATCTTTTCTGTAATAAATGTTTCACTAAATCTACTGTTATTAATTTTACGATTTATAAGATAACAGTATTAACTTTCTGAGCAGATAACGTAATATTTACCTGTTATAAGATGACTAATAAATGCCTTTATTATAATCTCAATTTAGCAGCATTGTTTCACGCTCTTTAATTCATTTAATTGACACATTGCAAGTTTTTCTAATTGCTACTCTATCTTACATTTAATTTTTAAGAAATATTCGCAGTATTCCACATGTAAACAGCAGGGATAGAAATTTTTAATTTAACAAGATTTTGATAGAACAATTTTTGATCTGGTAAAATTCTGATGGAAGACACAAGTCTCTAAGGTGGTGGTTAACTAACATTCTGACAAGATCCGCATGAAATAGACAATTTAACGTTGAGAGCGGCAAATACTGATTATTAACATTTCTAGGTGTTGAGTGAGAAATATGATTGTAGTAAACTGATCAATCGAATGCGAATTTGGGAAAATTGTTTCAAATAAAATTTGCATGAGGCTGCGTGCGTTTCCCGTCCAACAGTGACACACTGGTCGATTTAATTTAAATATATCTCTGAAATTGATCACTCGGAAAACCAAAAACGTTCTCTTTTGTTGTACATACCGAGAGGAAACTAAGATCTTCATTGCTGAGATATTTTAGTTGTTAAGTACAACTATATATTAATATAAAAAAATTTAACTTAAATATACAGTACCGCTCAAAAGGTTGGAAACTTTTGGTTTTTTGGGCATAACTTTTTTGAAACCAAACTTTTTTCCATGAACTTTTTTTTTTCCGATTGTTTCTTATGCAATTGCCGATATAATGAGCTATTAGACATGATTCGTACTTACCGAATAAGGATTTTAAGCCATTTTTTCAGAAATCCCTAAAAACACATTTTCTTGGATATGCAATTTAAGTCGGTTTTTTTACCGGAAAGATAGTTTATTAACACAAAATCATTGGAAACTAAAATTATAAGGTTAATACTTTATTGTAAAACCTCGGGAGTCAATAACCGACTGGTACTTGCGAGGCATGGAGTCGATCAAGTTGTCAATGACCGAGAGTGGAATCTTTTTCCATTCTTCTTCCAATTGTCGGAACTTTTCGTTCGAATTTGTGGCAGTTCTGCTTGCCACTATTCTCTCCAACTCTTCCCACAATTGCTCGATGGGATTCAAGTCCGGGCAATGACATTGCCAGTCCATAACCTTTATGTGCTGACTTGTGAAAAAATCCTCAATAGATGAATATTTGAGAAAAAAAGCGAATTTTCTTAATTTCACAAATTTGGAAGTGTGCTTTGAGCCGTTGTCCTGTTGGTAAACACAACCACGACCCATTGCCTTAAAATGCGGCAACATCTGCTTCTCCAAGATCTCCTTATAGACGAAGCGATCCATGATTGTTTTCACATGGTGAAGGGCGAAAATGCCTTTTCCGGAAAAGGCACCCCCAATCATGCAATTGCCTCCCCCGTGCTTTTCGGTAGGAGTTTGATACTTGGGATTGTATCTAGAACCTACGGAGCGATTAAATTCCGTCACTTCCAACGAGCATTCATCCGACCAAAGAACACCATTCCAGTCAAATCGCGTCCAATTCAGATGTTGCTTATCCCACTCGTCCTGGCGTCGTCTATTCTCCTCCGAAATGAACGGTGTCTTCACTGGTTATCTTCCGAGCAATCCTGCCACTGATAAACCGCGTTTGATTGTTGATACCGAAACAGGCGATGGAAAATTCGAAAAAACTCTGCGCTGGATCGCCGGTGCCGTCATTCGCGGGTTGAATTTGGAAGCTCGTACAATGCTTCTATCAGTCGCACGATCTGTCACGCGTGAACGACCAATATGGTACTTCTTTGGGACCCGTTTTTGAGTTTCTCATCTTTTCAAACATTTGAAAATGCAAGTTTTTGTGTCATCAAACTGGGCGGCCAACATCTGCAGGGTTGCTCCTGTTTGACGCCCTGCGTAAATTGCCCGTTGTTGTTCAACAGTCAAGTTCCGCGTTTTATCGATAGTGGAGATGTCTAAAATTACAAAAATAATAACGGCATGCAAAAAGAAGCACAGAAAAATAGTAAAAACTTTTGAAAAAAAAAGTTGAAAAAAAGTGATTTTTGAAAATACATGAAAAATCCCACAAAAACTTCACACATAATTGCGTATGATAAGACTACCGTACCAATAATCATCTGATTATGTTTATCAATATATCTGAAAGTTTCACCTCGATCCAATTTTCGATCAAGTTATGCCCAAAAAACCAAAAGTTTCCAACCTTTTGAGCGGTACTGTAGATATATCAAGTAACTTAAATAGTAAAATAGTAATTATATGTATATTAGAATTTACCAAAATATACATATATATAATATACATATATTTATACAGTTATTGTTTGACTTATTTTTGTATATACACAATTGCAAGTTACAATTTCTATTTAAACCATTATAATCAACCCAAACAATCAAATTGGCATTACATAATAACTATCATGTTGCTTTTTCATGAATAAAGAAAAATATTTTTCAACCATTAGGAAAATATTTGCCAATGATAATAAAACTAGTAAATCGAACAGTCAGCGTTCATTTAAGGAATTAGTTGATCGAAATTTGTTTTTAAATATGACTTTTTGAAAAATAGCAAATGAAAGAAGTGACAATTTAAAGGGTGATTCATCCGGAGGGATATGTGAGCTTTCGTTTCAATAAAAACCCGTAGTGGTGATAAAACTCAAAATAAACAAAGCGATTTGGTAAAAAATGAAATAAATATACAAAATAAATCAACAATTGAAATATTCTAATAGCCATGAATGGTTCGGACTACTTGGTTTTCTTCGTTTATCTTCACTTTCTTTTTATATTTATCCTGAACAATTAAACATTGATTATTGTTCAGCTAATGATGCAAATTACCCTTTGATATACTATTAATTGTGCGAACACCCATATAACTGTTATCACGAAAATGACAATGATCACAATATTTGATTTCAAATTACTCTCTGAAATAATTAAATTAATTATTTTCGAGAATTACAAACGTACTCAAATTTTCCGTATTTTCAAATGTAGTTCGAAAATAATTTTGAACTCGATCAATTGATTCACGTACGCATTCGTTCTGAAAACCATAATTTACGAACTATCGGAACACTTTGTTATTTTTGACAAATTGGTCATATTGAACATTGGGTACCTTTCTTTGCAGTTGTAATGGCAAAATAAATATACCTTTCTGCAAATTCCTAATCCACAACCTGTTCCGTCGGGTAGATTTCCGCCTCCCGGTTCAACTTTGCACGTTCCGTTCGTTTCTCGGCAACATCGTTGGCAAGCAAGTTTTGCTAAATTGGTAATAAGGAATTGTTATTTCATAAAATCAAAAACCATCTTCACACAGGCAGCTGTGCTTGCCGATTATCTCGCAAAATGAGAGGCAATCTCCATTTCGGCATTCACCATTATCAATGCAAGGTTGTTTATCGGCCACCGGCTCAGCTGGAGAGCATTCGTCCGACGTTCCGCTAAAATTTGGGTTCTAACAAAAATTAAAAACAAATGTTTATCTTACTTGCAGTATGCGTTTCCTCTGCACAACAGTGGATCTCCCGGAAGACAAATATGAGTGGAGGCATGATATTGGCAATCGTCAGTACAGCATGCTGAATTCCGAGGCGAGCATTTTGCGTTGGCAGCCAACGTGCAGTTTGCATGGCAACAAGTTGCGTCTGAAATTATAACATATGGATTTATTCTAGAATTAATGGCTTACGTGAACTTGTCGATTTGCCTACTCCATCGTCGCATTCTTCTCCATCTTCTATAATTCCGTTTCCACAATACGACTTCCTTTCTTCTTCAAGACAAGTTGAATATTTCAAATTGAGCACATCGCGTATCATTTTCTTTGAGCATGGGGAAAATTTCTGTCATTAAAAATACCCAATAATCGGTATTCGAATCAATACGGACCTCATTGTTGACTTCGTAACCCTTTTGAGCATATTCGGACATTATGTAAGCTCCTCCATCACTATGAGAAGGAGAACAGTTTTCCAATTCATTGTCTGTTGATGAAACCATAACATCATGAAGAGAACCGAACGCATGACCGTATTCTGCAAGGAATTAGATTTAAAAAATTTTTTATATTAACGAGATGAACCGTGTGCTACGACGATGTCAATTGATTTTGTAAGCAATCTTATTGTTCGTTGTTCGTTCACAGTAGTTAGTAAAACGTTTCCGTATATCGTTGCATCTTGTCTTCGACCCATATCAGAGCATATACCACCAGAATCGTCCAGGTCATCACTACCACGGAAGGACATCCCAAACACTGCGCTATTTACGAAATTGCGAGCCGTCACCAGATGAACCAAGCAAATATCTGGAGATGCCTCGTATCTTGCAAAGCTCTGAAATTCTAATATTAATTAGAGACGCACGTTTTGTGCAACCTCTAATAGTTGTTCTGCCGTCCATTCTTTTTCCATCGAATTGAAATATCCTGGCTGTCTAATCGTTGGTTTATCGATTATTTTGATCTCTTTTATTGTCAATCCGATGTTTTCAAACCTAGAAGCGTCATTTTTTCTAAAGAGTTTGCGAATCATTTACCTTCCGCGATTATGTACAAGATGTTCCATTCCTTGGTCGAAATTGACACGATTAAAGATTTCATTCACTCGGGCAATCATACAGGGTGTCATTTAAGTTCCCGCACAAAAGTTTGACGCCATGTAGAGCTTCGCTAACGCACTTTTCGTACACCAATACAATTTATTTTTATTGAACAAGGTATATTTTACTTACTTTCCAAGTTTCACCTCATTCGGATGTGCTTCCGAGAAACGGCGAAGGCTAACATCCATCGCGCTTCCATTATCGAACTTCATAAGCAAAATGTGAGCCCGAGAGACATCATTCAACGGGTCGGTGTGCCTTGTAGAACGGTTTATGACACCATCAAACGATTCAAGGAGCTAAATACGACCAGTGACCGTCCCAGACAAGGAAGACTCGTCTCAGTAACCACTCCTCAGAAGATCAACGCCGTCAAATCGAGGATCAGCCGAAACCCCCACAGGAGCATGAGAAAGATAGCGTCAGACATGGGAATGAGCATCTTCGCTTTGGAACAAATTGTCAAAACGAAGCTTGTACTGACCCCATATCGTGTCCAAAAAGCGGCAATTCTATCGGCCGTCAACAAGCAGAGACGCGTCGAAAAAGCAAAACGACTTCTTGCTCGCACGCGGTCTGGACAAGATCTCGTCACTGTCTTCTCCGACGAGAAGCTATTCACTGTGGAGACGGCATTCTACTCACAAAACCATTGAGTACTTGCCCAGACATCCCAGCAAGCTTCTGAGAAAGGAAAAACAATTAATCGAGCCTCACATCCTGCCAGTGTGATGGTTTTCGGTGCCATCTGCTCAACCGGGATGTGCCCCCAGGATTTCGTGGATCAGGGAGTGAAAATGAACAAAGAAGTCTACGTTCGGGACATTTTGGAGAAGCATGTGATGCCCTGGACCCAAACGCATTTCGGTGGGCAGATATGGGTCTTTCAGCGGGACGGAGCACCCGCCCACACTGCCAAAACTACTCAGGAGTGGTGCCAGACCCATTTTCCCGACTTCATCAAGTCATCCGAATGGCCTGATTGCTCCACAGATCTGAAACCGCTTGACTTTTCCGTGATAGGGTCTTGCAGGAGAAGGTCAACGCAAAACCCCACTCAAGTGTAGAGGCTCTGAAGAGGACATTACTGGCGGAGTGGGACAATCTTTCCATCGAATACCTGCGTACCACAATCACATCCTACCCGAAGCGTCTCCGTGAAGTCATAGCTGCGAAAGGAGGCCGAATCGAAAAGAGTTAATAGATAATTATTTGTTGTACTATAGATAAATAATATTTTGAGTCTCGTTTGATTTGGACTTTTAGTTTCAGAAATATACGTCTTCAAAGTTGTGCGGGAACTTAAATGACACCCTGTATTTATCTGAAAAGATAGAGTTAAAGAAAAAAAAGAAAACGCTCACCAATATTTTTTTTGCAATGCCAGTGTTGTTGTTAGCATATTGCGAAAAAAACGAGTAATCGGCAACAATTTTAACAGAATACCGGTTTTTCTTTTCATTTTCTAAATCAGCTCGACGTTCACTTGACATTTCAAACGTTTGTCTTTTCGATCTTCGATATTTTAGAAACGGATTTGAAGGTCTGACCGTAACCTAAATAAACTTAATTAATTAAAAAAGATAATTCTTATACTGTTACATTGATTATTAAAAAATGATTTTTTCATAGCATCGTTTGCCCTTTCACGTAATAAGAAAGCATTTTGTTTTTTCTTATGTGGCTTATTTTCATTTTTGACACAATTTTTCAATTTCTCAATAAACCAACCTGATTGATTGACGGTACATAACTGATTGGTATTGTGATATTTGTGTCGGACGAATAGTAGCCAATTATATAACTGAAATTTGGGGTTCATTAAAGTTTTCTGGAACATTCCCACAAATCATCAAAATCTTTATCATGGATAAAGCTTGGTCCCAAATGTAGAGTATCATTGTCGAAAAATAAAGCTCCAATATATTGATATTCATCTACTTTTGTGAGAATTCCTTTCCCAAACCGTGGTTCTAAACATAAACGTCAAAAATTGCTGTTTTACATTAAAACCTGCAAACCTCTAACGTGTCCGACATATTCGCTGTTTTTGTGATTCTCAATTCCGTTTGTTGTAACCATTTTGAAATCTCTGTGATATGTGGAGTAATGCGGCAACAGATCGATAATATACTCTTCATCTAAATTCAATCTTCAAACCTTATACTGGCAACTATTGTTTCAAAAACCTTGAAAAACAAATTGGCTAACCATGGGTGATGAAAGCTTACTAAACAATACTCTTTCGTGTTTTAATACCCGGGAATTGAAATAATCTGCAAAATATTCGTTGAAATGATTAGAAACGTGATGTTTTCTAACGAACCTGATTTAATACCATTGCAAGCAGATACTAGATAACATAAAAGACAAGTAAGAGCTTTCATGCGGTGTTAGCTGCCAAAATATTCCCATCATATCAAAATGTGTCAATCTTATCAACTATTGTTGCATTAAATATGCGAAAATGAATCTGATAGCAATTGGGTATTTGAGTAAAAATGCAATACTCTGTTTTATTAGAAATGTGGTTGAAAATTAAACAAACGTAAAGGAATTGCATTCATGTTCTTTTTTATATGTCTATGCCCATATTGAATTATTGAAATTGTTTTTGAAATAATTTTAACTTCTTTCATTAATATATTTTTAAGTTCATGATCCCCCATTATCGTATTCGCAATTTATTTTCTTATACTCCCATTTCGAAGGTGTTGTTGTGAGTCCCATTTTAACGCAATTACCCGCATTGATATATGAATGTCTCAGTTCATTTCCCATAAAAACGACTCAAGTGACTCGAAATGGCGGTTATATATCTTTCGCCCCGTGCGCACTTTTATTGCTTGGAGAAGTTATTTATTAACCAAAAACCATGAAAAAAACAAAGCAAAAAACACCGATTTAAACAAAAAATTGTGATTGAAAACAAAAGAGATCATGTTATCTAAAGAAGTGTTGAGAAAGCTGAATGGAGTATCAAAAATATGGGATTCAAATGATTGAAACAGTGATTTGGGTAATTGAATATTTGTATCCGAAAATGTTTTAAACCTCGTTCATGAATAAGGGAGACAGTATGTTTGCCAACAATAACCTTCTAAAGCAGAACGTACAGAACAAGTCATTTAAATTTTAAATAAGGCAATGTGAGGTCACAAAAAGAAATGAGTAAGTGAAAATCGTTGTTAACACAATATCTGTCAAAAATTGGAATTAAAGTTTGCTTGTTGGATGGAATGACATTACAAATGAATACTACGACCGGGTAAGTTAAATCGGTGGCAAAGAAAACAAAATTTGGAAAATAATTTTAATATCAACAACTATTCCATTAATACATTTTACAAAAATGACATGTTGATGGTGAGGAAGAAGGTGAAGTAGAAGGCGATGATCATCAAAGCCCAGTTATTTAGTTGATTGAAGGTCGCAAAGTAAAATCTGAACAAATTCAATATTAAAATTATGGCATTACTAAATGTCAAATTTTCAATCTTTTCAGTTGGCCCACAAGTGATATCACTTTAACTGCATATATAATAAACAAAACTTTCAAACCAAAACACAATTTCCCCCAATTTGACGTAAATAAAACAATTGTCATTTTTAATTGCTTACAAGAAACATGAAATTTCAATATGATTAAATGTATTTTCCGAAAACGGAAAATAATTTTACACAATTCTATGAATCAAACTAGAAGCTTATTGAGTTAACTTTGTTAAAACAACGTTTTTTTTGAAAATTTTTAAAAAGACCCTCCATTACTTCATTTTGCCAATATGTTGTAGACCACTAGGAGGCTAATTCAATTTCGCGTCGAAAAACTGATCAATTTGTTGACTCAAACTCTCATAGTATAGAAACTTCCATTGTGGGTTTGCTCAAAAGTGTTTAACTGTATGATCTTTGCCAAGCTTATATGTACATAACATTTTCAATGTTGCACATTGAAGAAGCAATCATCAATCTTATTATTTATTTAAACATTTGTTTCATCGTCAGCGGTCATACGAAATATTTAAATGTTGTGTTTCATCGTAAGCGTTTTTGTTTCCCATTACTAACAATGACATAGTGTAAAGCTAATTATTTGAACAAAAACTGTTTGCATTGTTTGAGGTCAAATTGTCGGCAAATCGAATTGATTATTAGATTTCTTTTCAGCAGCAAAAATTGTTTGTCTCATTTGCTTTTCATCAATTAGAAAAAATTGGAATTAATTTGGGATCTGGAAGAAAACGAATTCACAAAGAAATAAATCTTTTCGGAAAAAGAAAAATAATAAATTTTTGGTTTTGAAAAAATTATATAAATATATATCTATGTATGCACACCTCTTTAGCTTTCACTTTCCTTTAATAATATGCCCGAATAATAAAATTCGTATAGAGCAGGTGAAATTTTCTAGCGCATTAGTCAAGTTTCTGCTAATAAAATACATATTGATCAATATTCAAAGAACTCGTGTTCTTTTAGAAAATTTTCTCTCTTTGATTATACCGAAAACATTTTTTTTTGCTGAACGACAGCGAAAACAGTTCAGTGGTCTTTGATAGACCGCAAGTTTATCAATTCCGCTTCTAATTTATCGAATCTTTTCCACGTTTAATGTTTCAAGTTATGAACTTCCAAACCCTAGATATTTCAGCAACATTGATTTGTCACAGAGCTGCATAAAAATTCTATTTTATTTTTTCAATTTGCAAGTCATAAATTTGTTGAAGCGTATCAATCACACATTGAACATTTGCTATAAGATGGCAGTTAATGCGTTCAATTTGATAATGCATTTTTTCGCAAAACGTTGAGAAAAATACGTCAGTCACTATAAACTCTCACATACATAAGGCATTCTTTTGATTTCAACGAAAACTTAAACACAAATGTTTTGTCATGCTTTCAAAACTCGTGATTGTAACCGGATCATGCCCATCTTCTGTTGGGTTCGATCTCATGATTCCAATATCTAGTCGCATATCATATTTCACGCTTTTCTTACTGATGATTAAATCTAAAAATCTTTTTTACTGATGAAAAATCTAATTCATGAAAATCATTTCAACATTCACTATTCTCAATAAACTTCTTGTGAAAACTATCCCTTTTACGGCATTGTAGATGTTATTGAAGTGGAATGACCTTTACTTTATTGTGAATTCCAACACTCGCTATGCATAAACATTCATGCGCTTGTTCCAATTGATACGGAAGTATTGCCACCACGAAAAAAACATGAACAGCCACAATTCGCAAATAATCTACTCCAGTACTGACTCTATTCAGAATCATTCAGCTGCATGAAAATTTTCAAGGGCAAATTGATTCCATCGCGTAATTTTTCCTCAAATACTTACAAAATGACTTACACAGCGAAACCGGCCAAAAGCGAAATCCACGCCAACGCGAATGTTTTCGGGAATCGCTTCGCCCATGTAAGAGAGCTGGGTTGCCTTTTTATGTAGACGATGAAAGCGCACGTCAACCAGAAGCCGATGAGAAGATAGCTGAATGCAACAGCAACGCTGAAATTGAGCATTTTACGAGTTATTTTTAATAGAACACTCCTACTGATTTATTCGTGCTGGCATCATTATTTCGAATGGAAGACCGAAGTAAAGGTTTGTGCAAAATAGAACGATCAGCCAAAGTCCAATAACAATCTAAAAAGAAACGTGTTTCACTTTTGACAAAAAGTCGTCGTAAAATTTGTGAACTTACAGCATCTTCTACATGTTCCCTTGTTGTATCTTCGGGTATAATAACTTTCCTTGTCTGCCTTCTTGATCTAAAAACGTTGAAATTTGAACTAATCATTTGGAAATCGAACCTTTTGCTTTTCTTGACTTTCATCGAAGTTGTCGCTTCTAATTTTGTTTGTTTGGGATGCACATCGATTCCCGAATCCTGTAAGAATTCAATATCAATACGTGGTTGTTTGCAAAACACTCATAATTTTTGAAGTTGAAATTTGAAAAAATTTGTTTGTTTGCATGCGATTTACTATTCTTATCAAAATTTACTTTTTTGTATGAGATTTCAAAGTGAGGTACCAAAGCTGAAGAATGCAGGAAAACGTTTGCATCAAAATAATTTGTTTGCGTTTGAACTCGGTTAGCTTAGTTTTTCGGTTAATTAGCAAACATTGTCATTGTTACGAAGTTCAATTATAGACGAAGAAGAAACATGAACTAACCAAACTGTCCTTCGTGCATCCCGTTCCAAGGCGTTCACGAAATGGAGGCATCACATCAGCACTGTAAACGCGAAATTCCATTTGAATTGGAATTGATTTGAAGTAAAGTTAAGCAAAGAGTAGAGGAAAAAACGAGGCGAATTGCTGCTCAACACATGTGCCTTTTGGAATAGTGAAAGCTGATATTTACTTTTTATTCGGCCGAGTGAAACGGCGACGCATTTCACAACAGAAATGCAACTTCGCATTCGCGATCATTTCACTTCACATTGCGTCTAATGGGGAGGGGGAGAAAAAGAAAAAAATCTCCATCGAAAGAAAAACAAGGCAGCAGGAAAAAAAATAACAAAAACCGAGCGGAAACGATAACAGCCGGTGAAAACAGCAACATCACAACGTAAGAGAAGAGAAGACGATAATCTCGTGAAATGTGTTGGTGGTTGTTCTCGTTTTCTCTGACGTGCCATTCACACAAACGAGTACTCCCTAGCCCCCCCCCCCCTTCTCGCGAAACAGGCACCACGCACAAACACAAAACCCTAGCAGTGGCGTCTGGTACGTTGAATGAGGTGTTTGGCCATGTGCGAGGCACACGACGCAAAATTGCGGCCGTATTTTCTGTGTTCAATTCATTTTTTGTCGTGCCTTTTTTTGTGTATGCGTTGTTTTCTGCAAGGCTCGCTTGATTGCAGTCAACGAGAGTTTTTATTTTATTTTATATTTTTGTTGTTGCTTGTTCATTTTTCCGTTCAAAATTATCCCACCGTTATTTTTATGGCCACAAAAATTGTAATTTTCAATTGAATGACTCGCCAAGAAATGTTGCACTTATCTTGCTTTGCGCGCGCAGGAAATTTGAAATAAAATTTGTTCGACTTATCGCGTCTTAATCTCTCTCCTGCAAACGATTTCGGAAGATCAGCATGCAATTTTGAATCACATTCTATTCCGAAAGATGCGTTTTCATTGCATATTATTACATTTTTTATTTTTATTCGATTAACGTTCATATTCGATTATTGACATCAACGATTCTTCCCGGAAGTTTTTTTTCTTTAGTACGACCAAGAAACATATTTAAACACATCAACGCATTAGAAATAAGCCTTGACCAAAATATATCAATTTAATGAGTTTAAAAAGTATTTCTTCTGGTGGAAACGGTGACCCCATTTCAAACTGCCATAAAAGTTGTCGTTGGTTCTTTTTTAATTGAACGCATGCGTGTTTGAGCTCCTCTAGAGATAGCTAAAACGTTATATTTTGTTGTGCAATGCTTGTTAGAGTTGAAACTTTATTTTGAAACACTTTTTTCAATGATGTTTCGTATTTTGTCTTGTAATGGTTCTTTATTCTCAACTAGTACGTCGTAAAGCCAAAGTACAACTAATCATCATCAACGCATGGCAACAGGTATATCTTATATCGTCATTATCATTTTGAATTGATAATAACGATCAAATATATTCTTATTAGTGGATTATCAAAGCCGTACCATTTGTTACAAAAATGAAATTTTCAATTAAGCTAATCTTAATTAATTTAATCCGCAATATGGTAAATGGCTATATTTGGACATATAAATAGTGAGTAGATTGCCAATTAAATCCGAAATCTTTCAATAATCCAGCTTTGAATTTGAGATTTATCTCGAAAATGAAATTTCTGTTATTTTGATCGTCAAAATTTTATTTTCGCCAAAGTATAATGGCCGCTGCGTTTGGCTTTTTTTTCTGGACAATGCGACATTAAACCGCAACCCTATACAATTCGTCGAGAACAATTCCAGTTTCGTCAGACTATTGTAGTTGGAGGTCACTCAGTGAGTCATTGCTAAATAGTCACGCACTGTTGCAGGGCGTTTCGCATATTCCCTCTATTGGCATTTTTTTTTATATCCGCTCTAGAAAATGAGCTACATCCGGTGTTTTAGATCAAATCAGAGGTGAAAATTAATCTTTCCCATGCTGGATTTAAATCATGGTGCGTGAATATGAAATTTCTTTCTCTTTCCCACAATCTTTCTTATTTTTTTGCTGCAACAAGTATTTGTTAGTTTTTGGGTGATTGTGAATACATCACTAGAAGAATGTTGCAGGAATCAAGTTTGCCATTGTTTTTCTTTTTCTTAAAATCTCAATTAAAGTTATAATAACTATAAAGAGCATTTGTTCAGTGCTTCTTTCCGTTTGTTTTATCTCTTCTCTCGTTTCTTTCTTCTCACCAAAACCACTACTAAGATTTTGTTTCACATCAAAAAAATCCAACATCATGAAAATCTTTTGTGACAAACCTTGTTATTATCGAGAGCGTCGATGCATTTTTCTTTCTTTTCTTTTATTTTTGGCCTTTCCACAGCAAAATTGCATGGTTGGTTTACTCAAAATTTCATTTTACATTTTAGGATGTCCTCCATTTACCTAACCAACCTTTATTTTGTTTCACATCAAAAAAATCCAACATCATGAAAATCTTTTGTGACAAACCTTGTTATTATCGAGAGCGTCGATGCATTTTTCTTTCTTTTCTTTTATTTTTGGCCTTTCCACAGCAAAATTGCATGGTTGGTTTACTCAAAATTTCATTTTACATTTTAGGATGTCCTCCATTTACCTAACCAACCTTTATTTTGTTTCACATCAAAAAAATCCAACATCATGAAAATCTTTTGTGACAAACCTTGTTATTATCGAGAGCGTCGATGCATTTTTCTTTCTTTTCTTTTATTTTTGGCCTTTCCACAGCAAAATTGCATGGTTGGTTTACTCAAAATTTCATTTTACATTTTAGGATGTCCTCCATTTACCTAACCAACCTTTAAATCGTTCATGTGAGCCATTTGCAATATCTATATTGGATGTTTTTTTATGTTTCCACTTCAGCTTCATCTTTAACATTTTCACATATCTTCTAATAAACGTGGCCACGTACTCTTAATAAAAAACTGACAAATTGTGGAAAACAATGGAATTTTTTGGCGCTCAAAATGATGAATCACTTTTAAAAAGATATCGCAGGGGCAAGTGGTCTCGTCTAGGCTTGTTGAAGCATTTCGATTCGAAAAATCTAGTGAGCCCCTTCAGCGAAACATTTTTTTTCGCATATGTTTTTCTTTCGTCTCCCATCGACGAAAATGTTCGCACATTGTGTTCGCCGTGGGAACCTTCAATTACTATAATAGGTGAGAATTCATATTTCTTTTTTGGTTTGTGTGTGTGTGTGAAAAAAAATATAGAAATGCTGAACACCCTGCTTATTTATGTGTGCGATTTTTTGCGAGCATAATCAAAAATTAGCAGCAAATTTTTGGTTTTAGTTGGATTTGTTTCTGAAAATTGGCATATGAGTGACATCATTGTGTAACTGCGAAGAATGTATGTATTGAGATTTTGGCCTAATCTAGTATTTTCGAGGATTAACGATACTAGATTTGTTGCATTTTTCTACTACTTGTTCCACACCATTTTCAAAAATTCTATACATATCGTTTTTTTTTTGGATATCGATTATTGTGACACAAGGCGCATAAAATTTCCACAATGAAAAATAAATAGCGGATGCATAAATCGATGCAATAAAAAAACAGACGCCGTCGGCGAGAAGTGGCGATCAAAATGAAAAAAAAAAACAACAATTTTTTTGGTTTTAGTAAACATTTGGGTCGCACTCAAGGTTGGGGCTGTAATTCCGCGCGCGCCCCGAAAAAAAGTTTTATTTCGCGGCATCCAGCTACACACACACGCCCACACGCATCCATCAACTGTGGCTTTTCTTTAATTGTGTTTTACCCCCCAGCATCAACGACACCATGAGATCCAATAAAAGAAAACGCTAGCAAAACGTATTACCTGTCACATTTTGCGCTCATCTCCATTCCTCCATCCTCCTCCACCTCCTTCCATTTTCGCTGCATTTTTTTTGTTCAAATTCGATTCTATTCTATTCTACGTTCTTTCATTATTCGTTTCGCGGCTTCTCATCTTCATTTCATAAAGAGCATCCCACCAACAGACGTTTTTTTATGGTGACAAGACAAAAGTCATTTTTTTAAAATGAATGTTAAACGAGGAAAAAATCGCAATTGAATTTGGCTTTTGATGTGACCGTTCATGTACGAGACATCGACGTCGTCTACTCCGCCCACTTCTCCATCCTTCTTTCTTTCCACTTTTTTTTTGCCTGGATCCCTTTTTGCCTGGATTCGCTATTTTGTGTGTCTCAGGCGTGCTCGCCGTGCAATAATAAAATCGTGCGAATTCCGAAAACGCTGGCAATCTAGTTCGTTTCTATTTCAGGCCGACCGGAGATTATTTTTACTAGATTGAGTTGCATGTAGAAGCGAATAAGGCCGAACACAATGGAGAGTCGTCGAGGTAATCTCAATATTTTGTTGAATATTTAACTATCAATCACAAAAACCTTTGAATGGCAGTTTGATTCGGAAAAAAAGATAACTGTCGATTTCTCGATTTCAGGCAGGGGAAAGTTTGCCAAGATTGTGATGCCGACTCCAATCGAAACCCCAACAATGAATTTAGAGGATAAATGTAAAATAAAGTAAGGCGCCACGCACCAATATTTTAAATCACTTGAACAAATTCAGGCTCACCAATGAGTCAGAGGAAATTGAAATACGAGCAGTTGATCTGATAGTGCTCGAAGAACTGGGTAAGGGCGGGTATGGGGTTGTCGAAAAAATGAAGCATCGACAAAGTGATATTGTGATGGCCGTGAAGGTAATCGTTTTTTGACGATCTCTCACTTTGATGTTTTTTATAGCGGATTAAATCATCCATTAACGACCAATCACAAAAACAGATGCTCACGGAGCTGGATGCCTGTAAAAGGAGCGATTGTTGTCCGCAGGTACGGGAAAAAACCCATTCATTTTCGCATTAAGCATTGCTTTTAGATGGTCCGCTTCTATGGAGCCATGTTTCGAGAAGGTGACGTTTGGATATGCATGGAAGTCATGGATACGTCACTCGACAAATTTTATCGAAAAGCCTACAAAAATGGGCTAAAAATTCCGGAGCCATTCATTGGAAAAATGGCGCTCTCCGTGATTGAGGGACTGAATTTCATGAAAGAGCAGCTGAATCTAATACATCGTGACGTCAAGCCTTCCAATATATTGCTCAATCGGCACGGTCAAGTCAAAATATGCGATTTTGGGATTTCGGGACATCTGACAAATAGTCTTGCCAAGGTATTCATCAATTATTCGGCTTTGTTATTAATTATGCGTTGCGATTCAGACGGTGCAAGCTGGATGTAAGCCGTATATGCCTCCTGAGAGGATTGACGGCGAAACAAAGAGCGCCTACGATGTTCGAGCTGATGTTTGGAGTCTTGGGATCACTATTGTGAGTTGAAGCAAATGGGAAAATATGTATAATGAGCACACTCCATTCGAATTCATTCAATGTGTGAAGTTTGGGATTCTAAAAATGAATAGATTATAACCAACAGATAATCTTGTTGGAGATTAGCCTAATTAATTGAAATAATGTATTTAGGTTGAAATTGCTACCGGGACGCATCCGTATGCTCAGTGGAAAACGCCATTTGATCAGCTGAAGCAGGTGGTCAAAGAGCCACCACCTCGACTACCAATGAACGGTCAATTCACAACAGATTGTCAATTCTTCGTAAAGCGATGTCTTGAAAAGAATTATAATGAACGACCAAAATATCCTGAACTTCTTGCGATGCCTTTTATGGAAATGGCACGTAACGACAAGCATTTCAGCATGTCGCGGTTTATAAATGAAGTGAGATTGATTAAACAAAACGTGGCAGACTTATAAAAGATTTATTGCAGATTCTTGACATGTAGACGATGGAACTTCACGCGAGACAGAATACCGAATCGAAACTGCCATACAAAACAACTCTCAACTCATCAAATTTATATATATATATATATATATTGTCGGCGTCAAACGATTGATGAAGGCGGGGCTTTCATCCTCACGAAATCAGTGAAGATTTACAAATGCTTTTTTTATAAATACAAGATGTTCAGTCATTGGACACCGACAATAATACACTTTGTGCCTACTTTGTTGAAACAAACACCTTTCTCACGTCGTAATCACTAGTCCAGTCCATTTTTGCATTTCTAGTTTTTGTTCGCTACATCATTCCATTTACTATAAAGAAAATATGAGTTCCATGGAACGCATTGATTGTATATTGTTTTTCTTTCATCATTTAATTGCATGGATTTCATTTTATATCAGTTTTTTCGTACTTAGAACCTCATATTTGGTCATCATAACGAAGGTTAAAGATTTATTCATTTGATAGAAATTTGTGACAATATGTATATATATATATATATATATATATATATATATATATATATATATACACATATATAATTTTTATAAATTGTTTTAGTGATTTTATTGAATGTTGTCTCTTTCACTTGTATTTTAACAGTTTTGTCATCATTTCAGCCTCAAAATCTAAGATCCTTGCTATCTATGTTACAACGTGGGCATGTGTATTCATATTACTATCATCTTTTGGGATTTATTACATTTGTGCCGTTTTTGCTTCATAAATAAGTCATATCAATGTTTTTATACATTATAAAAAATGTATTTTTTGAATGAGAAGAAATCGTTGAAAAAATTGTTGCTAAATTTATTTGAGATATAATTTCAGATAGATTTGTATGAACTAACCATTAGTGCTATGTTTAGATTAACAAAAATTCTGGTTTTTGTGCTTCACCTGTTTGAGAAGCTATATGAATCTAATACAACGCTTTCACTCAAAAATTACGCATTTTGTTTGCAAAATTGTCGGCAATTATTGATTTATTCGCAATTTTATGCAAAATCGGGCATTATCTTTGAACTGTGAAGTTTTGTTTTTGACACACACAACAATATTTATAATCTTCTCAATTTTATTCAAAGCAGATCAAATCTTTTGAAAGCTGGTCATTTATAGTTGAATTGGGAACCTTGGACAGAAACCGCTAATTACCTCAATTATAAATATAATTTTGTACTTCAAATTGTCTTAAGCTTTTCCCCAGTTCTTTCTAACAAAATTCTTGTTATAAATTCAACAAATTTGTCATATTTTTACAATCATCCAAATTCCTAACTAACTATCACTATAAATAAAAAAACCTAAAATTCTAAGCCATCGATACTGCTGCTATTCATTTTTTGTTCTCATATCCTGGTATTAATTAAATTATTCCAGTCATGATCATTCCAATAAATATGCTTTTAAAAACGAGTAAATTTTTTTCGAAGCCTTTTGAAAATTATCGTGTTATTCTGATTGAACCATATTCAAATATTATCGCTTGGCCTAAATTCAAAGCAAATATTATGACTATTTTCAGTGTCTGTGTTTTTCTGCTTATCGCTCACAACAGCTATGCACCTCTCCCTTTTATCGATTCCTGACTACTATTTATTGATACACCTAATGAGAGTTCCTCCCTTTCTATAACTGTCGGGGTGTGGCGTCCCTATTGCGAAAGTTTGCACAAGGCTAAGAAAGAGGGGCTGCGTTCGTAGGCGAAATAGCATTGGACGCCGAGAGCGCATTAAAGGGACATGACCTTGGTCTCGTGGCGATTTTCTGGGTTGATAGGCAAACACGCAGAGGAAAAATTCATCATTTTGCTGGCCTAAAAATGTGCGAGAGCCTCATTTTGACGCGTTGCGCTCGCCTGTGCTGTGGTTTTCTAGAATTTTCCTCCAATGCTATCGTTGTTCCACAACTTCATTAATTTTTTGTTATTCTTTAACTCACATTGCATCGAATGTACTAATTATTAAAAGCTTTACAGGTAATATCGTTCAACTCTCGCTCTCATCATGGGAAAGGAAAAGACTCATATCAACATTGTCGTCATCGGACATGTCGACTCCGGAAAGTCTACCACCACCGGACACTTGATCTACAAGTGCGGAGGAATTGACAAGCGTACCATTGAGAAATTCGAGAAGGAAGCCCAGGAGGTAAGAATTTTGATTTAGTGCATTTCAGAAACGAATGAAATAATTTTCAGATGGGTAAGGGATCCTTCAAGTACGCCTGGGTTCTCGACAAGCTGAAGGCTGAGCGTGAACGTGGTATCACCATCGATATCGCTCTCTGGAAGTTCGAAACTGCCAAGTACTATGTTACCATCATCGACGCTCCAGGACATCGTGATTTCATCAAGAACATGATCACCGGAACATCTCAGGCTGATTGCGCTGTTTTGGTTGTCGCCTGCGGAACCGGAGAGTTCGAGGCCGGAATCTCCAAGAACGGACAAACTCGTGAGCACGCTCTTCTTGCTCAGACCCTCGGAGTCAAGCAGCTTATCGTTGCCTGCAACAAGATGGACTCCACCGAGCCACCATTCTCTGAGGCCCGCTTCACTGAGATTACCAATGAAGTATCTAGCTTTATCAAGAAGATCGGATACAACCCGAAGACCGTTGCTTTCGTTCCAATCTCTGGATTCAACGGAGACAACATGCTTGAGCCATCTACCAACATGCCATGGTTCAAGGGATGGGCCATCGAACGCAAGGAAGGAAACGCAACCGGAAAGACCCTCCTCGAGGCTCTTGACGCTATCGTGCCACCACAGCGTCCAACCGACCGTCCGCTTCGTCTTCCACTTCAAGACGTTTACAAAATCGGTGGAATTGGAACTGTTCCAGTCGGACGTGTCGAGACTGGTGTTATCAAGCCAGGAATGGTCGTCACCTTCGCCCCACAGAACGTGACCACTGAAGTCAAGTCCGTCGAAATGCATCACGAGTCTCTTCCAGAGGCCGTTCCAGGAGACAACGTCGGATTCAACGTCAAGAACGTCTCCGTTAAGGACATCCGTCGTGGATCTGTCTGCTCGGACTCGAAGAACGACCCGGCCAAGGAGGCTCGCTCGTTCAACGCTCAGGTCATCATCATGAACCATCCGGGACAAATCGGAAACGGATACACTCCAGTTCTCGATTGCCACACCGCTCATATCGCTTGCAAGTTCTTTGAGCTCAAGGAAAAGGTAATATCAATAGAGTTAAATGACATTTAATAAAAAAGTTTTTTTTTACAGGTTGACCGTCGTACCGGTAAGAAGGTCGAGGACTTCCCCAAGTTCCTCAAGTCTGGTGATGCCGGAATCGTTGAGCTCCACCCAACCAAGCCAATGTGCGTCGAGTCATTCACCGACTACGCTCCACTCGGACGTTTCGCTGTTCGTGATATGCGTCAGACCGTCGCCGTCGGAGTCATCAAGTCGGTCGACAAGTCGGACGGATCCGGTGGAAAGGTCACCAAGGCTGCCCAGAAGGCCATCGGAGGAAAGAAGAAGTAAATCGCTTCTTCGAGGCCGTTAATTTATGTAATATCGTTGCAATTTTTCGCGAAAATTCCATCTTTAACATACATACAACTTTACTCATTTTGCTGGTTGATTTATCCAAATTTTGGAATTATTTATTAACAAAATTGTTTACATGTACCCCCATTTTGATCTTTTTTTTTCTCGTTTCTGTATCTATTTAGCACATTTCGCAGAACATCGCATATGTGCTTGAATAAATATATGTTAAACACACATGTCAATTATCATTTGGTTATCAAAGAAAACGATAAATAAAAACTCAAATAGCGACGAATTTATGAACTGATAACCTGCAACGAAGCTTCACAACGCGATAGGAGTCTGATAATGTGTGCAATTGCTTCCAGGAATTGATTAGATGAATACATATTGAAAATGGGTGTATCATTATTATTATCCAAAATGAGAAGGAGTGGATAGTTTTGATTATGATTGTGTTGTGCGAGTTGTTCAAACAGCGAATTGTTGAAGGAGATGCACCTTCTTCGGATTTTGCAAAAATCGCACCCTTCAAAAGCATATTTGATTTGTACTAGAAAATATTTGCGCTGTTCTAAAGAATGTGTTTACTTTGAAGTCTTCTTGTGGAAAATCATTAGTTTTCCTTATTGTTTTGCAACGTTTCTTCGCACAAATTGACCTATTTCATATGCATTTCTTGAAATGATGAAATAGTTAATTGATCAATTGCGTCGACCCAAATATTTTGCTGGATTATATTGAGCGATCACAACATTCACATTTGATTTAGAAAATTTCATGGAGAAAAACGAATTGTGGACGGAAAACCGCATATTTTAAGAAAATAATTGGATAATTTGAAAACGTTCGACCTCATCAAGGACACAAACTCATTTGCTGGAGGATAGATTTCTTGACGATGTCTCACAGGGGGTCAAAATCACGGTTTTCGTGATGAACGTGATTTCAAACTTAAAATCCTGTTCTCTTCACGCCGAAGCGATTTCTTGATTACTCTAGCGGAAAAGGGCGATCGGATATGAAGAATACGAAACAAAGCAACGCGGTTGTTACATTCCTCAATACTTTGTTGAAACTTGTTGTAAACTTTGAAAGTAGAGAAAATTTCTTTTGATATTTTTTTATTCGAAATAATTAAAACAATTTCTGAGTTAATTGTTTTTTTTTTTCATTTTTTTCTCTTCCAATTTTTGAATAAAAATATTGCCAATTTTGACGTAAAATATTTGAACCTGATAGACTTTTGCAATTTGTTTCATATTGAACATCTAAAAAAAGCTGGCTTTCTTGAAATTGAGCCATTGTGTCTAGATCAAAACACTACTGCAGATAAACGTTTCCGCATTTGTTCAGGAAAAAATATATATATAGAATAGGAAATTATTCGATGAATCTTTTCCATTTTGGCACGGAGCTCTGACACAACCTTCGTTAGATTCTCTTCAGAAAATAAGCGAGTATAAAAGTGACTGTGAATATGAACATAAATAAATAATTGAAGTCGTGGAATTCTGCTCATTATTTCGTATCAACCTCGTTTTCGGAACGTCTTTTGCCAAATATTTTTAAATTTATATCGGAATATTTTTTATTTCTTTGGTCTATTTTTTTTAAAGAAACCCTATAATGGAACTATTGAAATTGTACATGAATTTCATTGAAATAAATCTCATTATCCCTTGGTTAAACTATTCAAAGTATAGATATCTTTCATATATTATTTCTCTGATCTTCAACATATTTGCTGAAATCGACAACTAACGATGTAGTGAGGAATGACAAAAAACATCGACGATCTAAATTTTACGTCATATTGTGTCTCAGCTTGAATATCTAAATATATTATGCATATTTGATTAAACAATAATTGAAAATAGACAAATCACCTGCTAAAATTGCACAGGTCATGTTATACAAGTAAAAACATTGATAACATCATAATTTAGTTTGAACAACGAACTAAAATTTAACATTTTCTATTATTCAGCAGGTTTTCAGTCAACCGAAATCTCAAATCTGCTTGATGGTGGGTCTCCCGCCTTTTAGTCTATTTTCAAGTGGGCTCGTTATCTGGGAACACATTCTCATTTCTTATCTCTCATATTAAATGCAAAGCCGCGATCTTATCGTTATTCAAATGTTGACCTGCTCTCCTATCCTTTTAAATAGTGTAATCTAGGGTGAAGATTATCGGTCAAAGATAGCGTGCTCGGCAGGTCGTAAAGAGAACCGTCTGCCAGGGACCAATACAATCTTACATGTCTAATGTTACACATTAGATCTGCTCTATATGTATGCTCATTGCGCAATTAAACTAGCACACATATCTGACCTAATAACTATTACCGAGTTCCAAAAGAAAGGGCGGCTTTTGTGAAGAAAAGTCATAAAAAGAGCAAAGAAATATTGTCACAATCAGAAATTCTTCAAGAAAAATCATGTTCTCAAAAAGCTTTCATTATTTTGTATAGGAGGATGCAGCGATTTTTTTTTGACCCAGAATGTCAGCCATAACAGACAAACTTTACGCAGGATCGAACTATCCCCTAATGGAAAACATATGTGATTTGTTATTTGCTCACTTTGAATTACGCAATCTCGCAGCGTGTGAAAAATAACATTGTTTGATCTTGGAATACATATATTTTTTTTTTAATTTAAGAGAAAATACAATGTACATCATTATACAGATTGCTTTGATTATTTTTATTATTGCAATTTTTGTGATAGATTTTTGAATATTAGTCAACATTCCTCCAGATTTCCGGAATGAATTCAAATATCATGATGATGCGTGGGCGAATATTTATTTATATTGAGCACGATTTGATTGACACATTCATATTTACATGAAAATCGAACAATTTAGAAAAAATCCTTGATGCGGTAAGGCAATTTTTCGAAATTTGTCATCCCTAAAATAAAATCATAATGATTTTTGGGCCTAAATGTTTTATTTGTGAAACCGAAGTTGACGAATTCTTTGGCGATAAATTATCACACCAATAGCTTGAATATGTCCCATTGAACAGCTCTGGGCTTCCGTCAAGACTCAGAGGTCTTCGCACATTTTTGTGCATATACTTTTTGAGATTCTCGAGTTTTGCAAGTATCCTGCAGATAAATAATGGCTATTGTGTCAACATGACTAGCGTTTTACTTTCGTACTATTTTTGGATTTTGACGTGCTATGTCTTTGCTTTCCGTCGGATCAACTGCAAAATGAAGTTTAATTAAGGCTATTGCTCAATTGTTTCAAGAGCAATCCATTGTGACGCACGTACGCCCTTGTCTATATTTGGGTATATTACTTGAGATACGAAATAGGCGAATACGATTCTTTTCCTTCACTTGCTTCCTGTCAACATTTCCAGTTATTAGTTTATAGTCGCCGTCTCTGAAATGCTAATCCATAGAAATTAGTTTGAGTTAGTTCCTCATCTACCGTATCGCGCTTCCCTTAGAATCAATATTATAGATAAACTGATATCTTCTGAACTTTGGTTTTCCGGTTCGAATATAATCCCACTGATTAATACCGTCACCTATTTAGTGATTAGTACAATTAAGGGAATATCACAATAATTACCGTAGGAATCAATTTTTAGTCCGGCCATTGATAAAATTGAAGCATGCCAGTCGACGACGTGAAATAACCTAAAATTGAATTAAGGATTCTTATAGAATATTAGAATCCAATTAAGTTTCATTTAAAGAGATGATGAATAGATAAGGTTGAAAGGAGTCTTCAACAATGATCCCATAAGCAAAAATTTTTATTATCTTTAAAACCATTGGGAAAGTCTGGGTTGAAACATTTTTGAAGCCGAATTGTTTTCTTAATTCTGCAAAATCAAAGAACCATTTTTGGTAAACATGAAATTAATATTAAGTTATTGTAGCGGATATATAAGCAAATTTTAAGCCAGTTCGTTGAGGCTAGGAAGTAAAGTTTCCCTCATCAATCCATCTCCTCCCTCGTTTTTTAGAAAAATTCGCATGCATTATTTCTTGGAAAATCACAATGTTTCTTTCACAGCAGTATAATATACTAATAAATAAATATATTCTTACATTTTTCTCTCTCCTCCCCTTTTGATGAATCTGGGCGAATGAATAAATGTTGTCGTCCTCGTTCCACCTTCCCAGATTGAATCCTTTTCACCTCTTAATGGAGCATTCGAGGCTCCAAATTCAACAGTTCCGCCATTCTGAAGACCATTAATAGTAGAAAATAGGTACCAAATTATTGCCAACATCACTAGTAAAAACAATAATTGTATTTTCATATAGTCCCGCTGCTTTTAAATAATCCACTAAGCGTCCAATTGCAAAATCCATTGAGGTAAGCATCCCTAGAAAAATTTTCGAATGTGTATCTGTGTTAGATTGAGATAGCTTCAAGAAAACCCCTTAAAACTCTACCACAGTATATTTTACGATAACGGTTTTTAACCCTTGAGCAATATTTTTCGAATGACCGGGGCACCTAAATTTGGCTGTTTTTTTAGACATCTCATAAAGGTACCTGTAATGGCGGATGCACCGCCTGATATGACAGAAACATGAAGAACGGTTTTGAGTTATTATGATTATCAAGAACACTCATGGCAACATCAGTGAAGAGATCCTGAAAGACTACTTTTTCCTTGTCACAATCAAAATAATGAAAAATTAACATATTAATTTTTGATTTCTGGACTGATATTTTTAAAAATATAATTACGCGTATCGATAAGAATTAGTCATGAACGAAAATACAAAATTTTGGCTTCATGATATTAGCAGTTTTTAAAACCATACAAGATGACTTAAAATTTCATATAAATGTTAGATAAATCCTTAAATGAAATGTCATCTTTCATCTTTTCGAAATCGAAATAATAGCAAGCCGCAACTTGAAATGGCTTAGTTGCGTTACGAGTTTTAACAGTTTCTAATTGTGCATAATTTACCGTTGAGTAAACCCCATTTTGCGAGAAGTCTGGAGTGCTTTTTCCAGAACCAATCTCCTCAAACAAATCTAATCCTTTGACAACCCGCCTTAGCTCTCGATGATACTGATCTTTAATTAAAATTGTCCATTTTTGCCACTTCTCCAAACACCCACCAGCGCTATGGTTGAAATAGCCCGTTTGCGGACCATAGAACCCATAGAAATAATCAAATCCGCGATTCGTCGGCAAATACTCCTTTTTGCAATAACCTAAGTGCCATTTGCCGACTAAATACGTTGAGTAATCCAAAGATCGCATGTTCTCCGATAGAAATGGAAACATTGTTGGGATTCCAGAAGGCTCCATATGCAGAAATACGCCGTTCTGAAATTATTGAGTGCTTTTCATTTTATCAAAAATTGCCACTTGTCGACTATTTTTAGAAATTTAATTAGAGATAACGCCCGCTATGGAAAACACTACGAATATAATTCTTAAATTATTTTGCCATCTCTGACTATTTATTGAAAGCGCGTTATTTGTGAGCCTTGGTTATTTGTCAAAATTCGGCTATTTCTAATCAATCTTTTAAACCCCCCTCCCTCTCCCCTTCATATAATTATTGAATTTATCATCATTTGTGGAAAATCACCCTCTGAAATCGACATGTGATATATACCTTATGCTGATGAATCAGTCTGGCTCACAACATAAACCAATTAATGCAAATTGAATTAAATACCAGGGTTTTCAATTCCTTATTTATATAGGATTTTCAAGTTTTTTTTGATACCTGTGTTCCCGTTCGAAATGGATAATATCCCGTCATAAATGCGCTTCTCGTTCTAAAAAGCAATAAAAATTTTTAATAGTGTCGAGACATCGTTAAACTCACGGTGTGCATAATTGGTTAACATATGAGTTGGTAAGTTGAGCCGTATTTTCGTGAAAGGCTAGGTGACGTAGGTTCGGTGTATGTAGGCTAAACATTAATTCAAAAAATTATGAAGAATTAGGATTCCAAATTATTGGATGTTTAATCTCATTTACATTTTGTATTGTGACTTACTTGTTGTCTTTCCAGTCGAGATCGTTGAACCCAAGATCATCAGCCATTATGAATAAAACATTGGGTTTGGTTTTAATTTCCGTATGACCATCGTTGTATCCAACAAGTATGAATATTGAGATAAATAGAACAGTTAGTGTCATCGGCAATAAACTAGCGAGACCGAATACCTAGTCTCCTATTTGAAGTGCGACCTCGAATAGTTAGTTTGTTTGAGGTATTTGGTAGCGAAATGAGAACTAGAACATTGCACTGACCAACCTTTTTTACAAGAAATGAACCTGAAATTGGTCTAATGATTATTGCTGGCGTCCACTTTCACTGTTTTAGTAAGATAGGGAGTGACCAAGAGTGCTAACTCTAGAAAAACTGAACGTTCATGACCTTGAGTCTTCGCTCTCGAAACTGATTGTTCACTTATTTAGAACTGGTATTTGTTGACGTTTTGCTAATTTCTCGTCGACAGAAATTTGATGATTACAATGAATTTTTATCCTTCACCAAGACGCGATCGTGATCATTCTATTGTCTTGCCGCGGCAGACAATACAGCGGCTAGTGAGTGACCTCCATCCCAAATATTGGAATTAAAAAGAATTACGACAGTGAAGTTCGCTCATGAGAATGAAAAAGCCCGAAACTTTCTTGGAATTTTCAAAACAAAAATTTAACAAGGAAGGAAATATTTCATAGTTATCAATCACAAAATTCCATTCTTTGTCTAAGAATTTCAAATCGCAATTGAGAAACTATTTCAATAATTTTTAATACTATCGCCAAATGTCAAATAAACGTGCAAAAAGGCAACCAAATTTTTGAAAAAGGACCATGCTGATCATTTTTTTCAATGTCAGTACTTCTTTCAAAACCCACGCAATGCCAAAAGTTAAAGATTTCACATACATTTTAAATTTCTTTTGGAAATGAGAGAGACACCTTTACTTCTGTCATGAGATATCAGAAACTCAGAAATTCATATTCGACCTAGGTCAACAAAATACTCTAGGCATTCAAGTAGAAAAATTAATGCCTAGAATTTTTTATTTCATTAACTTTATATGAGGAACTGTTTGATTGAGGTCATTAGATCTCCTTTATCTTACACATTGAGCGCATATTCCAAGGTTCGTGAAATTCGGTTAAAATCCTCAAGCTTCTGTAGACCAATTACGATGTTTACTAGCATAAAAAATAACACGCTTTCGCTCATGTTTTTCTTCTGTGCTCCTCCAAATTCACATTCAATTTGTTATTTTGACACCATATTGCCACCAATATAACGTCATTATGGCATTAGTTGATCATCATCCATAACTCTATGAATCAGATTTCTCATCAACTCCCATTAGTGGATGATGAGAAATAAATTGTTGTGAAGTGTCGCCAAGCACATGCAACTTCATTAATTGATATTCCACTCCCTAGTGACTGTCTCCCACAATTCAATTAACTCTTTGGGGGCGGAGACAATCTAACAATGCTCAAATACGCGGCGAATTCACATTGTTTTCAGACTATTCTGACTTCAAGCAATATATGCTCAGATTGAAATTTCTGCACTAAAAACAAAAAGAAAATTATGGGAAATTGTTTTTGACTCATATTTCGGTGTAAAAAAAGTTACGCACTTGTTTGGTTTATAGGGGGACATCTCTTTTGTTGATGTTCTCGAACCAGACAGGATGGCCCACCCACATTATCATTTATTCCTTTTCTGTTCGCCAAACCGCTGACACACACAAGCTGCTCTTCAATATTATCTCACATCTTTTTTTGAGTTAGCGTAGGATGATTATTAACTCCCTGGAAAAATGTGCTCGTATATGTAGCGAGTACTTGTTTGTTATTATGCATGTTCACCAAGCCATAACGGCGATGCCTGGAGGGAGTTTTTTTTCAGTTAAGTTCAAATTCATTAAAAAACTGACTCATATTGCTTTCTCATTACAAATTTTCTACGCGGTGGAATAATTCAATTACACTTTTCGTTACTCTCGCACAGCTCTGAACTTTCAAAGTTGAAACTTCTTAAGGTACTATCAATGTTCCGCTTGAGCCACATTCTCTTCGTTCTTCTCGTCATTTGCCTGGTCGCCTATTCGATTCCAACGACGTATTCGAAAAACAAAGTGCTAAATAATATTTTCAAGCAGATTCATAACAAGTAAGCATGCCCTTCGATAACCAACCAATAAGTAATTTAAGGAATGCTGCTGGTGATGTGTTCCCTGTCGAGCGCTACTTCAACGACGCTCCATATGGCTTGAACGACGAGCAGAACTATTTTGTAATTGTGTGAATTTCAATGAGATTTGTAACAATGTCAAAATTAATAAAGTGTTATTCAAAAAATCGATTTTTGTTTTAGTGTAAATGAAAGAAGTGTCAAAAACAGCGTAGAAAACAATCATTTTGAAACTTTGCTATGTTTTTTGAAACAGAAACGTATAAATTGAAGAGAAAAAATATAAAAGTTGATTCAGTTAACAAAAATATGTTTTGATAAATGGTTCTTTCCACCATTTTTGTTGTTGAAACATTGCTGCTATTAAAATAGTAATAATAGTTTGTTGAGGTTCAATTAGAATTGGAAAATGATTGCACTTTGTTTCAGTTCTTTTATAAGAGTATAAAGTATTAACTATAGAGTATTAACTTGAAGGTTGCTAGTTTTCGTTAACAAATATACTTTTCTACTAACAAAGCTTCATATATTTAGATTTGATTCGTCATTTTCATCGAGTAAGATTCCGGACAGTTAGACACCGGTTTTGAACAATGCATTTGTAGCCGTGGAACTATTTTACCCAGGTTTTACGTGCCACATTCCTGTAAGCTCTAAACTTGTTTGCTCCTCAATACCTGCAAAAAGACATTGTTGACACATGGACGTTGATTCTTGTTGGCACGCGTGCTCTGTGCTAAAAAGTTTCTCAAGGCAATTAAGCGAACTTTTTTTGCTACGATGAATGATGCGCAATTGTTTCCAGCTGTAAAATGTTGTTTGGTGCCTACATAAAGGATAATAAGTAAGAGCATAACGCATTGAAATTTAGTTTGATCGAAATAACACAATGAAATACTTGCTTCACAAGTTTGAATCACCGAATAGACAAAATGTCAAACTACACAATAATTCTCAATGGTCTTCGGTAGATCTTGTTTAATACTTGAATCATTTTTTTTCTTAGCTTTCTATTAATTGTTGGCAAACGTGAGTTTTTGTTGCTTAAACAATGCTGCTCGTCTCAAATTTTATTGAATGCGAACTTCAAACAAGCAAGATGTTGCACTTTGTGCCTGACGGCGATACGATTTCTTTCGGCGGCACAGCTTAAAACTTTTGTGAGAACCTGTGAAAATTCAGTGAAGCAAAGACAAACGCAAACATAATGGACAGTTTTTTTTTCTCGCGCGAAACACGTGTTGACTACCGCGCGGCTTGTTCCGCAAGGAGGAGCGTACATGGCAGGCTGCGGTGCGTTGCTCCTATATAAAATTAGTCACTCGTCAAAGTTCTCATCATTATCGGTTCCCCCTCTTATCCCACGGTGGTCTAAGAAATGAAGTTGTGGATCATCTTGATAGCGACAGCGTGTTTTACCCAAGCTGCCACTATTCAGCGAACGAAACGACAATATGCTACTGGTGATTCCCATTTTTGGACCTAATTGCTGATTCTTGTATGTTTACAGTTCCTCTTTATTCATCTTGTAACGAATACTTAAGCTGCGCTCCGCCAGCAGTTTGCTCATCAGGTTTTACATTTTTTTTTGACTTCTTTATTTTGTTCATTTTTTTTCAAGGCTCTTGCCAATGTGCGCAATCCTATCAAGTTGCTGGCACTACATGCGTTCCTGTCGGAGCTGCACCACCATCGGGAATTTATCAAGTTCCTGCTGGAGGTTTCAATCAGCATCATTAGGCAAGCAAAAACTTAATTCTTTTGTTCAGTTGCGCCTGCAACATTCCGAACGGTCTACACTGATGCGGTGTCCGCTTTCCGGCCGGTGTATCAGCCAGTTGTTTACTATCCACAAGTCATTCATCAACAAGTCGTATGCGCAGCACCACCTTGTCCAAAAGGTAAATCAATTGACAATGGGAAATTGGAATACTTCATCAAAATAGCTAGCAAAATGTGCCTAACCGACACTTTTATTTGAAATATAATGTGAAAAAAGCTGGTAGTATTAAATGTTTTGTTTACCAGCTCCGGAAACTACTACTACCACTCCAACGACCACCACCGTTCTCCCAACTCCGGCACCAGAATCGACTACCTCCGCTACAGAAACAACCACCCCTACAAGGTTTGAACGTTTTACTGATCTTCTCAAAACAATTTAATTTTAAGATTCTACGACGGGCCTTCTATTGCCTACCCAGACGAATATTGTAGGCTTCCAAACATTGTTTGTGTCGGAGGAAGTTTCTGCTCCGAGGTAACCATTTTAACAAATAATGTTGAATAACCGAATATTTTTTCAGAACAAGTGCATCTGCCGTCCTTATGAGATAATTGTTGATAGGCAATGCGTTCCAGTTGCGGTAAGACAATTATCAAGTTATCCTTAAAGATATTATTCAGACCACTACGACTCAAGCAACAACTATCGTCACGACTGAAGCGCCAACAACGACAACAACTGAAGCAACGACAACGACAACGACCACTCCCCAACCAACTACTACGATCACCACCACGACACCAACCACCACAACCGAACAAACGACGACTACGACAACTACCACGACAACGACCTCTGAGGCACCAACCACTGTTGTTGTAACAACTCCCAAACCAACCACGGAAGCTCCAACAACTACAGTCACTCCATTTAGAGATCAACCAAGGTGACTTATTCTTTATAGAATATTTTAAGAATCTTTTCTAGCTGCACACCAACCAACTGCAATTGTAACCCAAGAGGATGCAATCAACATGTCGTTCGCATTAATTTTATGGTTGCTAATTACAACCGTTTTAAGAAAAATTAATGGTTGATTTTCAGATTCCCGGCCAGAGTTGTTCCAGCAACTCGCAATGCATGGCTGGCTCATTCTGTAGCAATGGAGCTTGCAAGTAATTGACTCTTACGTTCTAATGCTCTCCACGAATGTTCTTCAATATTTTCAGATGCGCAAGCAGCTTCGAACAACGCGGTGTTTCGTGTGTCAAACGACGCAAATAAATTCGAATCATTTCATTTGTGTGTATATACGATGAAATCAGTTCATATATCATTTATTATGATGTTTTATAAATTTGATCGAATTGACAATGACCACGTGACAAATTGGAATAATCGAAGGCAAGGCAATGATCGTCGGTCACCGTGACACAGAAAGATCGCTGAAAACACATATACCCATAGACAAGGCGAAACTAATGCGTTAATTAACATATGAATTATGATTAGGAACTGGACAGATTTTCACTAAATGGGCTTTTAAATTCACGCATAATGAGGGTGAGGGAGAAGAATGATAGATCAAAATGGAATGATACGTCTATGATCTTCTATTGATTAAAATACTCATCGAAATCGCTCGTGTTCTTCTCAGAAAGTATGGGTACTAGTAAGCAGAATACTTCGTTGGCAAGAAACACTTCTCCCACAATTCCGGGGATGTCGGAAATATAGGTCCAGCGGTTATATACATCACAGTCGAGGTTGAATTCGGCTCGTCCAGCTTTCAAATCGGTTGTCGCCCAGTCAACATTATTGATTTTCGCCTGAATTGATATAAGAAAGATTTAATGTTCAAGCAAGTTTTTAAAATTAATGTTCGAATTTCACTCCGAAAAAATTGTGTAACATCTCAAACAATTTATTAAAAGAACTTACAAATCCTGAGACTAATGGGAATTTGGAGTTTTCTGGAATTTCACACACGGCATGAACCACTGCACACCCATAAGCTGATCTTTTTGCACATCTAGAAAACAATAATGAAATTTTTCACTAATTAAAAAAACGAACCTTAGAGATGGAGTTATAATAGTTTTTCCATTCCGTTCACCAGTTTCTGGCGGAGTAAACTTGATTTGATTAAGATGGCATCCCGAAAATATTTGTGACGCTTCTTTTAATGGCTTATTCGAGTTGACGGCTTCTGATGTTTCTTTCTTGAATTCCTCAGCCACCTCATTTATAGTTTTGGAAAATGTTTGAAATGGATTTGGTTTGGGTTTTGGTTTTGATACTAGATTCGGTATAGGCAGAGATGTCGATGGTTTTAAAATTCGACTCGATTTTTTTTCATTTAATTCTAGATTTTGCTGCACTATCGTTGCAGTTTGCTCTAAAAGATGATAAGGGATACCTGAACAGATCATAGTGTTGAAATGGGTAAGAACGATTGTTGATCTCACCTAATGTTGATTGTGGAACGGTTCGCATACATCCTAACACTGATAATAGTTGGCATAATAAAAGAATCCGTATAAAGAAAACGTGCATTTAAATGATTAATTCAGAGATTGCCGCCGCATGGAACAAACTGCCGGTCGATTTGATTGCGAAAGAGAAGACACTTTCTCTTTTCTTTCGTTATTAATCAGTTGATTTCATTCGTGAATAATTGCACTGATAATTCATCATGTCTGGATCAAATTTCCATTATTACATTATTATTATTATTATTATTAAAACTGATGTCAAGAAACGATACAAAAAAATAAAAAAGAAAGAAAAAAACTAGAAAAATAAACAAAGAAAAATAGAAATCAAGCAATAACATGACAGATCGAGATTAAAAGTGAACTCGCTGGAAAAAAATAAAACTATATTCGACAATGGGCATACGTAGATTCGTGACAAAAACATTAAAATATTCCTATTTGGCACCAAAAATACATTCAAAAAATACAATTTGTAAAAAAAAGTGGAAATATGACCAGTATAAGCAAGAAAAGAAAATGATATACATTTACCACAAAATTATTGGTTGCACCGAAAGGAATTATTGGGTTTGATATTTGATTAATCTGCAGTTGACCGATGGGATGCTCTACTTCGATTACTCAACGCACTGTTCGTTCTTGTTCTCATCCGCCCTCGATGAACTGGATAATCGTCATCGCAATCTACATAATTTATGTGATAAAATAAATGATCATCTTAAAATAAAAATTTGTCTTACTCAATGGGGAAAGCTCGCTATTGCATTCGCTCGCTCTTCTTATTCTTTCTTCAATATTCTTCTCTACTTCAATTAGCTCTTTTTCCAGCACCTAAAAGTTACACAGCATTTATTAATGCTTCAACAAAATTCGAGTGAAACCTGCAATGACAATCGTTTCACATGTCCATGACCATCGGGAATCTCTTGGATAATGTCATCAGAGTTATCATTCGTTTCTTCAGTGTCTGGCACATCTTCTATTGTCTTGACTGCTTCAGGATCGATTGGTTCACCTGAAATTCAATTTGTTTAATGTACATCCTTGTAAATCTACCTTGAGCGTCAATTGGATCAGCATCCCGTTTGTTGCTCTCTTCAAGATGTTTCATCAAAACAGCAACAACGACGTTAACCAATACAAATTGAGAAATTAAGACGAAAATCACGAAGAAACAAGGAGCTAGAATTGGATCAACACAACAGTTTGTCTCACAATGATCTGAGGAATCGCAGTCATCCCGTAGTGCGTCCTAAAAATACTAAATCATTAGAAAATTGATGGAAAATTTACCTTCATAATTCCATTCCAATTATCACCCGTAGCGATTCTGAAGAGTGTCAAAAATGCCATTCCAAAATTTTTAAAATGAGCATGCTCTCCAAGGCCGTCACATGGGTGATCTTCTGAGCATTCCAACTTTCCAAACAATTCAACTCCGAGCGCTGCGAAGATGAAGAAGAGCAAGAAAAAAAGGGATCCCAAGTTTCCGACTTGTGGTAGCGCTTCACCAACAGTATCGAGAAGCGATCGGATTCCTTTTGCCATTTTCAGCAATTTCAAAACTGAATTTTGAATTCTTAGTCAAAGAAAATGTCCATTGAGATATTGTTACCTCTTGCAATTCTTAAAACTCGCATCACACGAATAATAGTTGGATTGATCGGGAGTTCCAGAGCTTCGAATTCTTCGAAGATGATTCCGGCAATTGAAAGAACAACAATAAACATGTCGAGACGATTCCATCTAAACATGTTGAATTGGAAAATCTCAAGAATCAGTCAATCACTTTTCCATGAAGAATCGCTTGAATCCAAGTGCGATCAATTTCATACCAGCCTCTAGTGTGAATACAGCAGTGAAGAAATAATTAAGCGCTTTTAGGACATATTTGAGGCCAACCGGCATCATATAAAACTCCATTGCCATTGAAATTACATTAATTCCTAAAATTCCAATTACACATTTCATGATGTTATTTTTTTTCACCAATGACTGCTGCAATAGCAAGATCGAAGTATTTCGAAGTTACAACTCCATGAATGAAAAGTCTAGTATGACCATATTCTCGATAATATGGCTGATTTCTTTCCACTGAAAAATACATATTTATTTTTTGTCCCAGGCACACGATTCGATCTAAAACATAATATGATTATTAGTACTATTAGAAGATGGGACAACACAACACGCACTAGTAGAATTTAGAAGTGAAACAAAAATCAACTACTGTATTAAGAAAAAAAATGTTGCTATAACACTACTAACATTTTTTCTGTTTTCCGGCTAAGCTTTCTTCGAACTGTTGACGTTTCAGCTGGCGTTTTAGACGCTTCTCCTTCTCTTTTTCACGCATCTCCTAGAAATTAGAAGGCAACAATCTAATTTAACGTAGGGATCTAATATATACTTTTTCCAACGCTTCTTTGCACTTGTGGAAATTTTCGACGACGACTCCGACGAACATATTAAGGACAAAGAATCCAACTAGAAGGAGGAACGAAATGAAGTAAATCATTCTCCATTCATTATAATTCTCGATTGGCTGAAAATTTATACATCAAGGATTTTTGAACTAATGGTTTTGTGCCTGCATATCAACGCCAACTGCATCAATTCCTTGGTACATTATTGAAACCCAACCATCTTTACTAGATAAAACGAACAATGACATCAATGCCTGAAATGTTTCATGAGCTCAAGTCATCTTCTCTCCACTAAACCTGTCCTAAATTGTCAAAATTGTAACGATGATTCACCCATTTGTTTCGAGAATCCAAAAGACAATCAGCTTTGGTTGTCACGTTGTCAATTTCAGGTCCAATGCAATGATACATCATTCCCTACAAGATCATTGGTTGGCTTAAATGTTCTCTCATCGAACTTTGTACCTTGAATAACTGAACCCCGAGAATTCCGAAAATAATGAAGAACGTGCAGCAAATTAGAACAATGTTTCCGATAGGCTTGAGACTCGATATTAATGTCATAACCACAAGCTTCACTCCCGGCGCTCGATTAATAACGCGTAGGGGTCGAAGAGCTCGAAGAAGGCGAAGAACACGAATGACACCGAAGATCTTTGGGGAATCGCCAGTCGCCACAACTTCGAAAATTACGTTGATCAATGATATTATGACAAGAATTCCGTCAAGAACGTTCCAACCATCTTTGAAGTATGCAGAGTGTCCGATAAAGCAGCCATTGGCAATCACCTGAAATTTTATGTGATTTCTGAAGAATGAAATAAGAAATCGAGCGTACCTTCATCATCATTTCACCAGTAAAAATGACAGTGAAGACATAACCAGAAATTGTTAGGAATTTTCGCTCAAGACTGTCCGGAGGAATCGATGGCCGCTCCATTGCCAATGTTATACAATTAATTCCGATGAAAAACAATACAGTATAATCGAACCATTTCTTCTGAGTTGTACGAAGACATCTCAAAACAGTAAAAATTACATATCGCTTCTCTTATGTTAACTTACTGAATTCGTAGCGGATTTTTAGGCCCTAAAATGAATAGAGAGTGTTCTGTACGACTGTAGAGGCATGTCTTTTTAAGAATCTTCCTTGTCAAAGTGTTTTGTTTAGCTTCATTTCGTTTTTCTTCCTCGGCCAGCGCTTGTTTGAGCTCTTGACTGGCTTCCAAAAATTTCTCTCTGGCGTAGGTTTCTATGAGAGCCCGTCGACCGTGAACTGGGCAGTTTGGATTGAAATGATGACAAAGGCCACTCCAACTGTGAATGCGTTGGCGACGATAAGGAATTCCGTTCTGCACCGGTATGACAAGCGATGCATGTCGGTTTAATCTGAAATGAAGTTAATTAATAAATAGTTAGAAAATCTAGTATTACGGTTTTATAAACGTGTTTAGAAATTAGTTTTGAAATATATTATTTTTGATTTATAATTTAAACTTAAAAAGAACTAAGTTAACTACTGTGAACATTATTATTTGAGGGACTAGTTTTTTTCTAGGTCACGACTGGTTTTTGATTGTCGCAACTTCCAGAATAGAAACAATGATGGAATATAATTTTACCTTGAGTAAGCTTCTGGTGAACTTGGGGCATATTCGCTTCGTTCATCACTCATCAAACATCGCCTTTCACTGATTGGAGACCTGTCTCGTCGTGATATCTTAAAGCGACTTTGTAACTCAATCAATAATCTGATAAGCTTTTAGAATGTGTAGACCTACCGCATCCTCTACAGATAAAAGCTTCGGAGATTCTGATGAGTCTTCCGGTGATGATGGCCTTATACAAGTGCATTCAACGGGTGCAGCACCATTATTGAATGTTGGCGATGACGATCGAGCAATCAACATTTCCAATTCTCGTTTCCTTTCGTCTTCCTCTTCAATTGCACGCTGTTTGGCATCTTCTTCCTATAATCATTATCTTATTTCTTTATTACTTGTCAGTTACTTAATTACCTGTTGCCTTTTTTCTTCCTCTTTGCTCTCTTGAAACCCTTCAACCAAAATGGCAACCAGAAGATTGAATAAGACATAGTTTCCAAAGGTCATCAAAGCTACAAAGTAGAGAGCAGCCCAGGGGTTTGTTTGAGCCATTCCATTGAATAAAACCATGTTCCAATCTTCTTGAGTAAGAATCTGAATGAATTGTTCAATTTTTGTAATGCTCACTCCAAATTCTTTAAGTATTCAAACAACATTGAACAAACTACATTGAAATACCTGAAATACAGTGACTGTTGCGAAAAGAAAATTATCGAAATTCATTCGATCACATTCACATTTCTTCGATAGAACTTGGAATCGATTGCATTGTAGTCCTGTTTCTGGATGATTACAGAATTTGCAACCGAAGAGCACCATTCCAAGAGTACTGAAATTCAAATGCACAACAATCAACAAACACAATAGACATTTGACACAATTCACTGCACTGCTAGGCATGCTTCAAACGTTTGAATTCTTACATGAAATACGGTAATTAAAGCCCAAAGAAGGGTGTCAAAGTTTTTTCGTTCACATTTCTTTGATAATCCTCCAATTAGTTTTTCTTCGACTTTGCAGAATTTACAACCGAAAAGATTCATGCCAAGGATACTGTAAAACTCGGGTTAAATTCTTGAAAAATAGGAAATTAATTAAGAAGTCAGGTGGTGAAAAATGAATTTTTTTGAGAAAGTGATGATAAATTGAATACCTGAAAATGAAAATGAAAAGAACCAGAAGACCGAAGAAAACGGTGACATTGTCCATTGTACGAAGCATTACAACCAACTGATAGCGAAGAGCCGGCATAAAACGAACTAATTTCAAAATACGGAGAAGGCGAAATGTCCGCAGAACTGATAAACCACCTTTTCCTTCTTGGAATAGTTCGAGAACACTGAAATATTGTATGTTGCGACAATCATTGGCTTTCAATGATAACCTCAACGCAACAATTCCACCATCAAATAGATTGAACCCATCAGCAAGGTATCCAAATAGACCATCAGCAATCACTTTCAATATCATTTCAAACGCGAATAGTGCAGTGAAGAACAAATTTGAATACTCCAAAATAACGGTAAGCATTTCCGGCTAAAAATACATTGAATAATCCGTTCATCTCGTCGCATTGATGAAAATACCTGTTGGTGATACTCAACACCCATACTGAGCGTGTTCACAAGAATGGCGACAAGAATTCCACGAGTGAAATGATCGCAAACCACGAACTTTTGGATTTTGTTTCGAAACCATCGCCATTTCGAAACTGTCTTTTTCTAAATGCGATTGGAAGTTCATAAAAAATTGATTCTCAATGAATTCACCTGCGTCGCTTCTTCGTTCTCCCAGTCACTTTCATTTTCATCTTCTGATTGGCTTTCATTGTCATCGCTAAAATGATTTCTGGATGTCGAGTCTAAAACAAATCTTTATTCAAATTTTCTGTATTTCGCCAAATCGATTACCGCGCGGTCCGCCGTTTCCTAAATGAATAGGTTCTCCTTCAATTTTTACTCGTTTCACATGTTGGCTGTGATTAGGAGTATCATTGAGCTCCACAATTTGGTCTTCTACTTGATTGACATCGTCGGACACTGAAATATTGTTATAATACATTTCGTTATTCAGTTATATAATAAAATTATACCTTCTTCATCTTCAGCTTTTTCGTCAATTCTTGATAAAGTTGCAATATCTTCTAATTTCGATTTTCTACGTCTATTTGCTTCTACTTCTCGCCTCTCTTTTCGATTTTCCATATAACTGTTATACCTCTGAAGTATAGCAATTTCAAAAATGTATTCAAAGGTTATTCTACCTTCTTTGCAATTCGTTTCGATCTTCGGAATGTTTGCCCAATGAATCTCACAATTGCAGCGTATACTGTATCACCACTACCATCTTGATTGGATGATGCTGCTCCCGCTTCACTACCACCGCAAGCTGAACCTCTTCATTAAAAGAATATTCATAGACAAAAAATCGTTACAAATAGAATCTCTATTTTGAAGCCGTTTCCTTTCTTGCAGCATTCGCTCAGTTTCTCGCCGTTTCGTTTCCGCGAATTGCGTTGCAATAACGACAAGACACAGGTTAATCATGAAAAATGCGCCAATCTGTTTAAAGAGAAACGAATCTATAAATTATATTTCGCTGAGAGGACACATACAACAATCAGTAAGACGAAATAAATCCAATTCCAAAATGAGTGTGCGTCTTGAACATAATACATGATATCAGTCCAACCTTCAAGTGATATGACCTAAATTTATTGTATAGTTAATTTTTAATATTAAACGAAAATTGGGCTCCTTACCAAAAATATTGCTACCCATGCAAATCCAATATTGTCAAAAGAAACCGATCCTTGAAATGGATTTCGTTGCATAACTTGACATTCATTGTAGTAGATGTTCCAATTAATACATGATTCGTTTGAAACTTTGTCGTACTCATCAATAGTGAGGTTGCATCTGCAAAAATCCAGTGCAAAAGCTGATTACTATTTTCGAAATACTTGATTCCGTTAACAGTATATGGTGGTAAATTTGAGCAGGTATGCAACCCGTTGGCGTCTGGCTGGCTACATATATATTCTAATGATGTATCTTCCGGAATATAGAATCTGAAAGTTTCAATACTCCCTTTTTTGTTATGGAATCTATCAATACTACCTGGTTAACATAACGTTGTTGAATAAAGCACTCTGGTTTTCGGAAATAAACTTTGGTAAATTAATGACACAACGATTTCTGGAATATTTTAAAATTGAAAAAAAAAACGAAAAAAATAATTGTTACCGTAACAGACCCGCCCATAATTGAACACCGACGATGCCGAATATAAAAAATACAAAGAAACAGAGAAGTAGAACATTTCCGAGCATGGGTAATGTGTCGAGAAGCAAGTTTACTAAAACATACAAAAAATAAACTAATGGAAATTTTGAAAGATTACCCAAAATTCGCATAGATGGAATCCGATTAACAGCTCTTAAAGGTCTTAGAACGCGAACTGTCCTAATTGCTGTTAAATTAATATTTCCGCCAAGGTATTCGTGCAGTATGAATTCTGCTATTCCAGCCATCACAATGAAAAAGTCCAATCGATTCCATGTGTCCGACATATAAGCAGCGGGACCAAAGAATCCGAGAGCAAGAATCTTAATAACCATTTCCAGTGCGAAGTAGACGAAAATGCAATTATCGATAAGGTCGAGAATTTGACACCGATAAGTTTTACAATCAGGACCATCCTCGCAAGGCCGATACATTCCTTAAAGCGAACATTTGAAGTATATGGTATTGTTTCAATGTGATTGCACCTAGAGTAATGCAGTTGATGAGAATTACAGCCATTGTTATCCGGTCAAACCACGGACTCATAACCATTCGAAGGGCCCAAGATCTTGGCGGGCGAGCTTGATAAAAACATTTCAACGCCGGCTCGGCAAAACTAAATGCACATATATAATTTTTTTTTCTATTAGAAGATATTGGGCAATGAATTTACCCCGGATATGGCAAATCGGAGTTGACTTCTTCAACATCATCCTCTGCAGCCCATCCAACCTCGCGGTCTTCCCAACGGGATGGCGAGGCCTCCGATGAGGAGGCCACCTGCAAATAAAAGACTCCATTTCCTTCGAAATCTTTTTCGCTCGTGTGTTTTTTCATACCTAAGGAATTCCCTAGAGAACAACGCAATTTTTGCACGTTAAATGAAAAATGGGTTCTGATCAAAAATCTTTTGCGAATCGAGATAAGAGACGCGAATTAATCAAAGTCTCTTGTTCAAATTTATACTCATGAAAAAATCGAAAATTAAGATTTTTGTAAGATTTTGCATCTTTAAAATTATAAAAACCAACAATAATATTAATTTTGGTTGACGTTTCAATAAATGTTCTATTATTCTTCACCTATGTTCTGGAATTTTCCAATACGACGTGTACAAAAATCTATTGTTTTCCATTTGGGTGTTGATTACTAAAATTGGATTGAATCCATTTTCTTTTCTGCAGCTTCACGCAGCACTTAAGTCAACAGCGAATTCAATTTGTTCAATCCTATAATGCGGCTCATTCATTTTTATTGGACAAATTCCTTTTTTTATAATGATTTTTTGGTTTTTTTTAATTTTTTTCTAATGCATCCACTTCTACATGAATGATCACGAATCTTCATAAAAAGAGGATTGTCCTTTGTTTCGCGAAGCAATTCTCGTATGATGTCGTTTACAAATGCATGAAATTTTGAATTTTTAAAAAATAATTTAAGAATTATGCCATGTTTTATGAGCATGAGCCAGAAGGAATCGAAATTTCTGGGAAAAGGGACTTGAAATGAAAAAATCATTCTTTGGTATTTCAATTGTTTCTCATTCAAATGAAATAGGTTTTATCTATTTTAATTATACTATTCGATGAAATCATATATGTTATAAATGTTATTTGTAAGTATTTAAAATGTTATTTTAAGTATTGAATTAGAGATCACATCTCTAATGCCTGTGAAGTTATACCAATGAAAATGCGGAATTTGTATTCAAAAGATTGTTTAGAAAATTGCTGCCAACGAAATCTTTCCCAGAAAAAGTTCCTAATTCTGACAGAGATGACGATAATAAAAATTTCTGTTGGGGAGAAATGAAGAACTCACTCTTCCGTGCTCTGATAGCTGCAGTGTTTCTTTTGATCCTTCAATGGAACCCAATGCCTGAAAACATCACCAAATTTGCATTACAACAAAGGAAAACGAAAAATAATAATTGGTGCTCTAAATCATGATAGTTTTTTTTTATTCTGCTCTGCCCAAAACCGCTGATGTCATTTGAATGCGCATTTTTTAGTATAACAAGATGAAGAAGAAAAAAAAACAAGAAAAAGAAAAGAGGAAAAAAATCGCGAACTGAAATGTTCATAAATTTTTTAGTGAAATAATATTCTCAGATGAATGCACGCGGACCACTAGTGCCATCAGGCGAATACGATTTCCGCGTTTTGTCAGCAATGATTTGAAACGCCTCCGCTTTAATTCACACCCCTCCCCCTCCCACTTTTCTGTGCGCCGATAAAACCAGAATGATGGGTGTATGAAATTAGGATTGACTCTGAGTAGCGAAGAAGCAAAAACACAAGAGCAGCAAAACCCATAAATGGCAGCGAGGCGTTCTTGACTTTTCCGAATCCATTACTTATACTAACATATAAACTCGATATAATTTTCGGAGCGGATTAAAAAATAGCTAATTTGTGGTTGAAAATTCAAAAAAAGATGTACGACTTTGCCATAATTAAGTATAAACAATTAACTGGAAATTAGGACAATGATGGTTTTCGTCATCATGAGTCAAACAATACTTGACGTTGTTAATTAAGCTTCTAGAAATAGATAGCGCAAAAATGGCCAAATATTGGATTGGAATAATTTTCTGCGCTACGGCAATTTACTAGAAAAACAAGATTCTGGATAGAAATTTATTTTTTAAATAGAACTTTTAGCAAAAAATAATACATAATTATGTACTTTTTATTTCAGATAATATTGACCCGAAAAAAAAAGAAATTATGTGCCTCTGGAGAGGGAAAAAGCATAGAGGAAATTACAAAAAATCAGTTGGGTGGAATATATAATTTGCGCACACATAAAGAACCAACAATATCCATTTAAATCCAAGGCTCAGAGATCTCTATATTTATTCTAAGAAAGATATTTAATATTATACGATTTCAATGGTATAATTACTTGAGCAATGGGAAGGTCTGATTATTTAAAAAATTAAAGTATTTATTTCACAATGGTGAATATATGTCGTTTTCCGCGAATGGGTAGATTTACGACCCGCAAAACGGCAAGTTTTTTCATTTCGCAATGTTTTTGCCATTATTTTGCACTTTGATAATTCTAATAATGCAAATCTCGTGGCAAAGTAATTGAATTAAATAGGAGTACTAGGGATGATATAATCGAAGTGAAAGAAAATTCAAATTCAATATTCGAGAAATCATTATTCTGCCCAGAAACGTGATCTACACTCGAGAGACACTTTTTTTTCAAGAATGCTACATTTTATACGAAGCGCAAAATAAAATGTACAGCTGTGGGAATATGAATAAAAAATACCTCGACATCATCATGCCTTCGTTTGCATTGAGATTGACGACGATTGACAGTGATATTCGAAGTGCGTCTGCCAAGGACTGATCTGAAAATTAGAAACGTTGATAGCTAGCTGGAATTCAAGATTGTAATTTTTTTCTTTACCTTGGACCCCCTGCATATTTTGATAAGGATTGAAAACTGCGTAGTTCTGGCACTGGCTGTTGCAGCATCTGAAATAAAATTACCGTAATTATAAAGTTATTAATTTTTATTTACTTTCAAGTGACTGGATCAAAGTGGTTTTTCATTCAGAAACAACCAAAAACCAAAAGTGGTGAATCCTTGCTGAAATTTGAATATTTCTCCGTATAATTCTATTTCATATTTGTGTCAAAAAGAAAATTTAGTGAAAAAAACGCGTCATTCATTATGATTGAAATACGGGACCATGAAGATGATATGAATATTAAACACTTCCTTTTTCAATAGGAGTAGTCTCATTTACAAATTGGTTAAAAACACGGTGAAATAAGGGGAAAAAGAGGAAAACATGTGGGCTTCAGGCTAAATTTTCAGAAGTGAACAAATGTTTGCAAATTCTACACTTCAATAGGCGGAATTCCGTTAATGCATAAACAACAAAAAAGAACAACTTTTAAAGTTGAATCAATAAATAGATGATTTAATATGTAATACGATTTTTATTTTAGAAATAATAAGTGCATATAAATGAGAGTATCAATATCAAATTTTCGGTATTCACTATAAATAGGATCATTTTATAATCGAATCTATAAAATTGTTTTGCAAACTTAATGTGACATTTTTGAAGACAATTTTTAGTCAAGAACATTTAGCTATAAAAATCGTGTGACTTTATCTTCAATTGTAAAATGAAAGTGATTGATTATTGCAAAAATTTATAATTGAAGATTGAATTTCGTCATGGAGATATTTATCCACTAGTTTATTATATCTAATTCTATGTGAGTATGTGATAATAAATAATGTATTAGATTTCGATTAACCTCAGTATCTGAGACATGTGTCATTTCATGACGATGCGGTTTATCAAAAGATACATATTTTGTGATAAATATGGTTATTTCTACCTAATTCGTATTAAGCTAAAATCTCAATATTTCAACTTCTAAACAAAAAGCTTGCGAAAAGTTTTTTTAGAGATGGATTCGCTTGTCCTACGGCTTCAATTTGATTGAATGTACACTCCCTGTTTCTTCTTCTGTTATCCAATCAAAAATTAACTAGTATATCTATTGTTTCTCAAAAAAATAAACATTGAAACCCTTCTAAAAATATAGAGAAAGTTAAACATCTAAGACGAAGGTTATGAAACACGATCGTTTATGCCCGAAAATATTCCAAATAGTTTCCGATTACTTCCGGTTGTTTGAAAAAAAAAACGTGTGCTGTTTCTCTCAAAAATTCTCGACAAATTTTCGCGAGAAAATTTGTCTTGAAAACAACACCTTCGGCGCACTGATAACAAATGAATGACGGATTAAAAACGCAAATGCGTTTGTGAATTAAGAAGAAAAAACGAACGGGGGAGGGGAGGGTGATGAATCAAAATAGAATGACAATTCAAGTTGAGCAGTCACATATATATCTCAAAACTTCTTGTTTTATTCTAAATTTGATAAAGCGACCCTTCCGGCATTTGGCCGGAATATTTTTCTCTTCCTGATGAAAATACTCGTATACATTCGTGACGTTTAAAAAGCGTATAAAAAATTTATCAAGGTTGTAAGAATGTTTGAAATGATGCCAAAATCGGATAATATTTTATTTACTACTTTATCGCCAATTTACTATTGACCAACATTCAAACTCATGTAATCCAACCACGGTTTCTACATAATTGAAACATTTACTAGGAACGCGGCGTATAAAAACATACACACTTTCTCGAGCACATTGAACTACAGATTGCGGAAATGGATAGAGTGTGTGAGAGCCTTTTTTTCAATTTCAACACAAAAAAATGTGTTCAATGTTGAACTTCGAAGTGCAATAGTGCGTCTAATTCAAACTCAACGGCTCGTTTCATTTAAAAATTCATGTTTTCAATAGTCGAAATATTATAATAAAAGAATGGGAAAGTAATAAAAAATACTGATCTCTTTGATGATTCATTGTGTATAGATGAACACGGGAAATTGTTGTTACCAATGTTGATGCGTTTGATCCAAGATTGATAACTAAGCAACAATGTGTAACGTCAATCCAGGAGCAATATTCCATAGTAGACAACAATGGCAAAAAGGGGGAAAGGTCAAACCAATGAAAATGAAGAAGTAAAAGTACTTGCGAAGGAATTCTGCTATTATAGTATTTCGTGTAAAAGTGCAGACATTTATAATCTCTAATATATCCTAATAATTATATATGCGCATTCAAAAAGGATTACTATGTATTACTTAATGAAACATGCTTTATGTTCCATTTGTGTTGAACATTTTTGAAGAAACTAAGAGAAGTTCTATATTTTGTACAAACCAAATGAAATTGAGAAAAGTGCAGCGAAAAGTTTTTTTTTTCTCTGTAAAACAATTGTACCTCATTGTGCATTTGGAGAACTGAATTATTTATGAAGCGAAACAGCAATCCAAATATTTTCTAGCCCAAATTATACTACTTTAAATGTTCATTTTTTAATTTAAACATATAATGTGGTAAAATTTGTGCAATCAAAATTGTAGACCAATTCAATAATGAAAAGGGTAATATGATTTAAATCTATCTCTCCCGCGCCACATTCTATTTTTTTGTCGCTGTTTGGTAAAGAATTTTTGGATTTTATTCTGCGACTTTCGAACTTTTACCAATGAATATTTCGGAATTGCAATTATGTGCATGTGAACCAGCAAGAAAACAAATTTTCGTCTGCCGCTTTGATCAAATCGCTAAGTAAATAAATTTGTGTATGCGTGTAAGCAGATTTTGGAAGATGGCGTATCCCTACGCCAAAGTCATTGCACGTATACATAGACACACATACATGCGAGCTTCAAAATGGCTCACATACAGAGACTTCCAAGCATCCGAGATGGTTTCAGATTTCGTCTAATGTTCCTGCGAATGGGAACAAGGACGGCTGACGACGACAGCCGGTTCGTCGGTTTGGTCGGTGACCAAAAAATGCTGACAAGTCGAAAAAAAAAAGAATTGGACGTCATTGAGGGGGGGAGGGCAAAATGGAGAAGAAAGGCAAACTTGGGGCAAAATTTTGCAATGCCTTCGAACGGCACCATAGACTTATGCATTTCATTCATCCGAAAAGAATTATTAGAAAACGATACCCAATGTTGTGCACTCATATTTGTTCTTCATCTGTCTGGAAGTTTAAGCAAACGATGGCTGGGATTTTGCTGCTTCAAAAATCAATGATCAAAATGTTTACGTACGGCATTTGGATGATCCTAAGGATTATTGTTATTATAAGGAATATGGGACAAATAGTTTGAGAGAATGACAAAATTCAATTTAACCACTTTTCCAACAGAAAAAAAAACGTTTTTTTTCTTCTTCGCTTCTTGCAGTAGAAAAATTGGCGGTTTCTCATTTTGTTCCGCCTATTCCTTCGTATTTTCCACATTTTGTTTTGCTTTCATTTTTTTCTGCATATTTAATTGATTATGTTGGAATTTCGTTTTTTTCAGCTCAGTCGCGAGTTTGAAAAAAACCAAAAAACTTCGATACTCAAAGATATTTGATGTTGAAACCCGACAGAATGAAGGAAAAGAAATACATGTAATTTTGTCAACAGGAAACACCGTGAAGTCATAACATTTCTAAAAATAAACGGAACATGTTGGTTTCGGGAGGCCAGAATTGGGCAATGTGACAAACTTGAAAACAATTAATGAGATTTGGCAACACAAGCTGGAAGAGAAGCCAAGCAGCCAGAAAAAAAATCAGCAAATGTCGAGAAATTGGTTTCTCTCGACAACTCGTCGAATCTGCTCACCAGCCCAAAAAAGAACATTCCTGTGACATAATATGAGCAGCTTAGACGAATAAAAATATTACATAATATATAGATTCGTTTTTTTTTTGGTTACGGACGAATGTGAGATACAAGCTCCGCAAATAGAATTGTGTTTGGTGGATGAACAAACTTCATGGAGAGAGAATTGCATGAAATCGAATACTTTGAACAACAGTATATTTGTCATACCCAAATTGATATGGCGACAAGTTAGGTTTGCTAACGCTTCAAAATGTATCGAGAATACGTGAACAAAAAAAGATTCTTCGCCAAAATTTGAACAACATCTGATTATCGGATTAAGCCTATATGAGAATAAACTTTATTAGTTGAATTCAAATTTTGGAAAAGTTAATAAACGAAAAGGGGCTTTAATAATTCTCCTAAAACAGGTCTGCTTACAATTTATATTAATTCGGTAACCACCATTGTTGCCCTAGATTCCATGATATTTTTAAACTCCATAGTAAAAAATCACAATAGAAAAATTTAAGTCATACAATTATATTAATTTAAAATGCAATTCTATTATTCAAATAATTTTAAAAAATTACTCAGGCAAATGAAAAAAAATATTTTGAGACAATTCTAAAATCTTATGAGGTTCGTTGAGAGGCTAACGTGTCTCTATAATATTTTAGATTTGTCTCAATAAACATTAGGAAATCTCATAAGATTTTAGAACTGTAGACTGTGCTTGCGCCCGATTCTCTTACAAGAATTTTCTTGGGGAAGCTTTCATTCATGAGTGATGAATTACTTTCACCACTTAATACTTTCCTTTGTGCTTCTTTTAATTCGCTTCCATAGATTTCAACGAAAAGTTTCAGATTACTTTTTACATTGGGTAAAAAAAGTTTGCTTTCCATATATTCGTGACAGAAGCATCTAAAATAAAACTTATATATAAATATATACATTTTTTCGAAGTTCACTTCAATTTGTCATTGGCGCAATATGAGCAAACACGTATTCGAGTTGTTTCTGTACCTTCTAGAAGAATTGCCTTCATTGTTTTCTCATTTTCAATGTGTTCGACATCGAAAAACTGTTTAACAGCTGTAGTTAGGCATAATTGTTGATAAAAAAGAATTGTTATACCCTTTTTAGAATTCGTTTCTTGAAGAAGAAATGCAATTCTTGCAAAATCTTGAACGCTCAGAGCTGTCCATAATAATCCTGTAAGAAAACAATAAAAAAAACTTTATGTGTATTTAG